CAAGTGGATCGGCACCGGGAAAACGAGGAGTGCCACTTCTCGAGGACCATCAGAAGATGCAGGTGGACCTTGCGAAGGAGAACCGAGATCGAGTGACCCAGATCCAGACGCAGATAGCCATTCTGCAACGCGAGTTGGCCTTCCTGATGCCAGCAGAGGAATCATGAATGATACAAGTGAGAAGTTGAGTTATGAGAACCAACCTTCATTTGAACTTCATACCAGTATGGACACTCCAATCAATGACTTCTTTGCCAAGGAGTTAGCTAACCTGGTGGAAAAGATTGAGTTTCAGATGCAAGAGTTGGCAAACCACTCAGCTGACATTCGGACACGGCACTTAGCACCACGAACCCACAATTCGAAGGAGAGATTGGACATCCTGGAAATCTACTGTTATCCAAACTCCCACCTGACACAGATAGCAAGCCAGATGGGGTTGAAGACCCGTCGATTCACAATCCAGGATGGTGATCTCCGGACCCCTGAGGGTCAGAACAAGCTATGGCAGATCCTGGAAACACAGCAGCCCACACACATTTGGGCTTCACCTGACTGCAAGTTTTGGGGAAATTTCTCCAGACGCAACATGGGCAGAAGCAAACAACTGAGAACCTACATACTGGACGGGAGAAAACATGAAAGACCAAACTTGAGTTTGTGTGAAGAACTATTCCTGTACCAGGTAGAACATGGAAGACATTTTCATTTGGAACAGCCTGTTGGTTCTGAGATGGTAGTTCAACCCGAATTGGAACAATTGAGATGGGGTACTCTGCCAACGGTTTTTGACATGTGTGAAGTGGGTAGGCTGAATTGGAAGGGTGAGTCGATGAGAAAGAGAACGATAGTTTTGACGACCTCCCGAAATTTGCACAGAGCGCTAGACTGTCGATACTGTCGCAAGAAACATGAGCACAAGCAGATTGCAGGACAGGTGAAGCACCTTGGACGGTGGATGCCACTTTCTGCCTTCGCTGCGAAGTACTCGACAGACTTTGCGCGTGCAGTGGTTCGAGCTGTACAGATCGATCCTCAAGAACGTCCTTTAGTGTTTGATGAACTCTTAATTTCAGAAAAAGGACGAGAAGTAGATGAGGTATTGGTAGGGGAGGCATTGAAACGAAGACGACTCATCTCGAAGCAAACGGTAGGAGAGAGGACACAAGAAGATAAAGATTTGGATGACAATCGTAGGATGGACTTTGAAAAGAGAATCAAGATCCTTTTTGGAGAACTGGACAAACTGGCCCCGAGAGTAGGTTCAATTGTTCTAGGACCGGAAACTACTGTTTTCAAACAGGCCCAGGGTTTCTGTACCTTCCGACTAGTACATGCAGAGGTATGTCGAGGGACTGAACGGTTGAGGATTCCCAAAGCGTCGACTCCTTTGGAAGATCTTGTTTTCAGAAAAACCTTTTCACTTCGTCGATCGTCCGGAAATATTGAACAAGTCGGAGAGGAAGAGGAATGGCAAAAGCTGCCACAGCGGCAGCGCATCAGAAAGGGGATTCCGTCGAAGATTACTTTAACCCTGTTTGGTAATAAGCAACCTGAAACGTCCGGCCGGGAAACAAGGAAAGACGACATGATGAGTGAACCTGTGGGGGAGAAACGAAAGATTGAAGATGTTCCAGAGGAAGAAACCTACGTAGGAAAGAGGTCTAGAATGGGGATGGGGGACACTGACTTGATGGAAAATGACCCCGAAAAGAAGGGAGATCCTCAGACATCAGGGGAAGAGTTAGAGATTCCTGGAAGACCACCCCGGAATTTGTCAAGACATGGACCTGGTTACCTGAATCTAGATAGGGAGAAACAAAAGTGGATTCAACAGGTACACCACAGACTTGGACATCCGGATGCCGACACGTTTGTTCGTTTTCTTCGATCCACGAACGCAGAGTCGGAGTTGACGGACGCCGCCCGTGATTACCAGTGTGATGCATGTTCAGAGTCCCGGAAAGGCTTCGATCTTTCAAAGGTTGGGGGGATACATGAGAATCTTGGTTTTAATGACACCATCGGTATGGATGGTGCAGTGTGGACCAATGCTCAGGGAACCCAATTCCATTTCACGCACATTATCGATGAAGGGACACTGTTTCATGTAGCCCGACCATGTGGTAGTGATTCGAGTGCACAATGGAATCTGCTAGAAGATCACTGGTTTAGTTGGGCAGGACCTCCAAAGACCATTTATGTGGACCCCGCAAAAGAATATTTGAGTGAGGCATGGATGACGCGAATACAAGAACTAGGGATCACCCTGAAAGTCTCGGCCCGTGAATCACATTGGCAACTAGGCAGGGTGGAGGCCCATGGATCCATCCTGAAGGGAATGTTGACACGTATGGATCTAGAGGTACCAATCCTAGAAGAGGAGTCATTTAAACGAGCCATAGTCCAAGCATGCCATGCGAAAAACTCATTAACACGGAAATCTGGGTACTCACCCGAACAAGCGGTTTTGGGGTGTGCGACCAGACTACCGGGTTCCGTTACTTCAGATGATAGTGCACTGAGTCATGAAAGAGCGCTAGATGAGGGCTCCAATAAGTTCAAAGAAGCTTTAGACCTCCGAGAATCCGCACGAAGAGCGTTCATTTCCTTGGACAATTCAAACAGTCTAAGACGGATCATGTTGCGGAGAAGTAGACCGGTTAGGGAGAATTTTGAGGTGGGGGACTTGGTTTTGTATTGGAAACGAAAAGGTGGAAACATGAGACGGGAACGAGGACAGTGGTTTGGACCTGCTCGTGTCGCCCTTGTGGAAAGTAGGAAGGTGATATGGTTGGTGCACGCCCATCGTCTAGTTCGAGCCAGTCCACAACAGTTGCGTGCAGCTTCACTTAGGGAATGGAAGATGATCAAAGACACCGAAGAGTTTAGAGTACCAGCCCCTGATTGGGCTCGTAGGATAGGTCACCAGGACTTGTGCGAACTTGATCCAGATGATCTTCCTGAACCGAGTGAACCCGATGTCGAGCGACCTGATCCCGGCGAGACACATCAGGAACCAGAAGATGTTTTGGTTCCTGAGCCTGAAGAAGAAGTAACTGCTCCGTCTAGAAAACCTTCCATGAACGTTGAGGTAGACGGCACCGATGTTCCGGTTCCTGAGGATGATGAATTATTTGGGGATACCATTTTCTTTCAGGAGGTTGTTCAGGGACGGTGTTGGGAAATAGATGTGACACCTGCCTGTGAGATCGAAAGTGCTGGTGGAACACCAGATGCCCTGATTTTGGCCGCTGTTTCTGAACGAAAGAAGAGAGCGGAGATCAAGTTGAAGGAGTTGTCCCAGGAAGATCAGAAACGGTTTGCAGTGGCCAAGCATAAGGAACTTGGCGCCTGGTTGCAGCACAAGACAATTCGAAGAGTATCCCAGGGCAAGATTCCCGACAATGCCATCATGCGTTGCCGATGGCTGTATGTTTGGAAGACAGCATCCGGAGACGAATTACCTACGGATCTGTCGTCTGAAGGAAAGAAAGCCAAGGCCCGTTTGATTGTTATAGGTTGGGAGGACCCTGACTTGGACCAGGTGATTAATGATGCACCAACTCTCTCGAAGGATGGAAGGACCGTTTTGCTTCAAGCAGTTGCCAGTCATAAATGGCCTTTGATTTCTTTTGATATCTCAACTGCTTTTCTTCATGGAAAAGGTGACGGTCGACCCCTAGGTCTAGTTCCGGTTCCAGAAATGCGTGAGGCCCTGAACATGTCAGAGACAGACCAGGTGCAACTGGATGGAGGAGCATATGGCAGGATAGATGCTCCCTTTCTTTGGTTCTGTCAGTTTAGGGATGAACTGAAACGCCAAGGATGTCGACAATCACCTCTCGATCCCTGCGTTTTTACCTACCGCTCCCAGGATGGTCTGGAAGGCTGTCTTGGGATTCACGTTGACGACGGCATTGGCGGAGGCAGTCCAAAGTTTATGGACATGCTACGTAGGGTAGAGAAGAAATTTAAGTTTGGGGCTTTTGAAGAAGGAGAATTCACCTATACCGGGATTCATTTTAGACAGTGGGACGATGGATCGATTGAGTACGACCAGGTTCCCTACATTGAGAAGATACAACCCATAGCTCTTGGGAAGGGACGCAAAGAAGATCCTGAATCCTTGATTTCAGAAGGTGAAAGGACCGCTTTCAGAAGCCTCATTGGAGCACTCCAATATGCAGCAGTACATAGCAGGCCAGATCTAGCAGCCAAAGTAGGAGAGTTGCAGAGTGAGGTCACTAGGGCACAGGTAAAACATCTAGTTTTGGGGAACAAAGTGCTGACAGAGGCCAAGCAGAATCGTGTTTCATTGATGGTGTTACCGATCCAGCCCGAGAGAGTGACCTACTGTGCATTCTCGGATGCCTCCTTTTCATGCATCAAACATACCACGGCACAACAAGGAACCATAATCTTTGCCACGACACCCGAACTTTTGGAAAATAAGAGGTCTGTGGTAGCTCCAGTCGCCTGGTATAGTAAGAAGATTCCTAGAGTTGTCAGAAGTACACTTGGTGCAGAGGCAGCAGCACTGAGCAATTCAGTCGACCGACTTTTGTGGCTCCGGATCCTGTGGGCAACAATCCTCGACCCGGACTGTGATTGGAAAAATCCTGAGGTTTTGTTGAAGAGCCAGAATCAAGCAGGCCTAGTCACCGACTGTAAGTCAGCCTACGACCTTTTGACACGAACAGCGTTGCCACAGTGTTCTGAACACAGGACGACTATAGAGTGTCTGCTGATTCGCGAGAGGCTTCGTGATAATGCCACCGTCAGGTGGGTTTGCTCACAAGCGATGTTAGCCGACTGCTTGACGAAGACAATGGACAGCAGTGCTTTGAGAGAGTGTTTAAGAACTGGCAAATACATCCTTCGGGACGAAAACCACACGTTGAAAGTGCAGCTAGACGGATTCACACGTCATGGAAAAAGGGGTAAAGGCGCAGCTTGCGCACTTTTGACAGCTCAAGGGCCCTGCGGCGAAAATGAGGTTAGACCGATCGGCTCGATCGTGACGCACTCTTGGAATTCTTGCACTGGTTATCTTCTTTAAAGACGAAAAAGTGTGTCACTTTCGAGGCTAGGTGAGCTACGCGACTCAAAAGCTGCATGGAGCGGCTGGTAGGCAAAGGAGAGGTCGCCACCGCAGCGTCAGCTGTAGCCACCATAGAGAGGTGTCCTTCGTCGAGGATGTCACGAAGCTCGTGACTGGGTTTCACTTTCGTGAGGTGATCGGCCCTTTGGACTTGGGTCGACACCCACTTGTACACCTCCTTGATGTCCTCATTGGAGGGTTCGATCTCCTCTGCAGCTTCACGAAGGGCTCCGATGTCAAGCGTGAGCCGCTTCTCTTGGGTCGAGCTGACCGGGCCATCCTTGCACAGGAGGTCGTAGAGGGACCGGCAGTCGGTGGCGTTCGCCACAGGCAGGATGCTAGGGTCCAACTTGCCAGACTGCGTCGGCATGTAGCTTTCGATCAGCATCTCGGCCAAAAGTTCTCTAGTGAACATCGCTGCATCGGTCGAGGCGTCCAAAGCCATGGTCTCGGCTGCAAGCGTTGACCGGCACTTCCTTCTGATCCGGTGGGATCGCCATTCGACCAAATTGGCCACATCGCCCTCCAAGGTGAAGACGTTCGGGCCGGTGAGGAAGATCAAGTAGCCCGCCTGGCTCTTCAGATCATCTGCATTGGCCCAACTCGCGTCGGAAAAGCCAATGACTCTGGCGGACTCTAAGGGGATCTGCCTAAACTTGAGGCACCAATCCTTGGACTTCAGGGCATCTCGGAGGAGTCGGTTGATCTCCAAGAGGTTCTGGACAGTAGGTTGTCCTCCCATGGCCAACGAAGTCCCTGCCGCCAAATCCGGACGTGTCTGTCCGACAAGCCAGTGTAGGCATCCTCCACCACTCTTCAGCTCTGTGACTTCCTGAGCTGTGAGGCTGGAATCTTTCATCAGCACTCTCCACTTCGGCACTGGTGTCAGGGTCAGTGCACGAATGAAGGACTCCTGGGACAAGGTCACAATGCCGTCGCGCTTGGTGATCTCCTTGCCGCCATAGGTCAAGGTGGGCTCGGTGCGAATGTCCTTCCACTCGCCAAAGTCGAACTGGGAGCGCAACGAGTCCAAGACTTTGTCACCAATGCCAGGCTTGCCAGCACACAAAAGGTCATCCACGTGTGCCCCAACAACCAAAACAAGTTCATGGTCGCTGTAGAAGAGGAACACGGCCTTGTCCAAGGTGGACTGCACAAAGCCAAGCTTGATGAGGGAATCCCGCAAATAGCGCCAAAACAACCTGGGGGAGTTGGCCAGTCCAAAAATACCGCGAACCACCAACAACAACTGACCAGGAAGTAGGCCAGGTAGACCTTCACGAGGCTGTCGGATGAACAAGGGGTCCTTCCGCCTCGCCAAAGACTGGTCTCCCTGCAAAAAGGCACCTGTGATGTCAGCACACACCAAAAACCAATCAGCGCAGGCGGCGCTGAGCTGCAGGATGAGCATGAGGCTCAAACGAGTCATGGTCGGCGCGTCTCGCCGGAGCTCCAAAAGATCGGGGTCTTGGTCGCCACGGCATACAAGACGTGCCTTTGGCTTCACTTCCAGCCATGGTGTAGCTGCGCGCTTGTCTCGGTAGCACACCCTTGAAGCCAGGATGCGAGCAGGGTCAAAGTGACTCTCCACATGCTTGCTGCAGGCGAGGTCCAGCACTTCGACAGCCTTGTAGCGAAGCCATGTAGTCCATTCACGAACCAAAGCCTCACGAAACAAAGGCTTCTGCTCCTCCGGGATTGAAGTCCAAGGCAACTCCTTCTCCAAAGCCTTCCGTTCCTTCCGGGTGAGCTGCTTGTCCACCTCGAGAACGGTATGTGCCTCGAAGTCCTTGTTCTTCAGGGTGAGCTTGAAGATGGTCGTACCTGTCCAGGGTTGGTTCATCACCTTGGCAGAGTTGATGACCCAGTCGTCAACATGCTTTGACCATCCATTTCGACCACGCATCCAGGTCGTTCTCCGGGAAGAAAAAGCATCCAAATGAACCGGTAGTCGACGTACATGACCAGGGTCAAAAAGAGCTCGTCGAGGACGTCGGTGGTGTCGGAGAAGTAGACCTCGGTGAGGAAGTAGTTCCCAGTGGTCTTCTCGGAGAACAAGCTCAGTGTGTCGTGCAACTTCAGGTGAGGCGGCAGGTAGCTCGACATCAAGTTGTAGTGGTGCTACTCCTGCTGCAGAACTTGCTGATCCACTTGGAGTCACACGTAGCTTCTTGACAGCTGGTGGCTGTCCATCGGGCGAATGATGCCCGTCACAGGTGTTCCAGGCGCTCTTGTGGAAGTCTCAGGGGCCAACGTAGTGTGGTCAGAACCAAGGGACTGTTCAGCTTCACCTGGTTCTGGAGATCCATCTTCATGAGGCTCTGCGTTCATGGCCTGTTCATCTTCTTCAGGGGCTCGGTCAAGTAGCTCCTCTTCCGGCTCGAACACCGGCACGGCGTGCACTTCTTCCAAGTCGTCGTCTTCAGGTACTGGAGGAAGTTGTGAAGACCGAATGTCATAGTACTCCTCCGGTGGGTTATCTTGGACTTGTTGAAGCAGGTGTTCGTGAACTGGCCATAGCTCGGTACCAAAAGCTGGGCGGATCTGCTCGCGGGCTGCAAGCACACACTTACCACCAGAAGAGATCCAGAAGTTGTTCTGTTTGGTGGAGCTGTCGCCCTTGTGTGGTCCAATGATAGTACCACGGTACCATGCCGCAGGAATGCGTTTCCCTTTCTGACCTTTCTTCCCCTGCCGATACCGGGCTTCACGCCAGAAAGCAACAATCTCGCCAGGGTCATAGGTCTCCTTCATGGGATGCGACTTCCGAAGTATCGCAGCCCTGACAGCTTCGTTCAATCTGTAGGCTGCCAGCTTCTCATCGGCCAATGCTCGAACACGGTTTCTCTTGCGGAGTTCATCATCGAGCTCCATGGCCTGCAAAGCTTCATACTTGCCGTCGGGGGACAAAATGTCATCAGGCAAGGAGGGGTTTTTTCCAAAGACCCACTGATAGGCTGAGCAGCCTGCGGATCTAATCTTGTCGTTCATGGCAGCTCCAGCTGCACATGCGAGCGTCTTCATGTCGCGCTCTCCAGCCAAGCTCAACTCATCCACTAGCTTAGCGGCTAGGTGTTGGAAAGCACGGTTGTAGGCTTCGACTTCGCCAACTTGCCAGTGAGCAGCTGCAGGAGGGTGGTCCAAAATGACACCGTTGCTGCGCATCTTCTCGGCAAACTCGCCTTGAAAAGCACCATCTTGGTCAACCCACAGCTCTTTTGGGTAGCCGGCCCATGAACACCACAACATGGTCACCAGGTCATAGACATGGCCAGGTTCGCGGGTGTCACACGGCCAAAAGACATTGAAAGACCCATTTGGCTCCAAAAGGTGCAAGAAGGCGTGGTTGTCCTGGTTGGCGTCGGTGACATACACGAAGTCGATGCAGAGCTTGCTGTTGAAAGCGCCAATGACCTTGAAAGAGCTTGGCCTAGGAATCCCAGGCCTCTTGGAACGTTCACATGTTCCACAGCGCAGTCTTCTACTCAACTCAATGGCATCGGGCTCAACTTTTCCATCTTGTATCAAAGCTCTTGTCAGGTCAGGTTGTGCAGGATGGCCCAAATTCTTGTGAACCTTGACTAACATAGGCGCCAACTTCTTCTGCTTGTTGGTCAAAGGCGGTCCAATGAACCATTGCTCATCTGCGTAGGTCTGCTTGGTGAGGACCGGAGACTCCTTTGGTTCTAGTAGGGCACCATCGTCATGGGGCTCAACCGGCACTGGTTGTCGAGGAGGTTCTTGTTGTGGAGCAGGGTCTGCTGGGTCACCAGGAGCGTACCCAAGCACAAAGATAGCCAGGCGCACCGGCTGCACAAAACGTTCCCTTGGTGCCTGAGCAGTCTTCAAGAACTCCGTCTCAAGCACAATGGAGTCGTCGTTCAACAGGAGTGCTGAACAGCGGTGACAATCTTCCAAGCCAGGTCGGACTCTCTTAGCCTTAGGCAGGTGAGCTATCTGGATGTTCATGATCTGCCAAGGGACCAAACGGGCAATCTTGGCGTAGAGCTCGGAGTCCGGAGCAAGAAAGATGCTGGCCTGTGTTTTCCTACCCAACACCTCCATGGCGTCATCGAAGAGGGGGCGCCACTTGTCCTCGGATTTGTCGGCGTCCGCGAACCAGGCAGTGTTGGTATCGTCCTTCTCGTTGAGGGTCATGGTTCCAAAATCTTCTTCAACAACAATTCTCCAGTAGGCACGGCAAATTGCATCAGCCAACAAAGGAGGGTAGCAGGCTGAAGCGGCTGCGTTGGAACCTTCAACCAATTCATGGACACGCGAGCCATCACACTGCTTGTCCAGCTCCTCGATGAAGTAGGGGTGAGTGGCAATGAACCTCACTCGCTTCTTCATAGGTAGCCCTGCCTTGCCAGTCAAACCAAACATGCACAAGCAAGAGGTGGTCTCGAAGTACTTGTTGCGAAGTCGTACAATCTCATCTTGCTTTTGCGAGTCTGCTGTGGCAGGGTTCTCAGCGATGGCGTGACCACCATGGTCGACCTGAGTCTTGAACACATCCTCCGTGAGCTTGAGGAAGGGACGGTCTTGTTCTTGTAGTTCTCGAAGCTCATCTTCTCTTCCCTTATAGTTCACATTCCTCTGGAGGATGCTCCATGGTGTGCAAGGAAACTCGACCATAGCCAGCCGAGGTTTAAACCTTCTCAAAGTGGTCATCAACCATCTCCGCATCGATCTTTTCCGAAGATCTATTCCGTAGCGGATGTCGATGGGTTGCAGCACCTTCATCTTCCAAAGTGTCGCTCCACGAATTGTGACCATTGAAGTTCCTCCAAAGATCTCCACGAGGTCAAACTGGAAGTGCTTTCGTGGCCAGCGTCCACCTTGAAGTCGCTGCATGACCATCTTCTGCTGCCATTTGGATGCAGCAAGTGCCTCTCGGGCCATGTGTTTCATCCGCTTCTGCTGACCGGGCTTCAGCTTGGAAGGTCCAGGGGAGCTCAAAGTTCGCTGTAGATCGACATGATGTCGTCCGCTTCCTCGTCGCTGTGGATCAGAATTGAGTCCGCTGCTGGGGCGCGACCTTGAGTGCGCTTCGCTCCACTGACCTTCTCCTCCTTGATGTCCTTTGTCGTGGCCTTCCTCGCCGGCGGCTTGAAGTCCGCTGCTCCATAAACTGCTTCCGTAGAGGTAGGTCGTGAGGAAGACGATGACCCATAGGACTTGCTGGAGGAGACTCCTTTGCGAGCCTCTGGGCGTGCAGTCTCGCCCTTCAACACCTTGCCTCCGGGCTTGTCCCTTGTTCCCACGAGGACCGGGTAGACGGTGACCAGGGTCTGGGCAATCGGCACCTTGTAGTCCAGTCCACGCCAAACCATTCCACAGCTTATGCACTCCAAGAACTTCCCATGGGCGTTGCCAAAGCGTCTTCCATGCTCCACCAGGTGAGGGCAATCCCTCGGCTGGTAGGGGTAGTTCAGGTTCCATGGCAGTCCGAAGTTCTTGCTCTGAGTGGTCACTGGGGGCATGGTCGGTGGCAAGGCCTCCGGATTCCACTCCTCGATCATCTGGTCGTGGGAGATCAGGGCTTCCCCATAGGCCACCAAAGCTGGTGAGCGGTGTTTCAACTGGTTCATCATGCGAGTTGAAGCCAGGCTGCAGACGATCGCCTTGAGGTAGATCATCACCTTGCGCAGCAGGCGGCTCCATCGCAGCCACACAAAGTCGCCTTTGGCTTTCGAATGCCTTTGCATCTGGGGCTGCGGTGCGAGCACGGGATCGTAAGCTTGATCCGAACTCTTCCGCCGGAACATTGAATCTCACAGCTTGGCGATCGATGGGAAGGTCAGGTGACTTGACTGACTTGTCAAAAGATTTCAAAATTCTCTTCTGAACTGAAGTTTTCACTGAAGCTGGGTGCACACGTCTCGTTTCAGCGTTCTCGAAAACGACGTCGACACCCTGTGGTTGCCATGCAGGAAGAAGGGGCCCAACATCCAAACCAGGGTCGCAATCTTTACCAAAAAGAACCGTATATCCAGTCCAGGGCTCCTCATGTAGAAGACGTTGAGGGGCATCCCAAACATCGATCAACTCGTTCTGGTAACCGTGCTTGATGGTGACCCGTACGGACTGGAGTTCATCAGGTTGGGGACCATCAACAACTTCTTCAGGATGAAAACGAGATGTCCTTGGACGGTGGTGGTGCCTAATATAGACCTGAGGGTGATCCAGAAGGTATTCCCACTTGTCGGAGGCAACGATGCAAGGGGTTCTCTCCTGCAAACTTCCATCACAAAAAGGATCATCCTCGGGGCTATAAACATGAGTGGCTGCAAAATTCGGCTGCATGTAGGCTTTTCCTGTGGCCCAAAGGACTCCAGCATAGGCGTCTTGTGAGGCCTGACGGTCCTGCGGCCATCCAGTGACTGGAAAATCATTTACCGCGACCACAAGGTGTCCAGTGTGGTCTACAAAAAGCTCCGCCTCAGTCTCAAGGGCCTTGAGGTAGATCTTCTGTTCTCCGATGTCTACGACTGCACGAACCAGTCGCAGCCAGTCTTGCCCAGCAAGCCAAGGAATCTTGCCACTCTCAGGCAAAGTGTCGTCCAGCACGGAGGTCTTGATCACCATTGCACAGCCTCCAATGCCAACTGGCATGTGCCACCTGTGGTTCGAAGTTCTGGGCTCTCCAGGTCCAAAACGGTAGGACTCGTTCTCCTCGGTGATCAGGGGCTTCACGCTGTGCTTCGACTCGATGATGCTGGCGACTTGCCTGACTTGGGTGAGTCCACCCACAGTATTCTCGCACGCCGTGTCGATGGTCAAGTAGGCGGTCTTGTCCTTGACCGTGGGCTTCATGCGAGTGTTGCTCAAGACGTCTCTTGGTACTCGATCTCCGCCAACGAGGAACTCCTGCATGCTCAAGTCGTCCTCTGGGAAGATAATCTTCATGGCGAAGTCGTAGTCCAAGAAGCGGACCGGGCCACGAGGACTGGCAGCACTGGTTGTCTGCCGGCTCAAAGTCTTGCGGCTGGTCCTGCGGGTTCCGCCATGCACCAAACCACCACAACGTCTCCTCTCCTCGTACTGCTCATCTGAGAGAGTGGAGGTGTCGCGGGAGTAGATGCTCTCGATGCCCTTCTCATACTCAATGCGGCCACGGTGAGTGGGTACGTGATGAGGTCGAGGTTCGTCGGGTCCAGGAAGTCCAGGATGAAGTTCGTTAGAAACCACCAAGGCCACTCTCACCTTGTCCAGGTCAACCTTGGGCGGTGTCTTGGGGACCGGTTTGAGAAGATCCCAAACACAAAAACCAGGTTCCTCCTCAATCACCGGAAGTCCCAAACGTTCTTGTGCTTCACGAATGGCTTCCGGAGCCGATGAAGTATGGCCTCGGGCCTTCAACCTCTTCTCCTCGATCTGCTTCTGCACGTCCGCGGTCGCGGTGAAGACGTCGAACGGCTTGGTCCTGTCCTCCGCGTTGGCGGCCAGCAAAACCGAAGATGAAGACGAGGGTCTCGATGTAGTACCAGTGTCACCAGTCGCCTTGCGCTTCATGCGGTTCAAGTCCTTGATGACCTCATAGGCGTCATGGGACTGAAGTGGGGCATCTGGCTTCTGAACCTTGGTAGTCGTCGAAGTGGGTGTAGCCTTGCGGCCACTGTTGAACTCTGTGGACTTGGGGTAGGCAGCACGGTCAGTCGAGGTGTCAGCAACATTGCGTTCCGCACCTCCGCCAGTCATCCAACCAGTGTGACTGTCATCATAGTCGGGCTGCCATTCAGTCCAGTAGTCGTCATCGTTCTCCTGGGGCTCCTCGGTCTCGTAGTCCAAGTGAGCTTCATGAGCCTTCTTCGGCTGCTTGCATTGAGGATCTCCACGCCAATGGCCAAGTTCGCCACAATCACCACAAGTGGAAATGGCTTTCAGCTCATCCAAAGACATGCCACGGGCTTTGCCCTTGCCCTTGGGTCGCGATGAAGATCGTGAAGACGATGAAGACCTTGTAGAGTCCTTGCCCTTGCCCTTCGACTTGCTGTAGCCCTTGCCACCTCCACCAGAGCGTCCTTTGCCCTTGCCGGACTTGAGATAGAAACCTCGGGCCTTCACGGCCGCTGCAAGCTTCTGGCGGTTCTCTCTGTGGGTGGCGAACACCTCATGTAGTTCACGGGCTAGAGGTTCAGGAAGATATTCAACTTCTGCATCAGCGAGGGACTCGATGGGGTCCTCAGAGACAATCCACTCCTCGAGGTCAACTTCCTCAGTGGAAACTTCAGGCTCCCAATGGCCCTGCGTCTCGTGTGCTGTTCTGCCTTTGCCATAGCTGCTCCGACCATCAGACGGCTTGTCATAGGTCGTTCGGCCGCGATTGACATAGGTCTGGGGGTAGAGGAGGTCAACAGCAGCTTTGACCTTTTGCCATTCATAGTCTCCTCCTGTCCTCAGGAGGATGTTGGCTTGCCGCTCCATGGTGCATCCGGCCTGCTCAAAGAACTGGTAGGTCATGATCTCGTCGGGGATCTGCAAACCAGCTTCCCTGCAAGCGCGGGCGGACTTATCCAGCAAATCACACATCTCGGTGAGCGTGGTGTTCTTCTCCGTGAGGCTCATCTTGAAGAAGCCGCGAAGTGCTCCTCCAATCTTGTGCATCTTGCGCTCATCGAACTTCTCCTGCAGCACCTGCAGAAGGACCTTCCAACCTTCAGGGCCTCCGAAAGTGCGAGCTGGGATGTTCTCCAAGTACTCGGCCGCTTGACCTTCCAAGGCACTATGCAACCGAAGTCCGATCTCGCTCTCGTCGATGATCTTCTTGGAGATCTCCACATAGCTATCAACCTTCTGGAGCCACTGCTTGAAGACCTTCGGGTTCTTCTTGCGATCACCATCAAAAGGTGGTGCTGGAGGGAGGTTTCCTCGCGGTCGTCCACGAGGGGCTGAGTCTTCAGCCTCTGACTTGCCAGACGAAGGTCGCCTTCTCGAAGGGCTCGATGATGAAGTAGAGCTCTTCTTGGGAGTGCTGCCACCAGGATCTCGGCGATGAACTTGTCGCGGTCCATTACGTCCAAGGCGTCCACGATGTAGTTCATGCTCTTCTAACTGCTGCTCCTCATCTCTCAACAGCTCTTCTTCTTCCTCGCCTTCCTCACCCAGAGGGCTCTCTAAGTGAGGGTAGTCAAACTCCGCTGAAGTAGGAAGATCACCTTCAGGAAGTCCATCATGTAGTTCTTCCTCATCATCATGAGGTCCAAACAGCTCAGCAGCTGCCGGCATGGCAGAAAGCGAAAGCACGAGGATCGCGGTGCTCCGCTACCAATGCAGCTAGACGGATTCACACGTCATGGAAAAAGGGGTAAAGGCGCAGCTTGCGCACTTTTGACAGCTCAAGGGCCCTGCGGCGAAAATGAGGTTAGACCGATCGGCTCGATCGTGACGCACTCTTGGAATTCTTGCAGAAAGAACGGCTAACTGCTCGGGAGCGACTGAAATGGATCAAGCAGCATGGATCGACAACAACTCGATCATCCGAAGAAGCCATGTTGACTGAACAGATCGGCAAATCTATGCATGAGGAGGATTTTTGGAAAATGGGTCCAAAGGGAGAACTCATTCGGGTGCACGTGAAACCAAGATATCAGTTGTTTTCACCTGTCGGGGTTGTTGACTGTCCTGTTGACTTGAGAAAACTCGAAGTTTTTAGGGACACCTACCAACAGGGGTGTGCAGGAGAACGCAGCTACTGGGTGGGAACATGTGCACATCGAAAGACTTCCTTCCCATGGACCGGCGAGACAGTCTTTTACAAAATAAAAGAGTAAAGGGTGTGTGAAGCTCACAAGCTTACCAATCAGATGTCTCGCATGACGACCTTTTGATCGAACCTACCGAAAGGGTGGGTGGGTGGACCGAACATCGTCGACAAAGAGCGAGGCCGCTTGGACAAGAGGACAGGGTTTCCCCAAGGTTAGGATCATTCAACTCCAGGGTGAGATTAACAGTGCATATATATATATATACATTATTGCATATATACAATATGATATGTACCTCGATCCTTGTTGAGGTACTGAAAGGCCAGCCCATTCTGTTTGACAGCTGCCAACAGCTCGTTCTCCACTCCCGACTTTGCTGCCTGATGATTCCTCCAATACTGGCTGTTCACGAACTCCAAGTTGCTTTGCGTTTTTCCAGATGACCGCAAGCGGCCAGTGGTCTCTGCGGAAGTCATCGGCAAAGGCATGGCACTCACTTTCGATTGGGATCCAAACAAAGCTAGGCCTGACCGCCTGACCGCTCTGTCATCCATACAAGCTTGTATGGCGGCAGGATCATGGGACAGAGATCATGAAACGCATAACATCAGCTGACACATCAACTCCATTCATCGAAGACCCACGTCATACAGTACTACTTATCAAGATTTAGTTGCCAAGGTTGCCTTGCAAGACTTGAACCCCTTGCAAGCAACCTTTGCCGAACTGTGCAACACCCAACTCTATCCAACCAGACACGATGTGGCACCTTGCACCACTGCTCTGTCCAACTCCGGCTCAGCAAGAGCTCGTGCCATGGCCAGCCAGGCCAGCCGTTGAAAACCGTCCAGTCGCTGCCACCGCCGCTCGCGCCCTGCCTGGCGGGGAAGAGATAGTTTCGCAGCTTCCGGACCACAAAAAGCAGTTATATATGTAAACTTCTGCCTCAAGTGCAAGCAAGTGCCAACCAAAAAGAAAAAGGAAGTACAAGCTCACAAATCCATTTACAACGTCTATCAACATCTATCCATATTTCTCCGAGATCCTTGTCCTGATGCTGTCGAGCTGCCCAAGGTGCTACAGAGCCGTGGAAAAAAAACGGAATGCTCTCCATCCATACCTGTAGTTGCACCCAGCAACGTGCTGGAATCTCCCAAATCGGTTCAGATAGTTCCCGTGTTCAGCCACTGAACCCTGATGAGATGGATTCATCAATCTCAGAGTCCCAATGCACCTGGACGTGGAATCCACAATTGCGATTCCCCACCTACAGTAGATGAATCCTGCTACACCTTTTTGAGTTGCCCACCCCACACTCTGTCGGCCAAGATTCAAGTGGAGATAGCACTAGAATTTCCACCATAGCCTGCAATGATCAAGCACGTTGACACTGCTCCTTGATGGAGAAACATGCAAGTAGTTCGGTGGATAGTCTGCACAATAAAGCAGTCAACCACTGTGCACTAGAAAGACTGCTACATACCTTTGCACTTGAGGCAACCGTCCCCAAAAATGCCTTCTCAACCTGAGTGGCAAGCGGACAGAAGCGCTGGCATGTTGAACTTGAATTTGCATGAAATAAAGCAACATATGTGGAATCTGATGGCGTCGCGCCTGATACGCCGCCAGAAACTGTGCGCTTTGTCACAAATGAATGTTGAAGTGCATCCGAGGGTGGCAGCCTGGACAAACACCGTCAGTGAACCACCTTCGGTGAATTTGTCCTTCAGTCATCAATATCAACCTTGATATGAACATGATGGCGAAGTGCATGCACTTTCGATGATGTAACCATCTGTAACCCACAAAGAAGAGTACAACATCCACACCTTTGGCTAGGTGTGACTTTGAGCAGCTTTTCCACGAGGTCACGAGCATCGGGGTGAAGTCCCTGCCACCTGTCCAATGGGCCAAATAGTGGCAGAAACACCGGGAGACAGGATACACAACAATGCGCAACGTGATTCTGAGGAACTTCACAGGATAATGCTTGATGGAAGAAGTCCGCTAAATCCTACGACTGCTGAACGATTTCACTCCTGCAAAGTAGGTCATCAGCTAGGGTGTTTCTCACAGCTTCATGTCAAGAAAGCATGTGTGTCCATCTCTGTGATTTGACTATAGAACTTCTATGTGCAAGGAACCAGGTGGAACCAGGAAGTTGTACAAAACCATGTTGCCCGCGTGCTGTGCCTCTCTGTTCGAGCATTGTACCTGCCATGCGCCACAAGCCGCAGCACTTCCTTGCGCAGGTGGTTCAAGTGACTCCCTCTAGTGCTTGTTGCTTGAAGCAGCACATCGTACATGCTGCATGCGAAAGGTTCTGAGCCTGCCTGGTCCTGAGCTTCCTGGGTTTGTTGCTTCAAAGCCTGGTTGAAGGGATTGTGGCCCACCAGCAGAAGATAGAGCACCTGGAAAGTACAGCAAACACATGACATGTGAACCTGATGTAAATCAAATCAAGGCAGTATCAGTATCATTGAATTTAGACGGCGTGGTCTGAACAACCCCCTTCCATGCATTGTCTTCAGCGAGAGTTGCAGGGAACCTTTCAATCGTCTGAGTGGTGGCTTGCTGAAAATGCCCACTGCTGTGTTTCTAGAGCTCCATGGCTGCACGACTGCAAACCATGCCTGAAGTCCAACCAAACAATCAGCTCCAAAGCTGTGGTACGAAAGCACGATCCCATCCAAACCAACCCGGTTCAAAGGAGTCTCATTTTCCAGATGGATGGTTATCGTGCAAATCCCAGTTCTCCAAGCTGAGGATTCAATCCCAGAGTTGAGGCCCAGGCCACACCGGCACTCCACATGTCACTGAGACCCTTGATGGGCTCGCCATGCTGGTCCACCGCCAGAGGCTCTGGCTCGATGCCCTCAGAAGTCACATTCAAGAGAGTTACGGAGACGTTTATATGATCGACGGGTCAAAATAGTACTAAACCAAAAGGTAAATTTGGACCGTACAAGTGCCTCAGAAAACTGTCACATCCACACTTCCAACCAGCTGACAGGTTGAGCTGCAGCAAATCATGGAAAAATGCGAGAGCCGGAAAGTCGGAAAGCATTGTACACCGGGGGACCATGTGCTCATTAAACACAGTTATCACAATTTACAATGTAAATATATTCAAACATTAAGCATTTCACCGGGTTCCTTGTCTGGTCGTGCCTCCACCGGCGGGTTCAGTTCAGGCGGTGCATACCACAGAGAGCCAGCACCTCGTAGGATTGGAGCAACAGTATGTCTCAGGTCGTGGAGATCTGTATCTGAATCGGCCTTTGCTTTCTTTCTTTGTAAGTTTTTTGTTTAGCCCGCTGCCCCCCCCTCCCTACTTAATTAAGTAGGCGCCTACTTAATTAAGTAAGGCGACTTGCTGCTGGACCCAGGATAGCTCGCACTATTCATTTGGTTCCTAGATTTTTAGGAAAATCAATCTTGACTCATTGGCCAGCAACATCTCAATTGCTATCGAAAAGTGTTCGCAGGCTTTCGCGAGGACCAAGCACTAAAGTCGTTGCCGCCCCTGGCCTGTCGGGGGTGGCTTTGTCGCCTTCCCCTCTGGTGCTGCAATGGCCGCCCAGCCGAAATCACCAAGCTTCAACTCTGCTTGGAAGGCTGAAACCTCCATCGAAAGGGATTGCTGAGACAAAACGAGCTGAAAGGGGGAAAGGAGACAAGGTCAAGCAAGCATTGAAGCTGGAGTTCGTTTGCAAGCTCGCACGCTGCATTACTCAGTTCCCAAAAAGGTCAGCAAAACACAATTAACATTTCGCATTGGGCCAAGGTGAGACGAACCAATGCATGTTTTTTTCAAGATTTTCCTATACAGCATTGACTTCAACGAGGCACGGCCACGTCAAAGAGCATCATATTTTCAGGCTTCACCTTGGTGTGGAACACTTCGGGGAAATCATCCATCTCTGCGTCTGCGTCCCTTCACAATCTTGTGACTCATATTTGGAGCATCAGACGTTTGTCCGAGCGACAGGTTTACTGCGGTGTGTCTGATTCAACCGTTCAATGGTGCGCTTGTTCTTGGGAGGCACCGAAGGCCTTTCAATGCGAGTAGTTGGCATTAGTTGTCTACGTATGCTTAACTTAACTTCAAGCCAATGATTTCTTGTGCTATCACAGCCGCTATGCTACTTGGATCCACAAGAATTTGGAGCCTCTGCTCAGAGCTTTTGACACAGGATACATGTTTGTGGCCTTGTTCACTCAACTGAAGAGGTACCTGACTGACCTGATCCCTAATTTCTATATCGCTATTCATGCACGTTCATCTGGCAACTTTACAAGGCCCTAGGATAACATGTCGGGTCCTTGGGCGTCCCCACGTCTTGGTGCTCGACGCCGCAACTGCTCAAGTGCTGCAACGCGAGGAAGAGCTGGCGAAGAAGCCGCGCTACCAGACGTTCTGGAAGGCCACCCTGCAAGAAAACGCTTGGATGCTCTAAACTGCAATAAGAAGTAAAGACTACCCAACGTAGCTTAACAGCAATTAGTAAAGTCAAAACTGCAATCTTGAGCAACACCAAGCTTGTCACCAAGTGTGCCCACAGGCATCCAGTCAAAAAGAAGCAAAAGAACAATATCTGCGTCCATCAAGCTGGGAACTTGCCTTGGGGTGCTCCCGGGCGTAGAGGTCGTAGAGCGTGGAGCCATCGCAGTATTCAAGGACCAAAACGTCTTCACGGTTGAAGCCCTGACAACATCGACTGGACCGTCACAAGGCGAAGGTTGGGAACGCTCAGTCGAAGGCGGAGCGAAGCTGATGACTGGAAGGGTGCAATGGCACGCTCACATGCGCAAACCGCACACATTCTGCGCCAAGGAGCTTGGATGATGATTCAATAAACAAATCCAAATCCGCGTCCGCACTGTCGAATCGGATGGGGCAATCAGGGGGCTATATCAGTTAAAGCAAGATATTTTTCAGTGCGCCTGATAGCTCTCCAGCAAGCGAAGAACGTTGGGATGGGTACCCACCTGTGAGGCCAAGGGTGCAGTCTAAGGGACAGGGTGCGTTGCAGTAGGTGCGAGTGTGCCATGGTCGTGTGCCGCAGGGGTGTGCAGGTTACACAATGGAATGGTTTTTTGAGGTGGGAGTCAGACTGGTTCTGAGTTTGAGGTGTCAAATCAACCTTCCGTTTCTGCGCTCCGCACGCGTTTCAAGGCTGTGAGCTCTTTATTGAACCTCAGCCAAGGCGACATAGAAGGAGATAGAGGGTGGAGTGCAGCGGAGCAGCATAAACCTACGCGTGGACCTCGCCTTGTGAAAACAAACAGCTGAAAAAATGAAACGCACTTTCCAGAGAAACAACTTGCCACGAGAAATGACTCAAATGTGCCACGAGAGGCCGAAACGATTCATGGTATAAACGATGGAGCTTTTCTGCGGAGTCACGTGCGACTGCCAAGGCGGTGAAAGCGCTTGATGGCTACCTGGCATCGACATGCACCAACCATGTAAATACAAGTTCTAATGTTAAGTTTCCCTAAAAATCTAGGAACCAAATGAATAGTGCGAGCGCTTCGAGGAAGCTCCCCCTCGCCACCTTTAGGGCAGCGGGGGGAAGAAGCGTGAGCTATCCTGTGTACTAGTAGCTACTTAAGCTACTAGCTACACCTCTCCCTCCTACCGACTCCCTAGCTAACCTACCTCACCTCCACAAGCGGTCTACACCCCGCGGTCTTAAACAAAGAACTGAAAATGCAAGTTCCTTTACGGTAGAAGCAAAAGTGCTCTTTTAAACCTGCATCGAGCATGTGGAAACCCCATTCATGCTGGAAATCACCAACCTTGCGGCCATGCTCACGGAGGCATTGTGGTATGCTAGCCTGCGCCAGATTTGCGGGCCACTTGTGGACTTGAGATCCAGAAAAGTGCACATCATCGGCACTAGCTCGAGATAAATCCCAACAGACCTAACCTATAAATGACTGTTGATTCTCAATGCAGGAACGTCTCGCTCCCTACTTCAGTGTCCCAGCCGTGACAGCTCCACAGGTGCTGAAAGGCATTTGCTGTGCCTAAGCCATCCGGTGAAACCCAAGAAGCTGTGCCCAGTCACTTACAGTAAAAACAAGTTGTGGCTTTGGATAGGTATTGGCTTGGCTGCCGGACAGTCTCAGTGGTTTCCAGGTCAGCTAGAGCCTGCTGAAAGGGATGTGTTGCACAAACAAGTCTCAGGAAATAGTATAAGCTGTAGCAAGAAGGAATTGTCAGGGTAGACAGTCTCATCAAATCAAGTTGGATTCAAGCATATCTGGAATGGGCAAATGAAAAACAAGTCAGAAGTCTGACAGAATGGTGGAAGCCAACCAAGGAGTTTGGCTCCATTTCTGTTGCCATTTGCAGTGAAAGGTGGGGACTGAGTTACCAAATCGCGTGCCTCTGCTTCAAAGACTTTGGCTGAGATTCCATCCCCCAAGAGGCGGCCCAGAGAGTAGACTTTTGTCCATCCCTGCATCTCATCCTGCACCGGGGCGAGAAGGGGAAGCACGCATTGACTTTTTTCAGGATCTTCACACTTCCTTACAGTACTACGTGATTACTTAACCAATTCATCATATGCATCGCTTCGTAACTGAAACGCATCATGCAAGTTCTCCTGCTTAGAATTTGAAGAGAGACAGCTTGCGGCTTGGGGGATGCTGGTTCCGACTCCCCTCCATCCTGCTTGGTCCCAGCTCTAGGTGCCGTTGTGCTGGAAGAGATCTGCGCAGCTCGGCAGTACTTCAGTGAAAGTGGACTCTTGAAAATCAATATCATGGGCAGCATGGGCCTAGGTGGCCTAGCTGCTTACTAACTCATCATAGCGATGGCCTCCGACTAATAGCGATGGCCTACAACCTAATGGCAATATGGAAACAGCAATGGAATGCAAACCTTTAAGCTGGAGATGCTGTGAACCGATGGCTTGGTCCAGGCCTGGAAGGCATTGCAGTGAAAGGCAACCCAAGGCTCGTTCTCGAACCTGGCCACGGGTGTCGTGCACGTAATGCCCAGTCCGTATGTATCGGTGGTTGAAACTCTGTCTTAGGATCCAGTGATGGCAAGTTGCGTGTAGCTGCGTAAACGCGCATGTCAAATGCATCAAACATGGTGAAACAGTTACTGTCGAACTGACACGTTCCAATCAACTCTATGTCCAAAATACTCGTACATTAAGAGTTCACAGCCGATGATAGAATCAAAAAAAAGAGTCCGGCCCAAAGTCCCGCTTGTGACCAGTTGTTGCTTAAACAAGACGAGTTCAGAAGGCTCTGCCCCAGGCAGAAAGGTGATACAAAAAAAGGTCTGCTCAAAACTCATCAATGCTCATCATGACTAAAGCATATTCCAAATGTGTGTGTGTGTGCTCCGACCTGGGTCGCACAGGCACAGAGGGCTTGGGCGCACCCTGCTCGGGGAATCGATGAGCACCAGTCTGACAGCTTTGACAGCTTTGGCCCATGGCTACAGAGGAAAAGTCGAAGAAGCTTCGCCACACTGCGGATATTGCAATCGTGCTTCCCAGCTCTAACTCCCTCTTTGCTCTCATCTCACGACAGGTTTGTTTGGCGCAGGTCGTACCTTAGCAGTACAGAAATCGCCTTGATGGCATTGCTTGCTGAGGTTGGGTGCCCCCAGGCCCTCGTTTCTGCCTTCGAATCTCTTTTTCAAGGACTTGCATTGCATGGCTGTCCATATCTACTGGAGCCAAAAGCTATGCCAGAGAGAAGTCGGGTCACAAAGGTGTTTCATGGTGGTTTTTGGGTTGCTGGTGCAGCAAACGGCGAATGTGGATGGAAGCAAAGCAGAAAAACCTCGCTCAACCATCTACAAACTGAGTCAATCAAGCCGCATGCGCTCTCAAACCCTACGTCAGATGTGTATTCCACCCGCTCTAGTGAGGGTGCTTCATTACACATGTTGCACAAGTGTTTGTCCCTCATGCTCAATCCGGTCAGTAACTGTTCTTTTGTCCGACACCCGCATTCAAACCTTCAGAGTCCATTGGCCAATCATTCTCCTGCAATGGTCTTCCGTTTCTCAGACACCGATTTATGTTTTGCTACATGCTGCAAGCACATGGTGAACAAGTCCTACTAGATACTACTTTATGAATTCCAGGGCACGAAACCCCCTTCATGTCCTTGAGAAGAAAACAGAATTCCGGAAGTGAGTCACCTTGAAAAATAACAGCATCCCCAAATCCAAGCATGAAAGTTGCGTGTCTTGCATCCGAATTGTAGTCATCTTCTCCACAGGAGTTCTGCCATGTCTGAAAGCAAAGGTGGTTTCAACCCCAGTCCGAAATGCCCACAGAGGCACACAACCGAGCATGACATCAAATACCTGTCTAGAGTCTAGAAAGAGCTGGGCACCCCAAAAAGAACGAACCAAAGAATACACCTTGAACGCACCCAAATGTCCATGCTCTGCTCCATGGCACCTGCATGCGCTGCACCAACGCAGCCACTGCCACATCTGCTCTCCGCTGCACCTTGCAGAGTTGAAGCACGTTGGATATTTGCATATTAATCTTTTCCTTTGGACGAATCTCTGATAGTATGATTGTCTGGACATAGCTGAACTGCCCCTTGTGTAGGTCGGCAACCATTGTCGCACAAACCAAGCCATATCATATCAAATGTAACCAATGTAACAAGTCATGCACTTGTCATAGGCCGTCCGGGCATAGGGCTGTTGGCACGTGATGGGCATTAGCACGCATTAGCTTCCATTGATGAAATTACTGTATCTGGCAGGCCAGGTTATTTTTGCAAAGTTCATCAAGCTCATTGTTTGATACAAAATCCTTGTGGGTAGGACCCAAGCGCTTTGTTTTTCATTCGACGTAGACGTGAGCTGGCAGCGACCCTGCAGCGGCACCGGCATCCAAGCTCAAAAGCCAACACGGCCATACATATCTGGCACCACACAGCCACGCAATCTGGCAGCAGCATACTGCAGCGGCACTCTGCACCGACACCGGCACCCAAGTTCCAAAGCGCGCACAGTCATAAACATCGGCAGCTGCACTTTGCAGCGGCACCAGCACCCAGCACCCAAAGCGCACACAGGCACCTTTTCCTAATTATACTTGAAGCAAGAACCCCAATAGCTCTCGCTATCTCAGGAATTATCTGATACTAGCTGGTGTGAAATCATGCTCTGATAGGCAGTTGGATGGTTTTTTGCCCAATATAAAATGCTCATGATCATGATCGTCATTTCCCCAAATAAACCACCGAGCACTGCCAGTTCTGCAGATTTCCGTGCCTGCTCAGCGGCGGCCTCTGCACGCTGCTCCATACGCCGCGCTTCTAAGAGCACGGCGCTGAGGTCAGCGCCCTTTGCCTCGAAGAAATGCATTGGAATTTGGTGGAATGGATGCCAATGGTTTGAATTACAGTAGCATGGTTCAATAAAAACCCTGCGTATACTGCTGTAAACTGTTTGCGGTATACACTTTGTGTCTGGCTGCCTGGCAGAATTTCCGAGAAGAAGGCTTGTATAGGCTTATGCATTCTGATGCTCGTCTTGGGAACTTGTAGCAGGCCAGCTCCCAAAAGTAGAAACCCAAAGAAAGATGCTCGGTCTTTTGTCTATGCTTGGATCTCCTGTAGACAGCCACTACTAGCCCCACTGCTTAGGCAGCTTGACATGGCCCTTTGACACCTGGACATGCCTGGCCAGCCTCCAAAGCATCAACTCGGAGAGAAAGCTTGCGAACGGCCTGCACAATCTTGGTTATTTCTCTGTTGATCTACATGCCCGCGCATCTCAAGGCCAAGGGATCAGAGTTTGTTCTGCAAGAAAAGGCAGGAGACATGTAGATATCAATAGCGTGGATGGTTCATCTGACCACGCATGCGGGCACCAATCAGGCTGACATGGAGAAAGTATAGGATCAACAATCACTAGATTCGGTACATAAAAGAAACTGACAACTTGTCTTGTATCAGGAGCTTATAGGAGACACCACAAGCTTTCGGCCTCCTCCCTCGAAGCATCAGCCTCTGAGAGGCGACGCAAGTGCTCGCGCTCCGCCACCTCTACGAGTTCACAATGCGAGATGTTGAAAGGACGTCTTGCGCGCTAAGATGTAGCATTGAGCCGAAGAAACAAAGTTTAACAAGCCCAAGTCAATCCGCAACTCCAATTCCATGTCAGACATATTAACAATATACGTCATGCGCATATCAATACGTATTGAGCTCGTGAGCTCGTGAGCACCTCCAGGTTGAGCTCTGCACGAACTAGTTCACCTCAGAGAGCACTGCGAGATGCTTCGTGTCAGTTGGTAGAATCTTCCAGAAATGACTCAGCTGACCTGACAAACCCCGAAAGACCCTACAAGGCACCTGTACTTGAGGGGCTCAAGACACCATGAACATATGGCTTTCAAGACAGAAGCCGTCGTGAACCCACTCTTGTGAATCAGCGCTCTTGCCTCCCCTTTGCAGTCGCAGGGCCTACATCCCTCAACAGACTGGTGAGAAAGGCTTGTAGTTTCTTGCTCCTAGTAGTACGGCCAGGAGCCCCTAGTAGCGTCTTTGCTCCTAGTAGCGATGCCAGGAGCCCCTAGTAGCTCCTAGTAGCGATGCCAGGAGCCCCTAGTAGCTTCTTGGGCCAACAAGTCGCAGAATGTCGGCCCAAACAAAGCCTGTGGTTCCATACTCAGATCCTGCACGGCGATGGCCTGCCCCTCAAGGGTCTCCATCACTTCCTCAGTCCAGAGATCTGAGCCATGCGCCATGTGTGCCTTTCCACAGCTCCACCCACTAAATTCTGTCTACACCTGTTTTGACTGCATGTGCTGACTGCAAGCAATCGAGCAAGTTTGGCACAAGAAATCGATCTGTTGACGAGACTCAGGTTGAATGAGGTACTTATCGAACAAATGGCCAGGCATGTCAAAAGGTGCAGAACGCTGCATTCGTTCTTCTTCATGACTCATGGCTAAGTATCATCCAGCCAAAACTGGCAGAAACGACACCTTCAGCCCTTCAGCCTTCAGCCGCAGTACTTTGACAAGTGGCCAGAAATCTGCCGGTGCCGATCTCAGCCTCGGCTGAGAGCATCTTCCTTTCCCATATTGTCCTCTATGGGCTAGGAGAATGGCTACGGCTAGTCCAAAACCACCAAGCTTGAATGGCACCCAAAGCCAAGCAAGGGATAGATCCAACAAGTATGGTCAACTAATGAGAAACAAGTATATCAAAGAGGCAATGTACTGTTGCACGCCACCGCGCCACGTGTACCGCTGCAATGTCATGGTGATATCAGCACATGCAAGCGCAGTACTAGTCTTAGTACCACATAAGCTAACATTGGGACAGTTCTGCTTCCAAGGTGCCCGATTGCGATCTGAGATCTCCTGGTGGAGGTGGAACGACCCTGTTCTTTTCAGTCGCAATACACTCCAAGTGTGCGCTCATGTCATTTCCACTTACAAGTAAAGACTGGAAAAATCGTCTGCCCGGGTTCTACCCTCAACCGACATCAATACCTCCAAGAACAACCGCCAACTTATGCGCGTTACATCTTGCAAATACTGCCATGTTTCGCGCGCCTTGCGAATTTCTTTGGCCTTGACAAGCTGTGACCTTCAAATTGAACATCCAGCCAACTCCAAAGCGACTGAGGTTGAGGGCGCTGTAAGGTTGCATCATGTCATGACCTTCTGAGTGGATGGCGAGATCTGACATGTTCAACTCATGAGCTCACAGGAGATGCGCACTTGGAGCACTTGGCATAGCCAAACCCCCAACCAAGCTGCCGGGCCAGCAGGCCATGGCTTTCCGCAAGGAGGCCTCGCACGAATTCACCTGCAGCTCACAGTCTGGAAATTTGAGGTCGCAGGAATGAGGCTGAGTCAAAAATGAGTCAAATACACCTTGGAGGGAGCATCCTCAAAAGCCCTGCTAAACCGCATCTTTCTTGCAAGGGTTTGAAAGGTATGAATCAAGGTGCTATTCTTAACTTACTATCACTTGGTTGGCAAAGATTTGATGCCACATTCTTTCTGTTCTTGGTGAACTCTGTGCTAAAGCATGCCCCTCCTGTGTCAAGCGCTTTACAGCGCTGAAGAGCGCTGACAAGCGAAAAGTGTGCAAATCTAGGCCTAGGCGGTGCCGCCAACATCAAATGCAAAACAAAGAGCCAAACCAATGAGTTCTGACCCCCCAGTTACGTCGTCAGCGCCCCAACCCAGTTCTCAGAGATCCTCCTTTGGGCTGCAAGGAAAGCTGACGTTTAAGACCTGTCTGATTACAGTCGTTTTCCATTGGCTTTCCTACAGCTGTGTACTTGTTACTGGGACTCCTTCCATGCACCGGAAACAAACACTCTCAGTCTAGACACGGGTAGGCCATCGCAGTCCCATCAGCCACCATGTCACTGTACACGTTTCTGTGCCACAGGGTCCAAATAAATACCTTCCCTTGGGCCTTTGGAAAAAGCTTTCTCTGTGGTTGAGATCCCCCACGTTGTGCTTCCACAGGCCTGACGACACTGTCGTCGGACACTCGGCTGCTCACTCCCAAGCACCATGGTAGAAGGATAAGTCGATTGACATCCTAGGACTATTGAAATGGATCTGAGAACACTTCAGTTTCGGAAGCGATGTGACCCACATAAGCTCCGAATCTGCAACTGGCCATCCGCCTTTGCGCGCGTAAACATGCGGCCACCTGGCCAGAATCATTCCCTTTCACTCTGCTGGGAATTGCAGGGTACAGGGTCACCGAACATGGAGTGTTGGCAAGTTGCACTAATATATACTATATATATATATATATATGTGTCTATGTCTTGTCATGTCTTGTCGCATGTCCCTCAAGCATCATGTGCAATTGAATAAACAACGTCAGTTCAGGACTGGTGTCCCACATGTCAAGAAGATTTTCCTTGAGGCGAGCGTCACTTCATCAAGGCGAGGGAGCGCTCATGAGACACCCGCAAGTTACTGTAGCTGGGAGGCACCTCCCACTTGAAGCTCCATTTTTCCAACGAAAGGCCCAAGCACAAAATATTACACAAGGCAAATCAAAGGCAACGATGTCCCTCTTTCCATGAACGGAATTGCTGTTTTGGGCATCAGTGTATAACATGAAAAACGCGCAAATGACAGGGCCGTTCGTTGACACCTGTACACGTTGGAAGGAAAGACGAGAAAATGGCTCACTGGCAGCTTAGCAAACGAATTGATCAGCTGCTTCTCCTGAAAACCGGATGTGCATGACTCCAGAATATGTTGAATTTAGAAATCCCGATATTCCTGTCTTCACTGTTTTTGAGCAAACAAGTTGGAAATCTACCTTTGCCTTTGGCTGCCAGTTGCTTCCCTCTTGACGCTTTTGTCTCTGGGTGGCAACTTGAATCCTAGCAAGTCGTAAATGCAGTATGAATTTGGCAATGTTCATGCTGGTACATCTACCGAATGCTCCTCAGCCGAACAAGTAATTCATGGCGCAAGGAAGCCAAGTGTGTCCCCTCCCTTTTAACATGGCAAATAAGAAAGCGGCACTCGAATGAGGAAAACAGCAAGGATGCTAAGGCAGCCAAGTGTCGGCCGAAAAGTGGTCAACGAAGGCCAGAGACAAAGTCCATGAGTGCTTGCACAAGATCCTGCACCAAGGTTAGAGTTCTCCACAACTTGTCGCCATGCCATGGGCTTCTCTCCTTTTGCTATACAAATACTGCAACCAAAGTCCGAGTGATGCTCCGATATTGGTGCGCATGGGCATGGATGTGTTATCTTACGTCTCTCCTTTCATGTCTTTCGTCTCTTTTGTCTTTTTACACGGATTTCCAATGCACTCTGTGCGAAGTTCACACGAAACCAAACATCTTCAACCCTCGGCGTGCCACAGAAGGTCGGTGGCATAAGCGGCTGCAAAGTTCTTGCCCATCATGGATTCCAAAGGGCAGGCTCGTTGGAGGATGCGGCGGCCACATTCACGTCACTAGTGTAAGGCATACGGCCACAAAATACAGATGGTTAGCAAGTTTTACCTTGATGCTTTCGTTTTTGGAAAACCGACACTAGCAGCCGACAAGAACTGAAGGTCAAAGCAAACGTTGGCCGAAATCATGGGCTCAAACAGTTAGAGTTTGGGACTGCCAACACACGCCAGTCACTCCCACAACTTCAGTTCAAGGCCGGAGAGCTCGAAAACATTGCTTTAAGGGACTACGACGGATTCATCCAAGCCCTGACTTGCTGCAGGAGCGTCCATCTCTTTTGTCTGCTCTCTCTCTCTCTCCCTCTTCCTCTCTCTCTACAGAAAGAGGAACGAAAAGGAAAAACATGAACGTAACACAAACACAAATAAGAAAGGCAAGTCTACCTCACTCTCTTTTCCCTCCATCCGTCCCTCGCGGATCCCTCCCTTTCTCGTGTCGCTTTTCCATAGAGGTCCTCCAGCTCCGCCTCGCTTCCTAAGGCACCAAAGCCGCCGAAGCGCTCTTTCAGGCGATCTGCCACGCCGCTCGCGCCTCACAAGTCATCGGCTGTTTGTCCGGACAAACCAAACTCTCTCAAGGAAGAATGAGATGAATGAAAAAATAACAAAAGAACCGTGAAAAGAAAGAGTTGATTAAAAGAAAAACAACAATGATGACAGTGAACCAGTAAAGCAGGAAAGGTCTCGAACACAGGACCTGTCCTATGATCTAATGTGACCTGTCCTGTCGGACGAGAACCACCAGCCTTCTGGCGCCATGTCTGCCAACGAGACCACCACCGGAGTCAAGTGGCCACCCTGAGTGCGAGGACACTCTTGCAGGGCTTGTGGATGCTGGAGGGTTGGTAGAGTTGAGGGAATGCAAAGCCGAATGGAAGAAGAGGAGTGTACGTCGGACATTTCAAGAACCACCAACCACACAGCGTGACTAAACTTTGCCGGTTCCAAATGATTGATCGGCAGACTGAGGGATCTTGTAGTCTTTGTGGGATATAAATATGTGTTGCCAATTTTTTTCTGATGATCATCATTGATAATCTGCCTTCATCTCCAAGCTGTCAGCCTTCCTGGCACCTCTCATCACAAAGGATGACAGCAGCTCCTGGCAGGGAACGAAGCGAAAACAGAAATTGGTCAGAGCGCTACAGTGCCCCAAGCCCAGTAGCACTCTGTTTTCAAAGGTGTCCAAATGTCTTTACAGAACAATTTCCCATTCACTATACAGTCAGAATCTATTTAAAAGACCTTCGGCAGGTGTTTGTGCAAAAAGAGGGAAAATGCAAACAGTTGGTTCTCAAATGTTCTGAGGAAGCCCTCGCAAAGTCTTAGCTCTGGCCTCACTGCAGTCCAAAGAATCATTGCTGAAGCGGAATAGCCTCACAGGTTTGGTCAAAAGGAAAGGAAAGAATTCGGACATATTAATAGGGAAAGCCCTTTTTGGTAGTAACAAGGGCATTACTACTAGTAGCAAGAAGCTACTAGGTGGAGGCCCTCGCTACTAGTAGTGACAAAGGGCATCGCTACTAGGAGCAAGGACTCTACTAGTAGCTCCTGGCATTACTACTAGGAGCAAGAAGCTTTCTAGTAACTAGAAGTGGCCTTACTACTAGGAGCAAGGACGCTACTAGGGGCTCCTGGCATTACTACTAGTAGCATTCTTACTACTAGTAACTAGAAGCTACTAGTTCAAAAGTTTCAGCCTCCCTATTTCGGCCATGTGAATCCCCTGCGCCTGGTACGTAAGTCGGTCTTGTAGCTTTCCTGACATGATTAGAAGCCAACCAAACCACAGGCTTGTAGCATAAGAAATGACACCAACTGCTAGCTGTTGCTCAAGCGTGTCACCAGGATGTCTATTCCCTTCACTGTACTGCCAGTTGCCAGTATGATTGTGCACGGTATCTATGCATGCCTCCAGAGTCTAGTGCTTTGGGCATTAAACATTGCAACGTCTATGGCCTATGGATTGACATGGTCCGATGCTCAGGTCCTCCACCAGGTCCAGCACTTCATCTGGCCCAGGAGTAAACTGCAGTCCAGAAAGTTTTGCTGCCCTGCCAATAGCTGGTTCCTTAGCGAAATGCATCAGCTTGAGGTCCATGTTGGTCTCCACTAACTATGTTCGGCGTTTGTGGTGGGTGGAACTCCAACCTCTGCAAAACGCAGCGCAGCAAGGATTATGCAGTCTTGCTTGACTGATGGCACAAACAAGAGTGAGCCATCTTAGACCAAACCGGCCAGTCTGAATGGCAAAAGCGCCGACCCGTGTGGCTCCAAAACCGCTCCAAGCTTCCAAGAAGTTCTCCCAGAGCTGCTCCGAGGCCAAACCACCCAGCCCACCGCTGCCTCAGAACCCACTGACACAGCCCTCTAGCCTTGGGATGCCTTTAAGCCCTAAACTTCAAACCAAAAAGAAAGTGTTGAAAGATGAAAGTTCTTTAAATAAGAAAACACATGTCTTTAACAAACAGGTGCCTTAACCTCCGTGGTAAGCGCGAGTTACGGCTAGGATTTCATGCCGTCAATCTAACGGCATCAAGCAGACATGCTGAAGAATGATTTGCAAAGTATCCAAAACAAAAAGTATGCAAAACCTTCTAAATCGTGCATCTCACCCTGCACTGTCTTCAAGACTTCTCGGAGCAGGCGGACCTCGAGTACATGTCGCTATAGTGAGTGGAGTCCCTTCCACCGGAGACAAGTCTCGGAAAAAAAAGGTGATCCCACTGTATTTCCGCCCATAAAAAGTGTTTCTTGAGCTTCCAATGAAGTGCATGCAACGTTCTTCTTCCCGAAATGAACCGAAGTGATCTTCAATGCATTTCTTACCGCCCAGTGTTTTGTGTGCCAAGCTTTTGAAGTGAATGTCACCTGTCTGGCCTGGTCTTCGACTCCGAAGTTGTTGAAGGCCAAGAGAGCCACACCAGCGAGCATTGGATGTGGACGCTGGCATGATAGCAGGACCTGACTTGGGTGCTCCTTCATGCATTCACGTAGCTTCTCGAAATTGATCTACAGTTTCCAGACATGTTGATGCGAGGACTGTGCTTCCACCTTACAGCCTACTGGGTGTTGGATGACTCGATGCTGAAAACTCCTGCAAGGTCTAAATATAATACGACCTAGTTGGTCAAATACTGAGTCTCACACCTTTTGGTGAATCCATAGAGCTGGATAGATCAGGGTTTCAGGTGTTGATCTGACTCTTCTTCAGAGAATATCTAGTTTGAAGCTAAGCCTTTTTGTCAGAAGAGGTGAATAGCATCCAGCATGTTCCAGATCGGACCGATACACCTCAGCTATACAAGCCTTATGAAACAAAACTAGCGTGTGCTCTTCCTCACCTTAACTCCTGTATGCAAAGGAATGGGGCCTCAATTTGTCATCCGTATGTACACACATAAGATCACATAAGTCACATAAGCCTACAAGCAGATTCTATGCTCCTCACTTGTTCTTCCACTAGATGTCTCGTGTTTGCCAAAACCGATAGGAACGGCCTGCAATTTGGCGCCCAGGGAGTGGCCCATGGCCAGGCGAGGCATTCGGTCCTGCAATCGACATCCATAGACCAAGCTTCGGTCCGTTCAATTCTTTGCGTAGATAGTTTGCTGGAAATAAGAAACCTGTCTCAAGAATGTTTGGAAGGGTGGTGGCAAAGGCCTGTACATGAAAATGTCTGAAACTATCGAGACTGTACAAGGAGAGATGTAGATGAAACTCCGCATGGAATGAGTGAAGACTGAGAAGGGTCACCCTCTCAAAAAGTGCGGTGGTTAGTTGGCAGAAGCAGCAAGATCCCATCTTTTTGTCTCTCACTGTGTTACACATCCGATGTCTTGGGCAAGTGTGTCCTTGGCCCAACCAAATCGTTCCTCGCCCAGTTCAAACGCCTCTGCAAAGTCGGACGCGGCCTCGGCTGACAAGCAAACACCGTCTGCTGTTTTGAAGGATCGGAAGCGTGTCAATGTCACGAAGCAAAGGGCCAACAACATCCAACAATTGGGGTGCTTCATAATTTGGGCTTTCGTCTTTTTGCGAATTCTTCAGAAACGAGGTTGTGGAACAGTCTCTAATTGGATAATGTATGTCGTTCGCGATGCGAAGAACAACTCAAGGGAATTTGTGTCTGTGACTCAAAGGTCCAGGTAACTGAGTTTTGGAGCATCAATTCCAAGAACTATGCACAGGTGACAGTGGTATTCCATGTTTTAGCCAAGCTTCAACATCAGCTATCTCCTGATGATCTCTAGACAATTCGTATGGAGTGCAAATCACCTCAACTCGCGAAGATCTGCGCGGTTCTCCAACATTGAATGTTAGTGAAACATGATGAAACATGTACGGCTCTTGCCCTTCTGATCTAGTTGAACAAACACATCTTTGAACCAATCCATGGTCTCCGCTGGCATGGATCGATTGAACTTTGCAAACATGGTGGTGGTTGGAAAGCCAAGCACAAGAGACGAGCGAGAGGCGGATGCATTTTGGCAGGTTTGGTTGAATTCATTCTGATATGTCCCAATCAACTGCCAACAATGTGACTTATTATGAGTTATTGGCGCCCATCCTGCTATCATTTGCTGCTCTGCTTTCCTGTGCGTGTACCACAGCTACGGATAGAGGCATGGAGCCGGCGGGCTACGGTATGTCCCCAAACACGAAATATAGACAGCTTGGAGAACTGTCCTTGGGACGATGTTCATTGGGGGACCGTGGATGTTTTCTGCCGAGGGACTGCCATCCCAGTCTTGTCAACGAATGGCTGCAGCAAGGAGCTGTAGCAAAGCTCTGGAAATTGACCCAGCACAGCTCCTCCTCGCTCAGCGAAAGGAGCGAAAGGTTTTGAGGTCTAATTCCGACTCCAAAAACCGTGGGTGGGACCTTTTGGGGGTCAAAGTGGAGGGCCCTTGCCTTGAGGCGCCTCTGGCAACAGTATCGACAAGGCTCCAATGAAGTGGGTCACACCCCACGGGATGGAGTTCTCGGGCATCAGCACTTTAGCATTGCCCAGCTCCTGATCAGTCTCCAGATTTGCTTCTTTGGACTAACACAGTTTGACGCTATCTTAGGCAACTTTGCACCTTCTCTGGTCTTGGCTGAGTTCTGTGTTCATGTTGTTCTTTTTCGTCTCAGATCTTCGATCTTCGTTTGTCGTAGCAGTGGCGAGATCTGAACCGAATTTCTTTCTATTTCGACCGTTTCTGTTTCGACCTGTTTCGACCAAGTTTCGGGTCCTGCCACCGCTTGGCCGCTCGCTGCGCCGAGGTGGTCTTTGCCAACTCTTGAAGCTTCGAGCGTAGGACCAATGCAACAGGGCCACCGGCCTCGTGGGGCTCCACCCCAGCTAGACCCAGTTCCGGAGCCATCAGAATGAGGTCAAACTCGGCCAACATCTTCTTTGGGGCCGGGTCAAGCTTCGAAATTAATGCCCTTTGTGATATGGAAAAACATATATATCTAAAAGAACCGAAGAGAAATGACGAGACACTCAAAACGTGTCTCATGAATCACGGCACAAAGCGGAGCATTTGGCCCATACAACGGGGGGTTGCTTGGATCCAAAAGGGCGGACCTCATCTGCATCACGGTCACTGCTGAAGAGCATCACCTGCGCACAGCTTCAGGGCTTGCATCGGGCATCAAATTCAGCCGCTGGCGAAAATCATCTGAATGATATCATCTGTGCTCTCCTTGTCTTTAAAAGGCACATGCCTGACCAAAAGCTCGAGGATGAACCAAATCCATTTGATGGAATTGGAGGTCAAACTTGGCATTTGTAGCTCCCCAGCTATTGGTGTCCGAGTTGTGTTCGACGAGCCTCTTTTGGTCAAGCAACCTTAGGCTCCACCTCAAATGGACATGTCCTTGCTTTACCATTGTTGTTAAAGAGTGTTGAGGCAAGGGTTGCAAGGGTTGCAAATTGCAAGTATGACATCACACCATCCCTGAAAATCAAAATATGATGAGATACGAATCTTGCTAGATTATACTGAAGCTCAACTAGTAACTAGCAGCATTCACTTGGCATGTATGTTGCTGCGGAATGCTGCGGAGCGCAACGCCTTTCTTCGTGACTTTGAGCGTGCCAGTGCGGCAGTCATCGCCACTGATAGCATGGAGGCGACCCTAAGAAGCGCAGGAGGAGCTTCTGATGAGACATGTGAAGACCTGAAAAAAAGGCATGAAGCTTCGATACATTAGCGCTCCCACTCTGCCTGTTATGCAGTAGTACTAGTCATGATTGACCACTTTCAAGCAACGTAATTGCATCTACCGGTTCCTTGGGTCAGCCAACATGATATTGGCCGCGATCCAACGTCTTTCCAGTCAAAAGCTCAAGGATCCTAGCAAGAAGGATACCGCGTCCCACAGGCCTGTCAAAGCTTCTCTGTTCATTGTTTCTGCGCACGCACCGGCTACTGATGGGTGCAGGAGATATGGGTGCTGATGTCAGCTGCGCTGGCACTGCAAAGGTCAGCATGGCAGGGAAACACCGTCAACCGTCGCAGGACAAGCCAAGCAAGAGTTTATGACTTGGACCTTTTCTCAATGTGGTTGCAAATCTCCTTTGCCACTTCTGTGAAGTATCTAAAGCACAAATTGCTAGTGCTTCGTTTTTGCTGCTCTTAACTTTTCAGGTTTCATAAAGAAGCATGTCTGTTGTTCAACACCCTGTGGCAGGCTAGTGGTTCAGGTTTGGCTCTTCTTGCGTTTCCGTGGTTCAGCTTCATCTTGCTTGCTATGTTGAAGAGCCTCGGTGGCCGCCAGCTATGCAGAGCAGAGCACTCAGGGAAGAAGTATTCTGGTACCACCAGGGCCTTTTAATTGTGTCTGCTTTGGTGCAGTTGTCTCTCGTCTTTAGGGAGGATGCAAGCCTTGTCTCAGCCACAATAGGAGCAGCCCCTTACCACCGAACCATGCAACTTGCAGCTTAACCTGCTGGCCCTAGGAGCAAGGACGCTACTAGGGGCTCCTGGCATCGCTACTAGGAGCTCCTGGCCTTACTACTAGTAGCATTCTTACTTCTAGTAACTAGAAGCTACTAGGGAACCTGCTGGCCCGCAAATCGGACCCCCAACCTGCTCTTGTAGAATCGCCACTGCACGGCTCATGGCACGTACCTCAAAGCTCCACAGCTCTGTGAGCTTTGGGAATACGCGTTCGCAAAACGCCTCGCCATCACCAAACTCTAAAAGTGTTTGCTAAGCCGTTAAGCGTTGGTCCTTCCAAAGGTTTGCAGGATTTCTGTAATCACTCAGTGAGACTCTAACTAACGAGCCAATTAGTTGCTCAAGGACTCCGGCAGGAGGCCTGACTACGTCATGCGTTCTGTACACTTGGCACAATGTACCGCACAACTGCCTGCCAAACACATGCCTCAACCTGAAATGTGCGAATTCAGACCAAGAACCACTACCGTGGTCGTAAGATGAAGGACAGCATTCATGTAGTCAATACGTCTTTGATTCTAGCTGGAGGATTTGCATGGAGCAGTCAAAAAGGCAACACCTTGTCAGAGCTGCAGGGTCGCATCTTGTCGAAGCTCCCGAACGGCAGCGCCGCGGTCCTGCACTCAGCAGAAACGTCCAACAGTGCTTGGATCGCCACTTTCCATCGATCAAAGTAATAACTTTGCCGTTTTGCAAAATGCATTTAGTTTTAAGTGATTAGTTCTGGAACTTCCAGAGGATGTCCTACTGCAGTAAGACTTGTCTGATCGTTCAATTGTCCGAACTAACTGTATACTGTATACTGTATGTATATATATATATGTCTTTGTGATCCGCAATTCTTGCACTGAATGGCGCCTTCTCTAGCTGCAGGAGCTCGTTTAGACGTTGCCTGTGAAGGGGCTTTGTTCTGGACACGATATGAAAATACGGATGAAGACACACCAGGTCATCCAAGTTAAAAAGTACGATTCGATGATAAACTGGAACTGTCTCGGGGCTTATATACTTGGACAGGACGCTCCCGTTTCCGCAAATTCGGAGCGTTGACAACGCCAAGGATCCTAGGCTTCACATATTTCTAAATCGATTGATCTCACAGCGAGATGGAGCGGTTTTGGTGGATGAGCAACTCCCATTCCGAGCTCCATGGCCTGAATCTTGGCAACCTGAAAGAGCACAACTCACACAAACCCTCGAACCAAGGGGCAGACTCGGCTTGGCATTGCCATTGCCATAAGGAACGGCGGTCATCCTCGCCGCTTGCTGCACCAGTCACTTCAGGCTTGTTGAGAAGAGTCTAACGTCATTTGCATATTTTGCACCTTTACCTTCCTGCCCATTTCTATGAGTTTGAGAGTCCTCCCAACGCATCACCGAAACCGTCTCCTGGCCAGTCAGACTTGAAGATCATGGTATCGGCCTATGCCATGACTCATGACTGAATCTTGGATGGAGCTTCATGCACGATGCGAGCATATCATGCAGGGTGCAAGGCACTTCGTACCTTTCTGCAACTTCTAGTCAAACTTGGCACTCTCAAAGGCAAGCCTCCTTCAAGTAAAGACCCAGCTGTCCTCCCGACTCATCGGAGCAAGTCCAGCTGGCAAGTCCTCAGTCGGGATCTTCCAAGAGTGCCTTGTCGTCATGGTCAATTGCCCAAAAATTGCACACACACTCTCGCTCTCTCTCTCTCTCTCTCTCTCTCTGTCTTAGTATAAAGGCCATCGCTTCTAGGTTGGAGGCCATTGCTTAGGCTTTCTCTCACACTTTCTCTCTCTCTCTCTCTCGACGAAATGGCCAGAAACCCAATCCTGCAGGCCTCGCCGAGTATTAAAATCCCGCGGATATTATTCAATCAAACCAGTCCTACATTGGGTTTGAAGCCCAAACATGTTTTAGAATAAGGCCAACTACAAAATCAAATATTCTCCGCCATCAAGCAGAGTTTGCTTTCAATCATAGTTTTCTAGTAGGGCCAGCAGGAAGTGCGTGTTGATCTTCCTGCACTTGGGCTCGACTGAAGCATGGGATTGTTGTCATGCTGCCATCTTCACCGGCACACCCCACTGAACCACGGGATCAATTCGGGGGCATTAAAGAATCATGTTAATTATTCTGATGCAACTCAGGTCCTTCGGTGCACAAAAAGGATCAAATCTGGGACATGTGACATGGTATGAACCAAGAAAATGCTTCAAGTCCGGACAAACACTTCTTTACCCGTACCGCAGCTACGACGCCCCGCACCTGGAATTTCCTGGCAAAATGGCATCGTGCTAAGAATCTTTGCACGTCCGCATCAGTTAGCTCCTTGAAACATGCACATGCTCTAGGCCCCTAGGCTTGTCAAAATTTGACAGGCTTCAACCCCTGACCCAAGTTGCCAAGGTTTGCCAAGTATTTAAAAGACAGAGGCTTTGCTGTCAAAACACTGCCTACTCTCACAGCTAGAGACTTAGAGCGCCTGCAATCTACGTCCTCTATACAGCCTTCAAACCTGAGGCTCGCTCAGGAGGCCATCGCTCGTAGGTTGGAAGCTATTAGGTTGGAGGCCATTCTTCATTCTGCAGCCTTTAAACCTGTGAGGCTCGCCAGGCTCGCTTAACCAGGCCAGGTCGACACTGGTGGACGGGAGCGGCCAGTCGAAGGGGTCTTCCTGCGACTTTGTCGAAGGGAAGAAGCAGTGATGAGTGGGTTATAGACCCGTGGCAACAAAAAGCAAAGCTGGTGAACCACGTGTATCTTTCGACGCTCAAAAATACAAATAGGATTCAAACATGTGTGAAAACATATAAAAACATCAAGTTATGCGTGCGCTGGCAAACATCCACAAACGAATGTACTCTTCAGCTTTGGTCGATTGCAGGAGACGTTAAGCCAGCAGTGGGCACTGCGAAGTTTCAAAGTGAATAGGAGGCCTGAATTGGCTGGAAGGGTCAACAATCAGACGATGCACGGTTGCAATAATGGCAAGCTTCTCTACATGGTGTGGGTGTGGCAACTGGATGTGACTGGATACGCAAATGAACTTGGCACCCGTGCAAACCCCTGGAGCTTTCACCTGTCACAGCCCGAGAGACCGCTCCGAACTGCCGAAACATACTGCCGAAACGGGAATGAAAGAAACGAAACGTCTATGCCATTCTATGCCTGAACCGTACAACGGAGCGTTGAAGATCATGCACATAGTCACATAGGTCACATCAAGGCCGGACTAAAGGAGCTATTAGGTTGGAGGCCATCGCTTTATTTTTGATCCGTTCAACCTAAACCTTGTGCCATGTCTGAAGCTCTGATCCTTCACCTGGCGTCCCCAGGGTTATGGGCTCCAAGTCACCATGACCTGCCAGGAGATCATAGATGGCTGATTGAAGGGTCTGATACTCGAAAAAATGTACTGAAAGACTTTAAAAGAGTTCTTATTCATGTGCAGCCATTGAGTCATGTGTTGTTTGTCACAAAGTTGTTTGCAATGCAATGGCTTTGGATATATTCGCATTTTCAGAAGGTTTGCTGCTCTCAATGTATGTCTAGGGTGTGCTGTCAACCTTCCAAGACATGTGGAGGCAGACCACCCCAAGGCTGCAAACTCATCGCAGCGGCCCCGGCGCTTGGCTTGGGAGCTTTGCCCAAGCCAGTTGGTTTAGCTTTTGTTGGGTGGGCTCATGGAACATCCCAAACCATCCCAAAACCGAAACTCAGAAACAACTTGCAACGCATAACGGATGGATCCGAGATGATCTAAGTAGTATATTGATTACTCTATAAAGGTCCGACCCAACTCTCGTGGCCCCAACGAGGGCAACATTTTTCACGGGTGCAGTCTGTCAGTGGTTTCCAGGATCAATAGGCCAAAGAGCCGGATGGCTGACAAAATGGCCAACAAAAAGCCAAAGTACTACCCCTCTTGGAGTCACATTCGCAGGTCTGGGCTGATTTCAAGACCAAAGCCGATCGCTGCTCTCGCACTTTCGGATTTAATTTGCCACGCGACAGCCATGTCACCCATGAATTAATTACTTCCTCCCCACTGAGGGAAGCGCGCGCGCGGATGCTTGGCCCCTTGGGCGGGCATCTCACGTGCCTTTAGGCAGGCGCCAAATAATGACCTAACACAACAGATCGAGTGGAAGCCACGATCCCAAAAGTACTCCTTCAGTGAGCTTCATAGTCCTGAAAGCTTTAGTTTGCCCTGGCTGAGATTCAGGAAACTCATGCACTCTTGATCATCTCATCATGAATGACTACCCTTGCCGATTCACAAAGGAGTTTCTACGGGTTTCCTACCATGTCATCGCTGGCGATTTTGCCAGCGATGTGTTGAGCCGAGCTGCGGCTTCTGAGAAGCACCCGCCGCTCGCTAACACGTTGGCTCGCATCAAGCGACGGATGGCACTGAAGGCACCAACAGGTGCAACGGGTCACTGTACTGACCCGTCTGGTCCGTCGTCCAATGAATTCGGAGATGATTCCATTTCAGGGACCTTGACAACCAAGGTGTAAACAGTGTGGAAATGTGTGGAACTGGTATTGGCAACGTTAGCGGTCATGGCTTCCTCTTCAAAGCATCTACAAGTATGAGTCATGAGTCATGAGGCTAATCTGACTCTGGCAGCCCAAGAAGCAAGGCATATCAGATCTGGAAATAGACTAAAAATCTAGTTGGTTTGCTGGGCAAAGAACAACGGGACTTGCTCAGAAGATCAGATATCTGAGCCAACGACAGTATGAAAAGCCATGAAAAGCCAACGACAAGCCTCTTGCCGCAAAAGATCGGTGGTCCGCACCTCTGGGAAAACGGCGCCTTGGCTTCGACGCGTAGATAGGACGCGTCCTATCTATAAGGCTGTCCCAAGAAGGTGCAGAAGTTGAGAATCTTTAGAATGTCTGCTGTAGTAGGTTGTAGCTAATCACATCAAATAACAATAAGACCAAGACTTCCTTCCAGAATCTCTCTTTGCACACAGAGCAATCGACAAGGCGCAAAGGACACCTCCAAAGTTTTGCCCTCTGCCACATTCAGCAGGGTGGTGGGCATGCATGGTTCACGGGACTGGTACGGTACAAATAGCCTTGGAACTCCTCAAAAGAGGCGTCTGGCGTCAGGCCACGGTACCAATCCTAGGATACATCATCAGTGAAGAGGGCATCTTCAGACGGCAAAAAATGCCAAGAACAGCACAAGAACAGCACAAATCCAACAAGGGCGGTGGCTAACGAAGCTACCTCTAATCTTGTTCGAAGCCTTCTAAGCGAAACGCATTCTGCCAGGCTTCAGGGTGTTGATGGATACCGGTGTTCATCGCCCACATCACATCATTGTAACAGCGATCTCCTTTCTGTGCCGTCCCGCATTCCTCAATTGCTCAGGCCAGACTTGAGCAGTGGGGTTTCACACACCCTTTCCAACACCTTCAAGGCTTTGGAAAGATGAATCTAAGAATGGATACTGTACCCTTCATCTGTCAATTTAGCTCAAAGTAAAGTACTCCTCAAATCCACGGCTTCAGCAGCAGATGAGTTCAAATGTCCTTGCCACATCCACCTTCTCTGGTCCAGCTGACACCGAGCAAAACTGCAATGCAAGTCACCACATCGTAGTAACCTTTGTCCTGGCTGAATGAAGCCCTGTGTGTTCGAGCCCAATGTGCACAGGCACAAGACGAGCCGGAAAACTTTTGTTGCCGAGTTGGCCATAACTTCTGAAATTGCTTCATCCCTCTTGTGGAAAGGACAAAAGTTGCAAGGTGCTGCAGAACGTTGAGTCATGTCGGTTCCCAAGCTCGATTGAAGCCGTACCTGCATAGAAAACCTCAATTCCATAAAGTGCAGCGTCGGCTCGTCAGGATTTCATTTGTTGGCCTTGCTAGCTGCCAACCTTCAGCATCTTCAGCAGTAGGACCTCTAGAAAAAATCCCCAGGTCCTGATAGAACTTCCTCATGTTGAAGTCACACTCAGGTTCTTGGAGCTCGGACTGAGGCGTGCAGCTTTGTTAGCAAAAAGGACTTGGACTTGGAAAACCAATCTGGGACCATTCTGACAGATTCTCACGTTGCTTGATCCGACGCTTTACACCCAAGGGCTTTAAAAATCACCCAGAAACTAGAACTGACATCAAACATCAAAGGGCAGCTGTACAAGTTTCTCCTGACAGGACTGCTGACCTGGGATACTTTCACAATCAGGAACTTGAAATGGGAATTGTTGCCCAACGTAACCGTTATGGCTCCCCGTGCCTCTGGTGTGGAATTGGGATACTTCTTGTCGAAGAGCTCCTCATTACAAAGATTGAACGCCAAGAGCCGTTTGTTGAAGGCTGGTGTCTAGCACTCTTTGAAAACGTATACAGTATTCGCAGTCTGAGAACCTTCGGCAACAACTAGCAACTAGCAACTAGTGGCTGGCATGGTCTGGCTGACATGGTGTGGCTGCTTGGTTGCAAGTACTTGAAGCGCATACGGCTACCCTCACGGAGACAGAAACACAGCTAAAAGTTGTGCATCAAGCATCAAGGAGCACGAAGGAAGCATGGCGATATGTGGAACTCCCATGTTCTTGAGAACCATCAAGCAGTTTGGAAAGTTGATAGTTTGACCTTGACATACCTTGACTCGGTCATATGTTGATGATGATTGATGGCTTTGCTTCCTCGCCCATCCCCCGACCTTGGCCAACATTATCCGCCACTCATTGGCCAAGGTATCCTCGCGAAGCTTAGGTCCCTTTGGTGGGCAAATTCACAAGTACACCAGCAGCAGCAACGCCGACAAGAGATTTCTGGCTTGAGGGTGTTCCCATCAGAAAATGGAAGTCTTGCAACTCCTAAGAGCACATGACTGATTTAAAGCAGCATGTTGTTTGCTTAAACATATCTATGTCCAGTCCCGCTTTGAATCCCACCAGGTCCAGCCAAGACCTCGATCCGGTCCTGGGGACAAAGCAGTGCTGTGGCACTTCTCTCTCATCGACTGTAATTGAAGACCAGTGTGATCTCACCATGTTTGAGCAACCAAAGGTTGTGCAACAATTCAAATGCATAAGCCCTTGGTTTCAGCGGCTTCAATGATGAACCTTGTTGTTCACAACTATCCTGGAGAAATGATTGCTTTCTTGCATTGCTGTTTGTCGAACAGCTAATACATTAGAAAAAGATAGATTTAAAAAATGTTCAAAGAATTCTTTGCAGCTATCTTCGACAACACACCGGTCCTCGCATGTATTCTTTTCGACCGGACTCCATGAAAGCAGTGTAGTTCCGGATGTCTGTGAGCTCGTCCTAGGTGTTTTAAGGCCGGGGGTAGCAGGGCAGGCCTAAGAGCACGTAGAAGCTTCTAGGCTAGGAAGCTCCTAGCTACTGGACGCAAAAGGGCTCAGGATTAATGATTTGATTCCTTTTTTGGAGGGGAACTCAACTCTCTCTCTCTCTCTCTCTATTTATTTCTTTCTGGCTTTCTTTCATGCATGCATTATGTATTTCTTTCTTTGGCAGATTTAATCTTTGTTCATACTGTATCTTGTTTGACAATTCTGGCACCTTATTGAACCTCATCCAAGGCTGCCTGAATATGATTCTGCACTAAGGGATTTTGTCCAGGGCGGTAGCGATGTCCAATACCAGGTGGCTCGAATTGACTAAAAGCCAAGGCGGTACCCTATGGCACTTACGCCCAGCTTGTCGTGCAGCCGAGCATCAATGGTAATTTCACCAGCATCCTCGTATGTCCAAGTGCAGTTTCCCTGTCCAGTAGGTGTTTGATCGCAATAGCCACCAGGCTCTCGCTCCTTGCACCAGTCCTTGGATCTGCTTGGGAAAGCACTAGAGACGAAAAGGGCACAACTGAAAACAGGTCGCCTTGGGAAAGCATCCAAGAATCCGTCCACTGCGTGTAATTCTTGGATGGACAAGGGCCAGGTAAGCTCCACCAAACAGCTCCAGGGTAGTAGATTTTGTAATTGGGAAAGGGAAAGTGTCCTGCACAGGCAGCTTACGATGATGGCAAATGAGCAAATGCTAATACAGTGAGTGGAGAGGCTAGACAGTTCTGGTGCAAATCAAACACTCATTCGAAGAGAAGACGTCCATGCAAATTGTTGCAAAACATACCAAGAGAAAGGATCTTTTGAAGTGAACGCCATGTTGTTTCAGATCATCCCAAACAAAAACTGCAAAGAACCAAATACAAAACAAACACACAGGGCGACAAGCATTTTGAACAGCAGCCGACCCTCAAAAGTCCAGCGGCCCCGAAGATCAATGCAACGCAGTTGTTGTTACAGTGTGTGTGTGTATATATATATATATACTGTGTAACATATTATTTATATAAAGAATTTTGCCTGCATGGCTGATCTTCCGTCCTAGCTTGTTGCATCCCACAAAGTAACCATAGGTGTCCCACTCGAAGGCACCCACCACACTGCCGTTGTGCATGCCCACATCCATGCTGTTATTGAAGGGGCCTGATGAACCGAACGAACCCAAAGTATGCGATAAAATGGAATCGTCCAACTCCAGGCATACTCAAATGCCCTAGCTGAAGGATTTTCCAACAGTGGATCCATTCTCCATCAACTGCAGGGTGTAGCAAAGATTGTGGCAAAACACAACTTTCAAGTGCGATGGTTTGTTCAGCAAAAGTGTGCTGACATGACCTTTAAAAGGCCCTTCTCCAATGGTCGCCTTGGCAAAGCTTTGGGCCCCACTCATCACGGCCACACTCAAAGGGTCCTGCTCGGCAGGCTGCAAGCAACCACAACAATGCTTGTTTTGATGAGACCGTGACCAGAGTACAAAATGTGCATAACCCACGAGGGTCTGCTGTCACAGTGGGGGTACCGTTCCTGCACTATATCAGAATAGATTAGAATCAACTGTCCAACACCAGGGTCAAACGTCATGGTTGCAAAATGGTGGGTCATGTTGGTAACGCCTCAATCTTCATTGTCATGTCGCTGATCCATGCCACGCAGCAACGACGTGTGCTAGACTAAATGCGTCGGCTCAGGGTGTTTAGCTCAACGATGGCATGGGAACTGAGAACCTCTGAGGAACAAACCCCCTTTCATTGGGTCTCCATTTCTACGCACCAGACCCGCTCATCACAAGGTCCTGTGGCCTGACCAGAATCAAAAGCAAGGCCTCAGGCTTGGCAGAGCGGAGAAAACTTCACGAAATTCATTTCATGAAATATTGAATCTGAATGAATCTGATTGGTATTTCAAAATTGGTGGCACGTATATAGGTGTTGGTTTTAAATAGATAGATTATGATAGATTGGTGCCCTCTACACGCTGGCACAGCAGTGTGACTCGTGACATTGGTCAAGCTGTGACTCGATTATCTTTGGCACAAAAATAGGAAGATGTTCATCACGTCGGAGATTGCTTGAAACTTGAAACCCATCTCTTGTTAGTGGGGTCTTGTCTCTCTAGTTCTTGGAATCTGCTACAAGACACCAGTGTACCATGTGAGAATGTCAACCACTCCATATTCCTTTCCCACCTGGACAAAAGCAAGTGTCTCTCATGTCTAGAGAAGGGTTGGAATACAGTGTCCTGGAGCAGGACAGGTCAATCCAAGTCACGAACACCGAAGTTCATTCCTTTCTCCCACAGTGTCTGGGGGGCGCGTGTCTGCACCTGCGTCACACAACATGGTATTGAATCTGAAGGCGGTAGCTTTGGGCCACAAAACAAGTTAAACAAGTTATATACTCGAAAACGATACGTACCTTCTTGAGACACTTCTATCCATCTTGATCGCAATGTGTTTCTTTCAACACTGGATGCAAACGCTGTGTCTTGTGTGACTCTGCGCTGTCCCTCCGCAGCTTTTACTGCCACACATCCAGTCAATTTGTTCCTTTTTTTGAAGGCTGATGATGGCTGATGCGCCCACAGTTTTGTTGTAGCCCTTCGTACATGTTGACAGTCATTGTCAATGTGGTGAAATTCAATCCTAAGCGGTCCTGAGCGGTCCTACGCACCACGCAGCGCTGAAACTCAGACTCGGGTCTGGCCTTCAGGCGAATAATTTTCCTGAGCCACCGGTTGTCAGCCATTGAATTTTCATCGCATACTGCATCAAAGTTCCTACGAAAGGGACCACGCATGCTTCCGTTACCCACCTTTGCAAGCCTCAAATGACTCAGCCAGGGATCGTGATGCCGAACTTCCTTGGAGTTCGCTCAACCACCTCATTGTGAAGGTACCTCGCAAGGAATTGGCATTCTGAAATGGAGAGGCAGCGGGACTGGGAAACCAGTGAAGGCGAGGTAACTTCTCTTCAAGAGCGGATCAAAGCCAGAGTGGCATCAAGTAGGCTATTGTGTGCACTACAAAAGCCTAAGTATCCATCCCCAAAAGTCAGTCTGGCGTGGACTCTTGCAAATGGTTGCATTTGTCCATGCTGTCGTTGATGTGCTTTACTGTTAAAAGAACATGCGCTTCATCTACAGTTCCAGATACGTTCTGCCTGAATGCTCCACAACACTGCTTTGACATGTTGGGATCCTAAATAGATTGCAAATGAAAGCAAGTAATAAATCGAGCTATCGCACTGCACATTGAGAATCCATCTAAGCTGAGATGCCATAGCACACCAGCCAAGTTCGCCGTGTTCACGTTCCTGATGCAGCACCCCCAGATGATGTTTCCGATTTAGCTCCAGGGCTTTGTCTGTGGTCTCCGTTCAAACTTTCCACAACCAGGAGTTTCATCTGCTAAATCACAATGCCTGCGTCCCAAACGTCCACGGGCGAGACAGGATCTTCCTTGTGATCAGTGGCGGCTTACTGTCAACTTAGGAGACCCGGGGGCAATAAAGTCAGCAAACCTGCCATTGTCAAGAATTGATGTTGTGGAAAGAGCTTTCTGCATGACACCGAAGAAGATCGATGAAGCCTAACAAAAAACTTCTACCCTCAAAGCCAGCTCACGACTTCATGACAAGTGTCATCGGTGGGTACACCGTATCTGAAACCGCTCTGTACATGTAAAATGTGAAGAGCGGTGCAGAGCTATCTTCGAACCTTGGCTGCACTTAGCTTGGTATCCAAGGTTGCAAAAACACTTGAAAAGGCATGCAAATGTCGATATCCACTCTATATAGTGAACTGAATGTGCTCCTACCCACCTGGAAGCATGAGGCAAGATGTGAGCTGGTTCAGCCAGTGGATCTCGCATCTGAAGAGTCTCTTCACAGTGACAGTGAGGTATTCTGCAAAGTATACTACAGTAGTATACACCCGGCTTGGACGCAAACATCATACGAGACCGTCTCCAACCTATCATGGTACATTATCCTGCAGTCTACCAGTATGCAAACCCTTCAGGCATCAGCGCGCAAGACTCTGAGTCAAAAACAAGTTGCCAAGCGACATGATTGGATTACTCCAGATAGGTCTAGTATCTTTTGTTGAGGTTGTAGTGCCTTGGCTGGCACTTCTGTGTGAGCAACGATGAAATAGTCCGAGATGATGGTCAAACCACATACAGCGCATAAATCAAACAAACTGCTTTTCAGGAATGGCTTGATTGAACCTTTGTGGCATTGACATGCAGACTGAGACCCTCGATCAAGTCTTGCAGAAACATACGCTGCAGTCATGGCCCCTTTGGATTACACAATCACGATGCAAAGAGCAACTTTGTGCAGCTAAGAGCCCTGGGAACATTTGAGCGTCCAAAACCCCCGGTTTTGGCTTTCGAGGGAGGCCTATTGCTTTTCCAGGTCAGCCAAATGCCTATATATATCCGTTGGTTTTGACGCTTGCTCATTTGGCCGCAACAAGCTATGGGATTCAGGGCTTGTCCCCTTCACCGTTCCTTAAACAGCGTTCCGGACACCCACCACCACCTTCTGCCAGGTTACTGGTAGTTCTTGTGCTTGTTACAGTAGTCTGAGTCAAGGTGGACATTGTGCTAGTTCGAGTGGTATGAGTTGAAGTCGAGATTGTGCTAGATCGAGTAGTGTGGGTTGAGGTGGAAATGAACGTTGTGCTCAGGGTGGATGTCCTTGCTCTTGGTCGGTGGGTTGTGGTGAAGGTCCTTAGAACGAAGGCTTTGCGGAGCAACATCTGATAGACGTACATCAGTCATAGACAAAACAACATAGAATGTTCCTCGTAAGGCGTGAGGACCACAAGGCGGGGCTCATTGGTCCGGAAAAATTCATGTCATTCTCCGACTCCGTTCCAGAGGAATAATCAATCTTGCCCTTCTCGAGGCCTGAAAAAGGCAATAAAACCCAGGAGGATCCAAGGAATGCTGCTGCAGCAGAGTAAATTTCTGGAGGTAGGTTGGCTGCTCAGTCAACATATCGCTCAGACCTAAGATTTCAGCAAACCATCCTGATTTCAAAAGCATTCCTGATCTCAGACGCACTGAAGTGATGCCAAATCGGTTTTCTATTCTTGCAGAGGCAATGGCATCAGCTTACCATGACCAAGGATGACTGAGGACCCGATGGCTTCCAAAGCAGCTGGCGAGACGATATGGGAGAGACAAAACAAACGTGCCCGCAAAGAAAAATCTAAACAATGATAGTATCATTCTATTATCAATGATTATCAATGAACAAAATAGATTATTTTTTATATTTCTCAGGGGCAGAAACACATTTACATAATTTACATCTCTAGATTCTCTAGATCCCCTTTTGGTACCCTACATAATCATAGCTTTACGACATCAGAGCGTCTCAAGCCCGTCGCAGAGCCAGGGGCTCTTGAAACCCCCCCGGCCTGTTCCACTCAGCCGTCCTCGAAGGCCCGGCTCTGACGCAGCAAGGCACCTCAAGGCACGAATTGTCAGAGGCGTCAATCAGATCAGCGCCATCATGTCCGAAACGAATGGAATGGTAGGAAGAAATAAGGCCCTCGCATGAGAAGTATCAGGTTGCAGTGGCGAAGATTTGCTCTCATCTCCTGCAGTTGCACCTCAAGGATACTCACTTCTTACTTGCTAACCAGGTCTCTTGCCAAGAACTGTTTCTAGAAACCATGCTGAAACAAAGAGAAGAAGCACCTAGGATTTGTTGAGGATTGTACTTATACTAAACAAGCTGTTGCTGTTGCAAAAGCAAACCAGGCTAGACTGCAAAAGGCTGGGCGTCCACACGAAAACCCGGCGCACTTGTGACGCTCAACAGTGGGGAGTATTTTCTACACAAAACTTGGGGGCTGCAGCTACGGGTAGCGCAAACAGGAACAACAGAAAGCCTCATGCGAGCAATCCCCTGACCATAAACTTCGCAAGCTATTGCCGTCCATCTTCAAACAGAAAGGAGTGCCAAATCTCAGATGCTTTGGCCAAGCTGTATCGCCAACCTCAGAATATTGGAGGACTTGCCACCTTTGGCAAGGCACCTATGGAGTGCAGATACCCGTGCTGTACTTGGGACTTGAAGTGGACTATTGGTGAAATTAATAGCTTCCTTGTTACTACTAGTAAGGCACCTGTTACTACTAGCGTGGCACTTGTTCCTAGTAGCTTCCTTGTTACTACTGAGTTTCTGCGACAAAGCAAAATGTCGCCCAGTACACACAGTCCCAGAGAGTCGCTTCCTTTTGTCTCGCCAGAGGCTGCAGCATTCTCAGACCTGCCACCGAAGGACTGAGTCTTGTCAAAGCACTGACTCCAACAATGTACAAAGGAAAGGAAAACGAAGAGGACACTTTGAATAAGACCACGTCGAAAAGAGACCTTAGCAGTTGGCAGTACCTGCCATTTCTCTTTTGCACTGGGCATGCAAAGTCCAGGTAGATACAAAAGGTGTTCTTCCCACGTCACTAAAAGCAGTCGTCCTCAGCAGAAACATCTTTCCATGAAACTGAGGAACCCTTGTCGAGGCGGGGCAGTCAATACATATTCTATTGAATAATGTGTCTTTGGAAAGGTATGCCAGAGGGCAGAGCGCGCTTGTTACCGCTGGTATTCGACAAAATGCCCACAAGGGCAAGCAATTCCACACGTGTTCATCTGCAGTGTCACAAATTGCAAAAACTGACGAGCCAATGTGGTTGTGAAAGAAACAACCTTTGTTCAGAGCGCCTAGCCAGGCCAAACACAAGAGGAAGGCTGTAAGCATCAAAATGCACAGGAACAGCACCTTTTCCTGAGTTCGCTTCGTGAATATGCACAACACTCTCCAGGTGCACCAACACATGTAATATGTGACAGGTATGTCCACAGAAATGAGAAGAATTCATATCAAATCATTGAGCAAAGCGACAGTTGCTCTCTCGGCTCCTGGATCTAGTTCAGCTCCAAAGCGCTGAGCAACGTTCTTTAAGTCGCATGTGGGCAGGAGTACTCGTCCAGGCCTGGGAATCGCCGCTCGAATGTGGCCCGAGGCTTTACCTGTTTGAAAAGAAAACTTGGAGGCGATGAATGTGGAATAGATCATTCTTCTTGACACTTAAAAAAAAGAAATAGAAGACCACCTACAATGGCTATGGTTTTGGATGTGTTGCTTTGACCCATCTCTGTCTGAGGAAAGTGAAGCAAAGCCTGAAATGCAACTGTCAAAGCCCTTCGAATCACTTGTGATTTCGCAACTGCCTGCGCCAAGAAACGGGAGCTCGCAGCCTTCCAAAACCGCCCGACGCCAAAACTTCGCGAAGAGATATCCCAACGTTGCCTTTCCGCTTCGAGCTGAACCCGCTGGATACTCAGTGAGTGTATGGAGAGAGAAGCCCGAGGGAAGACTGCTTTTTGCTTAGAATCAACTGCTTAGTTCAATTCAAGTTCTCCGAGTGGTATGGCATGGTATTGTGGGCTTTCTCAAGCAGCAAATGACTGAAAGCGAATGCCCAAATGTCTCAACGGAATTGAAAGAATGAAAAAGGTTCGTCATGGTTCGTCTAAGCTCGTTGCATAAGCGGCTATGGCAGAATGAGGTTCTTCTGTTGCCATCAGGCCTAGAATGAACAAGGTCGACATCAAAATCCAAACGAGACAATAGATGCAATAGACAATGAAACCCATACGTAAACATCGAATTGGAGATACGCCGAGACTACTATTACTATATACACTACACCAATTACATATCAAAAGCAGAGTCAGAATGTGCTTGCCATGTGGACAAAAAAGTCTCTCCTGTATTTCTCTCTCAAGCCAGCGACCACCGACCACAAAGCCTCCTATTCATTCCCTTTCGACGTTCCTCATCCCTCGTCAAACATAAAACCGTTGGATTGCAAAATGACTGAACTGTGCTTTGCCATGACACGCAGCTCCATGGCAGCCCGAGTGAGGTTCGCCGGGTGGCCAGACCATGCTTCCGCCTGAAAAACGCACCTCCGAAATGTTTGCCGAAGCATCTATGTATTGCGAAAGTCTCAGGTGAAGAGTGACCATTCGCAATACACTGCCGCCTGCAAAGCAGCACAGCGTAGCTTTCCTGAGGGAAGCTACCGACCCAAGTTGGTACGTGCACCAGAATTCCGATGTGTGAAGTCTGAGAGGCTGAGAGGGCTATTGCAGTGCTTCAAGAGAAGCAACAAACAAACAGGCTGTGGTCAGGCTCTCACAGCCCTGTTCAGTGGTGTGTCGGGCGACGCCTAGCAGCCCTAGTGGCCCTAGCGCTTGGTGACCAAGCATCAGTGTTTGCAGTACAACAGATTCTGCTTGAGGAAAGATGGGGAAACAAAACGTCATAAATAAAAAATATATATTGTGTAGGTGTACATATATTTATTCATATAATATGTTGTGCCTACGAATCATACAGCAGAAAAGGTCAGAAATGAGGACAAACACACATTATACTCGAGTTACTGTATCAAGTGCTACTGCTCCACATGTCCAGGCCGTCCAGGCCGTCCTGCGTGGTTCTTCATTCTGCCGGCTGCACAGTTCCAGGCCACTGCGGCATCCAGCTCTCCTAGCCTGGAAGGATCGGAGGGAGGGTTTGAGAGACCTACTTGGCGATGGCCAACCTAAGAGCGATGACCTCCAACAGCTTTCTTGTTACAAGTAGCGAACATTGCCCCTAGTAGTAAGGCCAGGAGCCCTAGTAGCGTCCTTGCTCCTAGTAGCGATGCCAGGAGCCCCTAGTAGCTTTCTTGTTCCTAGATGTTCTTAGTAAGACGTGTTTTACAAAGTCAGCTTCACCCTTGCAGGCGAGTGACCAACAAAAACAAGAAGTTGGTGGACAGCTTGCCTTCGATTGCTGCCTTTATGGCTAGAGCTTAGAAGGTTTTAACAGATCTACTATATCACAAACGCTGCCTAGTCAATCACTCTTGCCAAACAAAGCACACTCTACAGGCGGAAGACGTTCACTTAGTCACTACAAGGTCTTCCAATTCGGAAACTCAGAGCCCTGCCATTCGAAATGTCGTCCTGCCGCAGCCGCAGCCATTGCTGCCTGCGAGCTTGCCTTGGATTTCAATGCCTTGCCCATTGGTTGCTTCTAGGTGTTGCTTCACGACTATATGTTATAAAGACTCTCGGTGCCAACCTGACTCAATTTGGCCATCCAGGGAAGACCTCCCATCACCCAGAGAGAGAGCTGAGTTGACCTACAGGTGGGACTGGTCCTTTTTCTTCAACTCATTCTACCTTGCATGCCTACTTGGACCAAACCATAAAGTTGGCACAAAGATCAAAGAGAGGATCAATCCACTATCCACATGGCCCAGGCCCCGGTATCTTCACCATTTGTCCCAACTTCGGAAGACACCAAAGGGTTCGCAAAACGAGTTTGCACTGGAGGTGTTAAGGGGTCTTCCATGCCAAATGACTTCCAAGAGCGCACTGCCCTGAGGAAGCTCCATGTTTGCCTCAAAGCACCATCTGTTGGATCCATCGGGAAGAAATACGTGTCAACTGTCCCGAGGTCTTGTCTTTTGCAGAAACAACGCATTCCTTTTACTCTTAGCTTCACATCTGCATTCTCATTTATATATCTGTCTCCAAAACAGCCCATCAGCCTTAATCTGCAAAGGGTGCTCTGCTGCGCGCGCCCAAAAATGCGCTGCACAGCGGCGCGCTGTGCGCGTTCCATGGGCTGGGCGGGCCTGACACTTCCACCGCCGGCGCTATATTTGCGGTTCTAGTTTAACCCTGCAATCCTCTACAAGCCGGGAATTACACTGGCGTACACGCCAGCTCGCATTTCTGGATCCAAAACTTCACGAGGCGTACTTGTGCGGTCACTCAGTCTGGCGCAAAGATTCGATCAGGGCCAGGCTAAATGAGAAGTAAGACACTTCTAGCTATCTGGGGAATAAAACAGTTCCACACCTGTGGTTCTCCATCCCCACCTGCGGAGAGCACTCTGCCAAAACGGGTGGAGAAGGCCTGAGGAGTCAGGGAATCAGCAGTAGCATGGCGCATAAATTTTGACAAAGGACGTTTGCCGTTCACATACAGTCCCTCCAAGCCTTGAAGTCCTTATATAGTTGCATTTCACCAAGATTTGCTCGCACTATTCATTCGGTTCGTGGATGTTTGGGGAAACTTAACCGACTTAACCTAATCACTAATCCCTACTAGAAGCGATGCACTTGTTACTAGTAGCTTATTGTTTCTAATAGCTTCTTGTTACTACTAGTAAGGAATTTGTTACTAATAGCGATGCACTTGTTCCTAATCCCTAAAAACAAACTAATCATCTGTGAGGGTACAATAGTGACAGGAGCAGTGTTCAGCAGTTTGGAGTGTTGTGGCAACCACACTTTCCTTCAAGTGACTAAAATTAGGATGACAGCTCGCTTGATGTTACACTACATCTTGTCTTCAGCCAGCTATCTGCCGCCACCGTGGCAAAAATTTCTTGCAATGCCCCTATGCCACAGCTCCAAAGCAGTGAAAGGTGTTCAGAAAGGAGTCATTTTGGCCCCTTGCTCGTAACGCCTGCAGCGCTGTCGTTTGAGCATGAAGACTTGAGCAGAGGTATCGCTCGCTTCTGCTGTGGTGCCGCAATCGACGGATAGCTGGCCTGAGCTCCAAAAGTCGCATGGACCCTTCTTGTTACTAGTAGCAAGAATGCTCCTAGTAGCGATGCCAGGAGCCCCTAGTAGCGTCCTTGCTCCTAGTTGCGATGCCCTTTGCTCCTAGTAGCTTCTTGGCTGGCCTGACCCCAAAAGTCACATGGACCCTGGTCTCTACCGATAGCTGTTTGCCACGCTGGACCAGCACCCTCGACTCTTGTCACAGCTTGCGATGTCGCACGAGTCAAAGAAAATAAAACAAGCAAACCTATCTGGACACGTATTTACAAGACTGCCTTCAGTCAACGTCTATCTTTTCATCTCTATCTTCTAAAGCTCATGGAGTGTTGGCAAACCGACTTTGTTTCACAACAATCCTGGAGCCCTTCTGTGCATGTCTGAGTCTTGGTCGGATACATATATATATGAGAATAAAACTCAAACAGGCCTCTGAGAGTCATACCTTCAACCAACTCGATTTCTCAATTTCAAGCTGCCGAGTTGCAATAACCAGTGGCATAAGTGGTAGCATAGACACATTCGGGGTCTGCACCTCAAAACGCAAAGTCGCAAAATACGTGGGTGAAAGAATCCGCATGCGACATCATGACTGTACAATGACTCATTGTCATATGACCTACCATTTGTGGAGTCATTCAACGTCGTTGTTTGTCAAAATGTCCCACTGAGCAATGCCAGGACACTGCAACGCAGCAAACATTCTGATGGCAGAAAGCCCGGCTCATTGAATCTAAAGGAGTTGCAATCGCCAGAGCCACAGCAATAGCGTCCTAGCATCTCAAGGCGAATTAGATTGGGGACCCCAAGTCGGCAGAGTCTACCCTTCCCTGACACTACAAACTATTGTCGAAGCAATCAACCTTTGAGCTCATGCATGAAGCCGGGATTTCCGTTAGATCGACACGAGTAGGCCTGGTGTTCCAGAGAGCCGAGCATTTACAACAAAAGACTGCATGGAAAATGTAAAACGAGGGAGTGGCAAATGACAATCACAAGCAAACCGCAAAACATTCATACATTCATGACCGCAAGTTTGGTGGGTTTTCCTTGTGTTTGAGGCTCTGTTGGGACAACTCTGCAAGAGTGGCCTGTACTGATTTTAGTATATATATAATTGAGCAAGAAAGGAAATCTCCACAGTCCCAAAGCCTCAAATAGGCAAACCCTTCAGTTCAATTGTGCTAGCTACATTGTTGACCAATCTTCTTGTTGTTTCTTTGGCTCAAAGACCACACCCGCTTTCTCTTCCTGTTGCCACTAGCTCCACACCATCACCCTCATCAGCACAAGTCTCCGTGTCCTGGACAACAAGCAGTGTAGCACAAGTCGGATAAATGGCGTCTCACAACAAAGAACATAATCATAACCGATGCACCCTTTCAAGAGACTAGTCTGGAGTATCAGCCTCCTCACAGTGCTATAAGTTTTTAAAAAACCTGCCAAGAATCATCTCCGGCAAGCTCTTGCACCGGTGGTGGAGAATCCAAAGGCTCAAAAGTGCCTCAGTATAAAATCCAACATGTTGACAATGCACCTGCAGGTGGATGGTTTTTGTTCATGTTGACACAGGCACAATTCGGCTGCCACGTGGCCAATACGTTGTTCCCAAAGGCGTGCAGCGTTGCGGTGAGCCTTGGTCACCTAAGAATGTCAATCTCAAAGATGCCAAACAATGAGCTTCGAATGTTGTTCACAAGAGCACGGAGTTTGTGCAACGGACTGGAGCAGCGACAAAATGATAACAAAAGGGAACGGAAACGGTGCCAAGTTAAAGAGGACATACAGCGCCACAAGTAACAACGGAAACAATAATATAACAACGGAAACAATAATATAACATATATATATATATCTAAGAATCCAAATCCAAACTATATATGTATTAAATTACCACAACTGACAACCCCAATATCAAAACCGCCACCAAGATTTGGCCCATGTTTCTGAGTACGTTGTTTGCTGCGATTAATTTTTCACATATCGAATACTGAAAAAATCTGGCATGTGTCCACCACGTCCAAAAATGAATTGCAAGCGCACAGGTTATTTCTACACAGCGCTACTAAAGAGTCAATATAGTATCTAAACAATGTGTGTGTGTTCCAGAGATCACTAGACACTCAAGGAATGCTCGTCAATGGCTGAACTACATGTTCAAGAGTCTGCACATTGTCTAGAATTTTGAAAAACCTGTTCAACGCAGCACAGATCCAAACAAGGATGAAAGGTGTTTGTATATCTGTGCACACACACAAATTTTGCGAACAAAGAGTGAAAGAGATATAGTTAAGTTCATACAGAGGACAACATTACATCACAGTGTGTAAATAGTTTCCACAAAAGGTGCATGAATGCACTTGTCAAAGGGACCATACATCAAGTACTGGCACCAAGAAAGGCACACGTTCGGGCACGAAAGTGCGCAGGTCATACAAACACCCAGTCCAAGCGATCACCCACAAGCAAAGAGGATGCTCTTCAAAAGTAAGCAGAAAAAGATACATCTAGGCAGTGAATGTATGTACATATGCCAACGTATGACCTATACACAAATCATGCAAAAAAGACGCAGGGTCAAGCCGGCCGTCTTTTCACCTGTCGAAAAACAATCTTCTACGAACACCACAATATGTTGAAGTGGGATCGCGCGGGCTTGGTTTCTCGCTCAACGCACGTTGCTCTAGGGCCCCTCAGAGCTTGGCACCCATTGGATCTCGCGGCTTGAGATCCAGCCTTCCAGCAAATGTCCACTTGTCTTTTTCAGCTAGGAAACCCGGCCGTCCCGATGGACAGGCCGATCCTTCTGCCTATACTTCTCTTATTGGAACACCTGGCGCAATCAGGGGCAGTCTGTACCTGGAGAGCTTGCCAGGCCGGCCGCGGTGCTTTCGGCAAAGTTTTCTTTTCACTGGCAGCCTGAGGTGCCCTGGGAATGCGCCACGAGGGCTTCCAGCAGCCGGTACTCTGCGATGTTGTGGACTCACAGCCACCTCCTTCTTTTTGCGCGACAACTGCGCCAACTGCCACAGCAGAGAATCCGTCGCGTGGCTTTCCTCGGTGCACGGTGCACCTGTGAAGTGGAAAGGAAGTGGACAGCTTTCTGGGCGGTCTCCCGCTGCCCGCACTCATGGTTGGCTGCCGCTTTTGGCTTCGTGTCCTTCTTCTTGCTCTGCATGCTCAGCTTTTTCTTCATACTTTTGTTTCTATCGTTTGCTTCTTATTGCTACCCCTCGTATTGTTATTCTTAGCGCTGTTCTTCTCTCTACTCTTGTTCTTGCTTGTCTCATGGCCGCTCTTCATCATATTGTTGCAACATCTTTGAAGATAACAAAAACCTCAATAGGGGGCTGGCTCTGCTTAGTGTTTTGAAAGCTCAAGAATTCAAGAGGCTTGCAAGCCCCAAACTTTGAGGGTTTAGTCTTTGAACCCCAAGGTTTGCAGGAATACCCTAGCTCTCCCAACAAACAAACTGTGATTGAATGGCTTGCTAAAGCAAGCACTCTACCGCTTGTCAGAGTTGAGTTTGTCCTGAAAGGCATTGCCAGAGACGCGCCAAACACTCTCACTCCGGGCTGGGAATGCCTTATGCCCCAAGCCTACCTAGGTAAGAAAGCCTAAGAAGTCCAGGAAAAGTGGGTTAAAGGTCATCACTTCAAGGGTGGAGGCCACCGCAACAAGGTTGAAGGACATCGTGGTTCACAAGACTCAAAACTGCAAGACACAAAACTCAAAGGCAAGGGTAGAGGCCTTCACTAGTATAGTAGGGTTGGAGGCCCTCGCTACAAGGTTGGAGGCCATCGTGATTCACAAGACTCAAAGCAGCAAGACACAAAACTCGAAACACAAGTTACATTTAGTTTCGTTTATTTAGTTCCAGAGCCACATGAACCACCATGAAAGCAAACCACAGCGAGAACTCGTTGGCCACCGCTCCTCTGGGACCCCGGTGGCCCCCTCCTTTGATTCCAAGGGTTACCCACACACAAGTGTCGTCCATCTTCCCAGCAACGAATGGTTTTTTGGATCATTATCTTTCCATTCCGTTCACAAATGACAAGACGTCTGAGTTTCCTGTGCCGCATAAACCCAAGTGCAGAAGAAGGCACACCGGCTTCAGAAAGGAGTGAAAAAATGGTTAGCGCGGCAGTGGAGTTGCCCATTTCCCAACTCCTCGAAATCAAAAACGCGAGACTGAGGATGTGCAAGCGATCGCACGTGTCCTCATTGCCAAGGCAAAAAGTAGTCGCACAGTGGGATCCATGTCGCGTGCCTAAGAAGTCAACATGCCGTGGTGCTCTTCTACAAAGTGTCTTGCCACGTGCAGATGCCTCTTATCTGACTCAAATGTCTCTAAATATGTGCATGTTCGGTGAGATTGGGTGCTTAGTCTTTTGTTCTGCAACCTGGAGTGCCCTTCATTATGATTGTGAACTTGTCAGATTCTACTGGGCCCTAACTTTAGTGTGAAACAAGTTGCATGAAGCAGCATGTTGACTGAGCTTGAAAAAACGCTCATGTGACACCTTCTGAATCTTGCAGAACATCCACGGCAAATACAAGGGTTCCATGAGACCTGTTCGATATTTTATTTGCCCGTGGTATTCTTGCCCTGAAAATTGGCTCGAAGATCTAGTTGCCAAAAGTTAAAATGTCTTACAAAACCTCTTAGACAAATGTATTTGATTGTCTGCTCTTATAAATGTTTGTTGCACGCACGTCTCTTTGACCAATGCTGTTGGACCAAGGCACCACTTCCAGAAACTCTTGGCGAGCCTCCAAGCAGCGCTCCTCGCTGGGTTCGCTTCCATTCAGTGATTGAATGAGCAGCACTCCTCGGTAACGTGGGCAGTCCGCTACATTGTCGAGCGGAGATAAGACATATGTGACAAATGTGCGTGCTACGAACGAGGCATAGCTGAACTGTAAGCATAAGCTAAACTGATCAATTGAACAGCCAAAACAACTTGTCGTCAAAACCGCCTATGTCTCCGGTCACCTCAAGAAAGCCTTGCCGCTTGAGCATATTTCACAACAGCAACCTGCTGGATGGTCTCTTGTTGCCGGGCGGTGATCCACAAGTTAGTATCAAGTTGGTATTTTTCTGAGCAGGATAAACGTGGAAATGTCGGGAATGACAAGAGCCAGACCAGCTTGAAAGTGCCGAGGATCCAATGTTGTATCGAGCAGGAAGCTGTCCAGCCAGCGCCGCCTTGCACAAAACGGCTGTGTTCAAAATGGCCTGTGAGCCATGAAAAACATCTGAATCTACATATCTAGAAAGATCTAGGAACTACCTAGACATGCCCCGGTCTTGGATGACAGCGCAATAAAGCGTCATCGCTGCTACCATTTTCCCTGGCCTGTCGAAAATATCCAAGCGCGTCGGGTGCCGCATCCTAGGCTCACCAATTTTGGTTGGAAGGACATGAAAGCACCATGTAGGTGACTGCTCGAAGGAAGAAAGGAAAAGGGTCTATATAAAGGCTTCAAGATTAAAAAAATAAGCAAAGACAAGTATAGCTATGATGAAGTACGCATTGAGCATCTGTGAGCTGAGATGTTCTAGCAGGAAAGGACTCCCCAGTCCTCACGGGAGAGCCGCTCAGCAAGCAGATTCGCAGCCATGGGATCTCCCAAGTCAGCGGCCTTTTTAAGCCTCAAAAGAGATATATAAGGCAAAGCATTCAGATCCCTCAAACATCAACAAAGTGTTTTGCCAAGTAGGAATCTCGGAGGTAATTCAATGTGATGATGCTCAGCATTAAGCATCATCATGGCTTTAGTCAAAATCCACTGCCTTCCCGACGATTTTCATTAAAGCAATATCGTGCATGGTTATACTCTTTGCAGCTTTTGTCCCAAGCAGCCACTTTCATGTCCAAGCCACAGCTGCTTCTCCTTTACAGGATCAGATGGGCGGAGGTGATGACGATACATCAAGAACTCCGCCAGGAAGCACCTCAGGCAGGATCTCCCAGCAGAACAACCTCTGGCTTCTGACTAAGATGGCTGGGAAACGAAGCTGCATTCCAAATTGTATGCTCAAATTGTATGGGGATCAATACTCCTGGCTTTCCGTCTAGACAGCACCCTGACAGCTCAACAAGCAAGTCCAAGGCGCGCGGGAGCTTCACCCTGCTCGACCACTTGTGTAAGATAGGGCTCAGCCTCACCTCGGCTTGGATATACCGTTAGACCCCTTTGGGCTCCGTAAATGTTGCCAAGAAAAATTCCATGCAAAGATCCAAGCCAACTTTTTCCTATCTTCCCAGTGGGTAAATACACCATTGGGAACAGCCATGGGCCATGTCCATTTGTTCGTCACTGGAACGTTGCCCTCTGCCAGGGTGGTTCAGTGGGTTCTTTCGCGCTCACAAAAGGGTTTGGGACTATAATGTGAATGGCTTGCCATCGAAGTGCAGGGTGTTGTACATGTCACGTAATTATCACTTTTCCCCCGAGAATATCGGCCAAGCTCGCCACGTGACTCTCATTCTCTTCCAATTTCAGCAAAGCGTAGGCATAGGCAGCACCCCAATGTCCGGCATCCGCAGCTTCTTGAAAAAGCTCCTGTGCCTCGTTTGCCGAACACATCTGAATTCAGCCGCTCCTTCTGACCCTACAGTAGCGCAGTCTTGCGCATTCCACACCGTGAACACCTAATATGGCCTCTTGCTAGCCCCATTCACCCTATGCACCTGCGCTGTGTCTGCTGCTAAATCTCCAGGTCGGGCACCTCAAGAAGTCTTGGATGCAGGCTTTTACCAACTTGATGCCAAAGGAGTTCGCACGTTGACTTGGCCTTTAGACTCATTGGGCCCCGCGTCTGGAAAGCTCAGGCATAGACTCCGCCAAGACCACCAAAACCCAAAAGCGGCAAGAAGCCTCAAGGCCAAGGTGCCCGCCCCTATAAGACCTACAGGAACCTGTACACACTGGTCAATGCATATATGATCATATATGCGTCAAGTGCAACAGTTGAGCGAAGCAGACATTTCCACAACGTTCCTGGGGACTTCGTTGTGCCGCTGATTGCTGCTCAAGAAGCAGCATTGCTCGCAAGCAACCACCAATCCGAAGCCGGGTTGGTGGTGAGCCTGCACCCACCTGGCACCACATTTCATGCCCAAAGGCACGTCTACACTTGAAGTATGTGGCCGCATGCCGCATGCAACCTCTTTTGGTCATGGAAACCCCTGGATTCGTCATGATTTGCCTCTGTTTGTGACAGGTGTATCTAGGATACAGCACACTTCAGCGGAGCCTCTCTCCCACCCAAGAGCTTAGGCAGAACCCATGCAGCTAGGACCAGGAGAGGAAAGACCTTCAGCCATGAAGAAGCCACTCCAATAGTCCACATTCTGCTGGTCTCTTGACTTGTCTTCACAAAGCTGCTGGACATCAACAATGCAACGAAAAAAAAAAAAGGACCACAAACACTGACTGGTGAATGCATCTTCTGGGTGCCCACACGATCCAGCCCCTTCCAGTGGATCCACCGGGAACCACTGCACTTTTGCCGTAGTAGAGCCTGAGTACACGGAGGGATTGGCTTCATTGATCATGCAAATGATCCTCAATAGAGCGCCTTGTTGGTTTCTCCATCTTGGTGGGTGTCATCATCAACAGATCTCCATACAAAAATGGTACCCCTGTCGGCATTTCCAGGAGAACTAGTAGCAAACACCGGCCATGTTTCAATCTGTCGAGCGGCATCTCTGCTTTGGCAGCAATGCCCTCAGCATGGCCGTCGCTGGCCAGCTGTGACGCCAGAGCGTAGCTTTGACGCTCCTCATGGCGTGCCTGCATAGGTGAAGCGTCAAATCACAGATACGGAGAGATATGGTGTATCCCATGAGCCCTCTAAGGCCCTGTAAGGCACAGTCTGTAAGGCTGTAGGTTTTCTTGTGGGACTATGGAGGATCGTAGCTCCTTTCTCAGCGGAAATTGCCTGTACAAAGTAGTCCAAGTCAACCGGCTGTGGAACAGAGCTGTGCTCCTCCCGACAGGACACAAAGCATCCACAACAAAAAGATTGAAAGTTGGCACAACGCACTGGTGTGGCTCACTTTGTCGGAACTCCACATCTCATCATCTAATCTCATGAGCTCTTTTCTTTCTTTTCTTAAATGATCGGCTTGGCTACTCTGACTAAGCGGTTTAGGGTTTGTGGCTGCAAAAGGCATCAAACGCATCTTGTCCTGTGGCGCTCTTTGCTAAATCTCGCTGCCCCTTCCTTGTGTTTTGTTCATAAAATCATCTTTTTCGCTTTCAAAATCGGAACAAAATGAAGAGTTCCTGGCTTTTGGTGTCGGTCTGGCCGGCATTTTTGTCGAGAACTTCAGAGTCTCCTGTGCCGCATTGCTCACCACCACCATGGCCACCTCCAGGGATTCAAGGCAGTTCAGCCGCTCCTGGAATCTTAATGGGAAAACAACATGGCATTGCAACAGGTTGTTATCAACTTGCAAATCAACTGCCTACTTTGGATCTAACTTTCACCCTTCTTCGATAGCTGCCCAAGCAGGCAATCAGCAAAGCTCCCAGTCCTTTCCAACAGAATCCCAAACACCTCCAACCACCGAAATCCTGACACTCTCATCTATGAGAGCTACTAGTAACAAGTGCCTTACTAGTAGTAACAAGTGCCTTACTACTAGTAACAAGAAGCTAGTAGAAACAAGAATTAGAAGCTCCGAAGCGCTGGTTCCCCTCCGCCCACTCGGCTCCGGTGGCAGAAGCCGTCCACGGTGTTGTCCCGAAATGACACCATTCAGCCGCTCCTCTCCTCACAGCTCCCGGCGCCCGGAAATGAAGAAGACCTTTTTTAGGCCCTTAGCCCTGCCAGGCCCTGCTTGATTAAGTATATGGACGCAGGATAGCTCACGCTCGCACTAATGATTTGGTTCCTAGATTCTTAGGGAAACTTAACGATCACAACTTCCTCAATACACCTCCTGATCAAGACCGATTCGTAGGCCGCTTCGTTGGAGCAACATCTCGTTTTTCCAAACGTCGACTGGACTCCATGTCAGCCAAGCATCCCCAGGCCAAGCGCCCTAAAGAGCTACCCCGATCCGACGCCACTGCATATGCAGCGACGCCCTGAATGGTGCAAGAGTTGTCACAGTGAAACGTAGTGAAAGGAGAACATCTCTACAGGTCTGCTGGCACTTTGTGCTGCCAAAGGCAAACCCTACAAAAAGACGTCCTTCTCATTTTTGGGTAAGGTATGCGGCATGCAGCCAAATTGTTGCATACATTTAGAGCTTGCGCCTCTAGTAGTTGATGCTGCCGTGCTAGTTGCGACAAGTCCCATGGACTCGTCCCTGGCTCCTGAAGACACTCAGAAGGTATACGTTGTGACCGACCCAGTCTAGTCAAGAAGCATTGATCCTCCAAGCAAGGACCCAACGTGAATCGCACCACATGACGGAATCGCATTTGGCAGTCCTGCAAGCCATAGAGACTCCTAAAGCCCCATAGCATCGCACACTCCTGAGAGTCGTGAAGGGTCCGTCTCCATCGAATCTCCTTTCGGTTGAGCCAGTACAATTCAAACGGCATGATAGACCCTGTGGCGCCTGATGCTACAAAAGAGTTGCTGGCGTCTGTAATGTCTGTGTTTTTGTTGTATATGTGTATATAATGATCTAGTGCAAACAAGTTGGCTGGGCACTCCGCAGCGGGCTGCAAGAAGTCCGCGCCGTCCACCAAGCCCAAAAATTGTGCCACGGCCGCCCAAAGCCACTCCTCAAGATCTGATGTGCTCCGGTCAAAAAGGAAAGGGTGGTCTAGGCGACAATAGCACATCTCCAAGACATAACTCATGCAATGAAATTTGCAAAGACCTACGACCCCATGCAATGGGTTATTGAGTTCCAGACCTATGATATCTTTCGGTGTCTCAAGACTGTCCACACCTACAAACCGGTTGTACTTTGCTGTCGCAACTTCTCATGTACTCTCGGCACCCCAACCGAACTCGGGATCTTTTTGTCCAGGTTGTCCACTGCGGCCACAACATCTGCCTCTCCAGGGCTGCACCAAGGAGATATTGACACGGAGTCTCGAAATCTGATACCTAGACAGACTGTCGTCACTTGTCGATACAAGCATCACCACGTATCACCGCGTATCACCTCATCTCTATTCAGATCCATGGGACCTTTGCGCCTCTGGGGCAGAGCCCAGCTGCACCAGCTGCCGCAGTGCTTCACCTTTGTCATGTTGTCACTGAACGACAACAGGATTTCTGGGTCGAACTCTAAAGAGGAGATTGACAATGTTAAAAGCAGGCATGTCAAGTTTGTTGAACTATATTCCGGGACAGCGTATAAGGACCATATTTGTGCCATACCGTTTCAGCAAGTACCCTGCACATCCTGCTCCATCTCTGTTCCTACAAGTTTGACCTATAGTCGTGGCATAGCTCATTCAAACAAAAAACGATAAGACATAACGGCACATCCACACGTGTCAACTTCAATCTTGATGAGCTTTTGACTCCCTTTCTGGTCTTTTTTGGTGTTGCGATTTGGTATGAGAACTGAAAGTGCTTTCAGTAAAAGCAAACACAAGAAACCAATTTGTCAACAGTCAACAGAGTTCTGAAAATGAAACTGCTTAAGGCAGCACACAGCAGAAATAGCTGATTACTGATTAGGATTGATTGGCTTTATATTTAGGAGCTCTGAAAGACCCCTTTCCTTCCACCAACAACTCCCACTGGCAGCTCAATCAAGTCCGCGGCTGGGAGCCATCGCCGACTCCAATATCACAGACTCCGCCATCAGCTCAGCACGATCAAAGGTGGATGAACCACGAAGTAACGAGTCTTGTGTGACGTGGACTTCACGATGCCCGGTCGGTGTCGTGGGCCCATGCCCAATCGATGCTGGGACTTCAAGTTCCTCTCAGCTTCTACAACATCAACCAGCTTTCTGCAAGGTTCAAGAGATCACTCTTGGAGAAAAAACATGTTAGTTTGTCACAGTTGGCAAGTGACATGCAGCATTTGTTGGGTGTGCAGATGTCGAGATGGAACTGCTCAAACCAATCTAGCAGCTTCATTGTATTGGCAAAGATTGTGTATGTTGGTGGCTGGCAAGGTTTCATGTTCCTGTTCTCGTTTGACCAAGTCAAGCTGCTGCATGCATGCTGAAAAAGCAACCTCTCTAGCCAAGGCCACTGATATGCAAAAGGCATTTCTTCATGGCACCATTAATGTTCTGGTTGACACAGTTTTGCTCCAGGCTTGTCGAAAGAGCCACCCTTTTTTCATGATCGATTGGACAGCCTCGCACTCTTTCTGCACTTTGGAGCAAGGCTGCCTTGCACTTTTCCGGGATAATGCCATGACTTCAGGCAACCCTGAGAAGAAGTATTCACGTAATTAGGAGTAGCAAGTCAACTGTAGAGCTTCCTGACCAGCTGGCCAAGTCAAAGCACACCCAGAGGCATCAAACACTACATGTTGATGGGCTGAGAATAACTTTAAGACGCCTTTGCGAATCTAAAGGAGGATGCTCTGAATTGCGCGGCGGGCACTACACTGCCTCGCTCAGAAAGATTCGAGGCAAGCTGGAAAAAGTCCTCTGAACCCTCACTTAGGACAGTTCGATTGCCGACAATCACAAGACCGCTCTTCCTGAGAACAACAAGGATTGCTTTGCGAAGTGTAAAAACGTGCAACGAAACAGTCACACCACCAGCTTTGAACTTCAGGACTGGATAAAGAACTCAAAAGCGGAAACAAAGCGAGAGAAAGAATTGAGAAGAAAAGCCTGAGCAAGCCTGTGCTTCTGGAAGCTGTTTTGCAGTTTGGTGGACTACTCTTTAGTGATACGCTTGCCATGCTCAAAACGTCAGGAAGAATATGATAAATCTGCAATTCACTCTATCCGCCGATTCTTGCTAACAAAACCATGTGTCATTGCTGGAAAATAAATAAATATATATATATACTGTATGTATATATATATATAAGTGAGCCCAGTGCCACGCACGGCGCATCCGATTCAAAACATCCTGTCCATGTGTTTCATTCTTTGTGAAACCTGATGTGAAAGAATGCAATATGCAGAGTAACTGACACGGAAATAAACCAAAGCACGCGCGGGTCAAAGCGACATTGAGCAAATTTGCCTCCAGGGCTGATTGCGCAACCACATTGAGTGTCAAATTTTATTGTCAAAGATTGATCGTGGAAGACTTACATATCCACAAAAAGCCTCCAATTCATGATTTGAACGTGGATGTTTGGTTTTCTCCACCAGTCCCTCTCGGAATTGACCGCCTTTGCTGCGATTCCAATGTGCGACTCAAAGGTCTGTCGAAGAGCCGGGTTGTGTGAGGTGACGGCCACCTGAGCAGTAAGCAACAGGCAAAATGTGTCCCGAACTGGCGATGCGCATGACAACAAAAATTGCTACAGTAGGGAAAGTCGTCACCACAGCAGCAAGTTGAGCCAAGCCACACGGATCTCCTTGTCTGAGCCCTGCATAGCAAGATTCTTGAGGGCCCAACCTCATCCAAGGCGATTGAGTCGAAGCCCCGTGGCAAAGATGTCCCAGGCCGACCCTCTAGTCTCTCTAGCTTGACAAGATCATGCAGAGAGGCGTGCATGAGAAAATGTCCACTACTGGCGATACTTGATGATGGTTTGTTCGGAGCTTCTGGTATATGATGTAGGCAAAATGTTTGACTGCCACAGTTTTGTGATCATCTAACGCCACACTGTCCAAAGACAAACACCCAATTCACAGAACATATTGAAACAGGAAGCCGAACATAAAGAAACGTACTGAGTCTACTATAAGTACTTAACTTATATACCAAGGCCAAACCCAACTCTGTTCCCACACCCAAGTGTGCCCTCCAAAAGCCACAGAAACCCCACCTTCTGCAATGCTCCGGACGAAGCTAAGGAGAATGAAGTGTCGCTCAGAGCCTTGCCTGGTCACTCGGGGATGTATGTTGCAATTCCAAAAGCGAAGTTGTGGAGCGGACTTGGCATTACTCCTATGGCCTATGGCATTTTTGGCCGCCATTACTTTTGCATGGCATGTTTGTCCGATCTTAGGATTTCCATGTCAATGACTCTATCAAAACACAAATGGGTGGGCATCTGCCAGCAAGTTGCATGCTGAAGACTGTTCCCACGGAGGTCTCGTTGGCCCTTTTCCCTAGGCCGCCTGGGAGTTCTTTCAATTTCCTCGGCTAAAGACGTGGTCAATTGCAGAGCCAAAACTGTCTGTCAACTCAGCCTCCGACAGGTAGAAAAACTGGTCTTTAATCACAAATTATGATATGATTCAGACAGGGAGTCTGATTTCACCCATCGGAACTGGGAAAAGATTGAAAACGAAATCCTGGAAGCAAAGGTTCCGCTCAATGTACTGTTGCTGGGCTTTGTAGGGCGTGATGATCGCCACATCTCCAGCTTGGCAGGTGCCGTCTTTCATCAACCTCTTGTAGGCTTCCTGGTTGAGTTGCTGGAAAAGTCATGAGAAAGTAAGGGTTGAGCTTGAAGTAAAGCTGGAATGATATTATTTGCCAAAGGGTCTACAATGAGATCTGCTTCTCCAGGATTTTGCAAGGAGGTGTTGTTTTCCAGCGGAACGCTGTTTAGGCTTCCTTAGTAGCCAGGTGGCTCCCAAACCGAACCAGCAATTTCCCCAACAATGGAAGTTCAACCATTCCAAAGACGCGGTTCAGAAACCACCCCGTGACACCGACAAATGTGGGGTTCTCTTGCCACCACAAGTTTCTACTACATTTCAACATCCGCAGCTTTCGACTGCTAACATCTTCGCTTTAGGCAAGAATATGAAGGGTCTGCACCTGACTGCGCACGGCAAGGCTCTGGCATTGCCCACTTGAATCACAGTACCCATCTGGTGGGGAGTGTCACAGTCGATCCATACCACCGGTTGGTCTGGCTGTGGCCAGACTGTTGCCGGGGCCGGGAGGTGCTGCAGATTCTGCACGTTCTGGAGCAAATTGCCATAGAAATGCTGGGAAGGAAAGGCACAAATGGCATCGTGCATTCGATACCTGCAGAGAGTATTCCGAGTATTCCAAATTTGGGCAGCTTTCAAGATTACTCTCAATGTCTGTAGGTCTATAGATGCCAAGGTGCTGCTTCTGAAACATGACACTACACAATTTTGTCTTGTCCTTCCTTTCAGCCAGTCGCTCAAGGATAGGCCTTGCAGCCGCACAAGCTGAGTCGGATTTGTTCCATGTGGTTTCCGCTACAAACAAAGCGGTTAGCAGCCGTAGAAGCCACACCTGCTGAATCAACCAATGAGAAATGTGTATATCTTGGCTGCAGGGTCAAGCCATGTTGTCTCCTTCCGGTTTGAACAACCCTGCCTTTCCAACATGGACAAATATGCCCTGCAAAGGTTGTGCTCAGTCACCTTCAGTTCAATTGTCAGTTTGGGCAATCACTGCGACGTGACACATGACATCTTCTGGTTCATTCCTTTCCCATGCCTGTCCAGAAAGCTGTATTGGAAAAGGTACTGCAATATAAAATTACACATGACACACCATTCAACCTTAGATACAAAAATAGCTCCAGTCTTGATAGAGAATCTCAGTCACCACAGGCCCAAGCTGTTTGTGGTCTCCAACAAGAATAGCTCGCTCTTCAGCACCTTATTGACATGGGTATTGGCACCTCCGTGTTCCCGCTTGGAGCACAACGTAGCGTGATGCAACTGCAGCAGGCTACCAAAACTCAACAGTGCAGCATTGCCAACAATCGCTAGAATAAGTGCACTCCCATTGCAACCCATTGCATCGTCAAGCAGAGGTGTGTATACAAAAATACATATTAAGATCCATACAAACCCACAACTGAATCAGGCATCTTGATATGTGTACCAACATGGCTATACAAGAAAACAAAGCTCAGTGACGTGCTGTACCCGCAATCATTCAATCTGTGATGCTCTCAAGGTCGCGGGTGTAGTTTGATGTGGTCTTTTCTGAGGTGCAATATGGTGCCTATGTTGATCTTCCGAAGAAATTTACAAGTCCGAATCCATCCTATGTTGATCTTCACCTGGCATCTCTGTCTGGCAAGGATCGCATCACTGAAAGCACCACCTCGGGCTCTGTCGCCTGTGCACATTCATCCACCACCACTGAGCGGAATCGGATGGCTCGCGATGGGCCTTGGTAAAGCAGTGACTGCAGCAATAATAGCAATATCGTCAAATTGTTTTGCGCTTGAATTTGACAAGCTTGCTTTCTAGGTGCCTGGGCGACGTGCAGCAGTGACTGTCTTTGTGGCGTCCTTTGTGTGCTGGTCTTCTTTCGGCTCTTTGAGTGCACCGTGAGACAAAGCAGAAGTGCAAGTTGTAATCCTCAGAAAGTTGATAAGGTCAAGCTCGCACGACTTAGAGAAAGACCTGAAGTTCTGAAGCCGACAAGCCATACAGCACAGCTTAAGGCAGTGTCCAAATGTGACAATACAAGCAGCAATACTTGAAGGCAAAAGTGGTTGGATCGAATCCAGAACTGGCACCCCGTACTACTCCTGGCTCTTGAAGCATGAGCCCAGGATATTCCAGGTCTTGGGTGACAGTAATCTGGGCAAGTCGCACGATTTTGCTCTCCTTCAGAACCTTTTGCTCTGTCGCTTCATAGCCCTGAAAGGAGCTGACAATGTAGGGCATGTACAAACAAGGAAGCTAGTAGAAACAAGTGCCACGCTACTAGGAACAGGTGCCTTACTAGTAGTAACAATAAGCTAGTAGAAACAAGTGCCACGCTACTAGGAACAGGTGCCTTACTAGTAGTAACAAGAAGCTAGTAGAAACAAGTGCCACGCTACTAGGAACGGGTGCCTTACTAGTAGTAACAAGAAGCTAGTAGAAACAAGTGCCACGCTACTAGGAATGTGTCCACGTTGTGACTCTCAGAACCTCGTCTCCCGAGTCTCCCCGAGTCTCCCGAGTCGCTCATCCACCTGATCGTAGTTCCATTGTGATTGTGCACCACGCTCGTGTTCCAACCTCTCCGCTAGTCTCCGAACTTCCTGCGTGTTAAGCGCAGAAAGACGATCAGGAGCCACCACAACACCAGCACCAGTAGTTTAGTATAGTTTATATAGCTTGGAGATTGAATTCTGGTGATGTTTGTTGAATTCTGGTGGTCCAACACCAAGAATGAATGTCCTTGGCTTGCATGACCTTGTGGTGGAGGGAGTGCTCCTTCAAGGAATCCTTCACCTCAAACGTAGCAACTGCTTACAGTGAACAGCATTAGATTCAAGTGGAGTAAGACAAGGCGAGTCAAACCTGCGCATTTGACATACAACATTCGGTCTTACCAAGGACTGGCTTCCATACTAGATCGCAATACCCTTACCACGTGGACCCAATCGCATGCTGCACACTCTGCCTTTTCCACGTTGACGTTCAGAGTGAAATGTAGAAATCGAACAGTTACGCTTCTGGGTATGAAGGACATTGCAAGACAGAATGTGGAAATTTAGCATGGACTGGATCTGTTCCGCGCGGAAACTGGTATATTATAGTTTGTTTATTAAAGACAGTGGGTCAGGTGACTGTGTAAGCATTTTTGAAGGGTGCTGCTTTCCACTGACAGTGCCAATTTTGGAATACTTTGCTTCAACTCATATCCAAACCAGTGAAGCCCGGGCTGTGCACCTTGTGCTGCGTTCGAAGCAAGTTGGAATCCTCGCTGAAGACATCAAAAGCAGGAATGAAGCACGTTGAGGTTTTGAGTCCATCCAAATGCGTCGAGTGCTGTTTATAAGGGAATCAATGCTTCCAGGTCTCATAAGCACCCCCGCCACAACGCAACTTGCTGCCGTATTGGTACTCAATGGTCCGGGCATAGACCCGAGTGATGAACTGAGGAGGAATGTTGCTCTCCTGGCATTCTGCTGGATTCCCCAAAACCAGGCTGAATGACCATGCCCAAATCGAAACCGAAGGTCAGCCGTGGGTCATGGGTCACATGAAACCAAACATTCTGAACAGTCTTTTGTGGGGTGACACCATGGATTCTTGTGATGGCCTCCACCTAATAGCGTCCTTGTTCTCCTAGTAGCGATGCCAGGAGCCCCTAATAGCGTCCTTGTTACTAGTGCGAAAATGATTTGTTCAAACGTCATTGGACTCATGAGGCTGAGTTGGCCACTTTGCACCTTGCAGATTTTGAGATTAACCATGAAAGGTACTGTGGCTGCAGAAAACTGGCATGGCACCTTCGTGAGCCTCCGAAGGCATTCGTCAGCTGCTTGGTTTGAAGGCGTGGTCACGAGGATACGGCCAAATGTCTCCTGGGCTGCAGAGTTCTTCGCTCTTGTCATGTTCCAATCATTGTTCACTCAGGGAAAGCCACGATCTTTGAAGTGAATAGGGGATGGAAGAGCTTGAGTGAGCAGGGGTGAACGAAAGGTAGCAAGGAAACCAGCGGCTAACCAGCAGCACACCAGCACCAACAGTAGCAGCAAAAGCAGCAGGAGCAGCAACAGCAGCAGCAGCGAAGCGGCGCTAAAGAAGTCCACTCTTGAGTCTTAATTTTGGGACGATTAAATGCAGCCGCCCTACTCTAACACACCAATTGTCTTACCCAAGTGGCTGGAGATTTGTGAGGGGTCCGTCAGATGGCTCAAATGCTTGACTCCTCTGCAACTGACTATGTATACAAAGCAACAAGTTTAGTTTCGCCAGTCAACAACTTTTACACCAGCTGAAACTCAATGGTCATACAACGCGTGGCAAACAGATCTACCTCAAACCCAGGAAAAATAGTTCCAGTTGCTTTACAGCTTTATCGTCGTAGCTTCTGCGCCAACTACACCCAGCTCAAGTGTGCTCTATCAGATTCTATCAAAACTGCCTAAATCCCCAGAATAAAAGTGAAACCTATGAGCAAACACAGCGGAATACAATGAATCCGAACGCTCACTACACTTGCGAAAGAATTTGTGCTCACCAAGCATCTTCAGCCGCCGTTCTGGAGGGTTGCCCTCCAGTCCTGCAAAAAAAACGTCTTGAAGCCCAAAGGGCCATGCCATGCCGTTCTCAGATCCTGCATACAGTAAATAAATTAATATGGGAATACATATAAAAATCATTGATCACGCCACCAGGGACAAATAGGGCCAACTGCGTGGCCTTGTTTCAATGCACCTGAAATGATGGAACTTTGAGATAGTGGCCCTTCAGTACTCTCTTCCCGACTCTTACAACACTCAGTTTGTGGTTATTCAGCGTGTCAAGATACTTTTCCTGCGCAAGGTCGGATCAAGCTCCAGGTTGGTGAGCGCAGTCACCAAGTGAACCAAGAATGTGGTTTTGCCTGGCTTCGCCGCATCATCTCAGCCGTCGTTTACCCTTGGTATTCCAACTGATTCCAGCATACTTTGGTGGTCATGCCTCGCCAATCAGTTCACTGAAATGCAAACCTTCGGGTAGCATCCTGTTCTTCCGTCAGAACTCTGACTTCAGATGAAACACCCGCTCGCACTCTTCCTGCCTGTACCGGGCGGCCCTTGCACCACGGAAAACCTGCGCTGGAGGCCTTGCTTCACAGCATCCAGTTGAAGCTTGTTGAGTGGTGAGGCAGTGACGCTGTATGGCCCACCACCTCGGAAACATTTTGTGATGAAAAAGAACAAATGTTTCCTTTCCTTTGGGAGCTAGCACACGAATTACAAAAAGGTACTTGTGGAAAGGGCGACTGTTGTTCCAGAAACCAAAAGGAAGTTTCTCCTGCTTTTTCCACCTGAAGGTGGGAGAGGTTTCCTTAAACAATTTTTCGCATGATCAGAACGGTTTCTAGACGTTGAGGGAATGATTCTCCAAGAGGCAGAACTGCAAGATTGTTTGCATGCAAGCAGTATGAGCACACCCTGCACCCTGTCTCATGTAGTCCAGGGTGCACTCCCTATGCTATGAGTATGAAGTGCATGTCGCCACTGTGCAAAGATCTAGAATATGATGCAGAAAACCACCCGACCACTGAAACTGATTTTCCACTTGGGGACGCTGTTAGTGCAAGCCGGCTGCCTCCCACCGCTTCTTCAACTTGCTGTATGCTGGCCAGCGGTCGCATATCTCTTTGTTCAAGGCTTTGGGTCGGTGTTTGCAAGCTAGTCCTTGAGTGAGCAAACAAGATCGACAAGCCAAGCCCAAGAATTACACCGGCATAGGCCACAGATAGCGGGTGTGTACATTTGTCACCCCTGGCATGACATGATTTATTGAAGATTATTCTTGTCGAGCGCCTGCACTATAAGACGAAATACTTGGAGATAAACCAAAAGTCACAAGACCAACTCCTCCCTCTGTTCCCGCGAGTTCACCGCGCAATCTTTTTCCAGCCAGAGGCTGCTACGTTTGGGGCAGAAGGAAGCAGATCGATTTCATCGATCAGCTCAAGAACATCTGCTGGGGATGGGTCATCTGTGCTGGGGACAAACACCCCCATCTACACGGTCCATCCATCCCAGCGCTGCTCACGAGCAAAGGCTCCTCGACCTGTATCCGCTCTGCGCCGATCATTTCGCACTCATGGAAACTCAGCCTAGAAAGACCGTCTGCTATGTTCGAAAAGCTGGGTACCCTACAAAAGTATAGCAACACGTCTAGCTCTGCTTCTAGCTTAAGAGCTGTATGGGTCATGCTGACGCGCATGCAGACTTTGCGCTTCCTGCCACCCACGTGTGCCTTGCTGAATTATTGTTATCTATGAAAACCAACAGTTGGGATCCACACAAAACATCGGCCCAAGCTCTCAATGCAACCAAATAGGGCAAGATTTCCGCCTGAAAAGTTCACTGGCTGGCACCTTTAGTTTGCCATGCTTGCGCAGCTTCTTCAGGAACCTTCTCACCACAACAGACTCTGGGGTCAAGATCTTCCCCAACCAGAACTGCTCCCACAGTGCACAAGCGGGGAGCTTCACCCTCACAGGCCCAGGGCTCCCCCCAAAATAGTGAATGGTGTGGACTACCTCAAGAGACCACAAACAGAAGACCCAAAGGGAACTCTCTCATCAGGGCCTTTCCAAAAAAAGAAATCCTCACACCAAATCCAGGCCACAGCGAACAGGTTTCCAACAAGAAGCCTCCACCAGAAAGTGGTCCATAGAAAGAGAGAGGCCAACCAACAAAACATCAGAGAGTGCAGGCGACATACATCCCTGCCTTTGAAAACTTCAAAGACTGGCATGACATCATGTCATCCCTGACATGACATGATGTCATCCCTCGCATGACATGATGTCAGTCTGGGCATGACATGATGTCATCCCTGGACCTGCACCAGCATCAGCACGGCAGCAGCACCCGCAACACCAAAACGCCGATCTACAGCCAGCACCTGCACCTGCACCAGCATCAGCACGGCAGCAGCACCCGCAAAACCAAAACGCCGATCCACGGCCAGCACCTGCACCTGCACCAGCATCAGCCCGGCAGCAGCACCCGCAAAACCAAAACGCCGATCCAGAGCCGCGCCATTGAGAAGTTAGAACCCCTACAGCCTGCAGCTATCTGGGGAATTGGAACCCCTATAGCCTGCAGTTATCTGGGAAAAATTATACAAACATGCGGGGACAAGTTCCCACGACCTGGTTCAAGAAACTGAAGAAGTGCAGAATGCAGGGATGGGTCTGGGTGGTTAGGCCCAGGCTGTTTCTGGACTGGACTGTCTTGGAATGCAAAATGACACAGAAGCAAAGACCTGGGACAGGTTTGCACTTATCTGCCGCTACACTGCTACACTCCAGAATCCACCAAATTGCCGGAGTTGCTTGCAAAGCCGAGGGTCAGATGTGCTGCCACTGGAGACTCTCGTCCCTGTCGAGTATCAAGCTTTGCTGGCAGCTGCTTCACCTAAGAAGCTACAATTTCAGAGGCCCTTTGGAGATGCTTGTGTTGACTCTGAATGAGCTTGCAATGCCCCTGCTTGATACAACTCCCCCAAAAGTTGTAGCCCACTGTACGGAAGCCAGAACTCTCGTTGAATTGTCACCTTACAGGACCAAGTAAAAAAAAAGGCCGCAGTACCAAGCTGACAAGTTGAGACCAGTTGCCAAGTTCAAGTTCTGGCGATCTACAACAGGAACTCCCACAAGCTGGATTTGGAAAGCTGCACCACCGCGGCTGGCATTGAGGCTCTCCAAAAGCCTCCTTTGCTCCTCCAAACGCAAGGTGGAACCTACCAAACACGTTCTCAGAAAGAATGGACGGACTTAATGAGTAGAGCGAATGCTGGTGCCAGCACAGGGAACTACAACACCTATACCAGCATTCTGCCTTTTTCATGCACCCTCAATAGCATGGTATCACGATCTCATGACTAACACGGACTAAGACAGCCACAATCACCGATAATTGGCATTGTTGCTTATAACTCCACCCTTCTCCTGTAGTGCAACGCGGCTTACTTGTGAGAGCTCTACCTCCCACATGTACAAGTCTCCTCCAGCGTTTCAACACTCACCGTGACTTTTTACTCACCGTCACTTTGACAGAATTAAGGCTCCTCATGCGTTTGCACGGCAAAAATGTCCAAAGGAAAGAGTACAGATGCAAGCTACTGACCGCAATCACTCCTTCATGTTCCTCTCCCGGGTGCAGGAAGTCACAGTTCTGCCGCCGACAATTTGGGTTCCGGCACATCTTGGTCCTTGGATGTCTAAAATTGGACAACCTCACACCCAAACCAAACTAAATATATAACATGTCACACCCGAAAACTTATATAAAACTACAAAACTTAAAACGAAATCAACTATGAGCTGCTTGTACTGCGTCTGCGCAGGCTTGCATTTGTCGAGCTCCCCATAGAGAAAGGCCTGAGGAAACTGCTGCTATTTTGAAGGATGGCAACAGGAAATCGCTCTCTGCGACTATGCGAGGAGTCCGCCTCCCGACCGTCCTCCGTGGCACGCAGAATCACCAGATCTCCTGGTTTGAAAAAAGAAGGCATACATTGTTGCATACATACCACTCAGTATCATGATGAAGCGCAACGTGCAAATTCACATCGTTGTTTTTTAATCCCAAGGCCTTTTTTGGAAATAATGACTTGTCACTGCTTATACATAGTGACACCAGCAAGGACTGGGCGATCTTCCACCCTTCTATGCACCACATCCTGCTTCAGGTCGAGTGTTTTCGGACTCGGACTGTTGAAGAAGTATATTGCCTGAGCAAGCGATTTGTAGAGACTGGTAGGAACCTGACTGTCCTCGACGCTCTTGTCAAATTGCCGGCGACATGTCCAAGGAATACACTGAAGGACAGAGAGAGAGAGAGAGAGAGAGAAGCAAATGCTATAAAGCATTGAACAGGAAGTTGAATTGGCGGCAGTTTATCACAATACAAGCACCAAACTAAACTCTTCTGAGGCGCAGGTAAAACGTCCTTTCTCGTGATCAAATTGAAGTCGGACTGGTCGTCTCCACCTGAGCTAAAAGCTAGGCATTTGTTTCTCAAAAGCCCCTTCAAATACAAAGGTGGTGGGGCTCCCAAAACTTGTCTTCGGCAGTTGCAAAACAAAAAGTATGTGGCTCAGGGGACAACTGCTACAGGTTATCTTTCTGAAGCTACTTCCGGCGCCGAGTGTAGTTGAGCAAAAGCTGCGCCAGAACACAAGCCTCGTAACTAGCAAACTCAGGAAAGGAAGAGCCTGTTGACTTGCACTGCTACCAAAGACTGATGTCCTTTGCACACCAAAATTGCTGAGCATTTCCTAGATTGTTTCTTCAAAGCACTTCCAGCAATCATCGATGGAATGCGCGTGCCCCTGACATGAGCTGCATAAATAGAAGAAAGGACTGAGTCTCAGAGTTCAAGGTTGAACCTTTACAGTTCAGTCTCTTTATATACCTGTTCATTTTCAGGTTAACTCCAGAGTTCAGCCCTTTCTCTGTTGTTTGGCTAACCTCTATAGTCTGGAGATGGTTGAGGCCCTTGTCTTCATTTCTTAGGGATGCGATTGTTTTACTCAGTTTGCTCTTGAGAGTTTACTAGGGTGCCGGCATCATATTGAAATTGAGACAGTGGCTTAACCGCAGGCCTATTTGCCAAAAGCTGAAGGTCACTAAAATCCTTAAACTGCCTGCAACCAGGCTGGCATCCCCAAACACCACAAACTAAAGCAATCCCAGTGGCTGAGTGTAGGCAGAAGCTTCCGATGCCGCTGCATGGGTGCGGCAGCGCCAAATGCGATACCAGGTGTCTGCATAGACCCTGAGGTCTTGTTCCTCAAAGCTGGACACAAATGGAAACCCAAATGCCCTGATCCACACTCTTCCAGAACTCCATGTTGCATAATTGCCCGCCCAACGGGATTGGGCAGCTAGATCTGGAGCAAATGTTCTTGACATCTGCTGGTGCAAAGTGCATGCTGCCACCACGACCACAACCCAACAACTATACTTGCAAGGAGACTAACGACAAACGCATGGGACCACCCAGCAGCAACAGAAAAACGCCGTGATAGCACTAACAACCCCCAAGTCTTTGTCGTATAACCTCAGGACAAATTGGTCGGGTGGGGCCGGGCTCGAAGTAAAGCAATTAAGCACGGGACACTTAGTGCAAAAGTGCTCCAAGCAACTTGGGAATGTATATCTTCTGACTTTGGAAGGGTTATATAATATCACGTTCAGGTCTGTACAGGACACTACACTCACTACACCAACTTGGTGGCAAGGCACCATGAGGTAGACCTGCTTGAGGTCAGGAAAGTCCGAGAAGACTTCAGGATACATCCGGTGCCCAATGTTCAAAGAAACAGGTCCTTGCAGGCTTGACAGAATCTTGGAACCTTCAGTCTACTGCACCACAACGAACCGGCTTACAAGCTCAAAACAGCACTGACAAGGAAGAACGAAGAGTCTCAAGAATTGAACAGAATCACGTCAAAAGAAACTTTTTCTCCACTATGAAGTTCTGCAACAGCAAGCCATCTTGGTGCTCCGCCGGTAGTCCAAAAGACTTTGCTTACACCCTCAAGTGGGGCCCGTACCTGAAGGTGTACTGAAGGAGATATCTGAGATGATCATCGCGTTTGCCGAAGCATGGTGCTTGATCGGTTGAGCAAAATTCCTGGAGATGGTGCAGCTAACCTCCTGAGACGCACAGACGGTCCAAACGGTCCAGAGGGTCCAGAGGCCTTCAAGAGTGTCCACTTCACTGGATGATGGGATGTGCTCAGACCAAAGCAATCCGCTTTGTTGGAAGAGTAGAGTGCCATGAGTCCCATTGCTTATCGTCAGGTCAGTTCAGTCGTGCTTCAAAATTGCCAGTGACTTCGAAACAACAGCTGGCACAGTTCTGGAAAACCTCCAAGCATGAGCCGTTAGCTTCATGCTTTCAGAATGACTGAACAAACGATAGCACCCAGCTTTGTATGTTACTTTTTCTGTTCCTAAAAAAAAAAACAAAAAAAAACACCCGGCTTCAAGCTTGAAGCTCGAAGCGCACATTCCACATGGCAAACATGTGAATGACAAAAACATATCCTTTACATTGGAAGGAATCAAAAAGAATAGAAAACAAAATGGTAAGGGCCCCTTTAATAAGACAGCTGACAAGGGGACCTTCTTTCCTATTTTTGTCTGTCTTTTGTTACATGATTACATGGTTTCGTTCAACGCAATAAAGCAATACAGATCGATCGTTCATGCTGAGCGCGAGTGAACCCGCTCCGTACTCCAGGAGCGCACCATCCAGCGCTTTGTTGAGGAGTCACGCCAAGGGTCCGCATTCCTGAGAAACGGTCGACTAGGACGACTAGGTTGGTGTTTGTATGGCCTGGTTCTTGTCTCATATTTGTGGTGGGTCGACAGTTGACCAGAAAGACGAAATGCGAGAACAAATGCTGAGCAATTTGAAGCAACAGGTACAGTTGAATCAATCCGAGTTGCAGGATCCTGAGACTCTGCTGCTCCACGTCAAATTCCACTTGACATGTTGTACTTCGTATGGCACTGGTTGGAACCGTCATGCTAAAGTGTGATCCCGATGCGGTTGGGAGGAGCACCTCACAGGGACTTCCAAAGCAACTAACCGGGTCGATTCTTAAGCTTCTTGGGAATACATTCTGGGTCGCTTATCCATTCATCAGATCCACAGGCACCTCAAACATGGAGGGCCCTACATAGCCCACAACCGCTCGCTTGACTTTCTTTGATGAAGGTGCCAGCTCACGCATGTGGGAAATTTGCCGCATCACAAAGCTAGCAAAGCGATGAGAATCCAGGCGTGCGTTGGTCCGGTCCACAGTCTCCCGCATCTGTTCCAGAGTAGGCCGAAGCCAAGAGCAAAGTCCAGGTCTCCAGCCTTTGAACCATTTCAACAGTCGTTGCCCTAGCATGTCCTCAGCGACAAGAAGTTGCGTTGTGGCGAAAAGCTGGTTGCTGTGGGGGTCTATTTGGCCAGGTCTTTTGCGAATGCCTTCCTTCGGCTTTCACAACCTGTGTTTTCACTTTCGCGGACCTCACGTGAAAAGGTCTATTCTCGCCACTATTGCGGCGGAACCCTCGTTCTTTCAATATGCATAGCGTAGGGTTTGCCAAAAAGCCATGTATTCCACAGAAGCTTTCGCAACAACAAATCCAAATGTCACTTTCGCGAAGCTTTCCCAAGGCTTTCGCACCCTGGGGTTTTACTTTCGCAGACCATCATCTATATAAATTCCTTTCTTGAGGGTTTTGATGCTGCTCAGTTAAGGTCAGTGAAGCTCTTGGTAGGTTTTCGCTCAAAGCCAAATTGAAAGCAGAACTTGACTAATTGTTTAAGAGTTTCCACATAGCGATTCATCGGTGCTGAGACATGAAATATTTTTGGCCGGTGAAAAAGCTGCCCATCGGCACTTCCATTGTTCCACGGCGACTTGCCATGGCCAAGGTGATAGAAACCGCGTGGTAAGCCCATCCGAATCTGCCGCAAAAAGGCCTTTTGCAAGGCAAACCTCTGCTCCGAAGACAAGTGCGGCTGACCTCAGAGTAAAAGCCAGTGAAAACTTGAGCATTCTTGAAAGCAAAGGTGAGCTTCTTAACAATCTTAACAAAAGGCTCTGCGAAGACAGTTCTTGTTTAATCTGTTTGTTCCTCTTTTTGTTCATGCAACAGCTTGGCTCTGGACCTAGGATGCCTCTCATGGCATCAACGACTTCTGTCGTAGTGGTACCAGTCAGGCGACAGTCGTCTGGATGGTGCTGCAGCAGTCGCTCCAAAGCTCTATGGTGTTGAGTATCAGCAACGCCATAAACGAAGGCTGGCATCAACTCTGGTAGATCGGTCTCTGCTGGAACAGACAAAAACTCACGCCACAAGGAATGGCGATCAAGAATTTGAGCTGCATAAAAGTTCACCAAGAAGGAGAGGCCATCTACAATTCTGCGGGACTTCAGGAATCCCGGCACGGGCACATCAAGGCCGATGTCTGGTTCCCAATGCTCAAAGGGAAAGGACTGGCCTTTTTCAAAGGCAGTTGTTTCAAACTTCGCCATCAAGGCACCAAGCTGTTTCAGCATCACACCCGCATCGTCAGAAGGCGTCGACATTCCCTCTATCAGCTCCTCTGCATCTGAGTACGCCATTCGTCTGTCACAACGAACCACGGACTCAAAGTGGCTGTCCTTGGACCAGAAACTTCCACATCTATCCACTGATTGCACAGCAACTAAAAAAACTGCAACAAAAACAGACTTGTAGACCAGGCTCAATGCCCTTTTTTTTCTTTGGAAGTTGAATACCATCCGAGTTGATGGTAAAAACAAAGGTTAGAGCCAACCTCAGGTCAAGCTGCATGAGTCATAGAAATTAATCATTGCATCTTTTGATTTGCTGTCTTTGCAGTCTCAGCTGCCGCTCTTCACCCTCCGCAAAGTCGATCTTTGAGACGAACTCTGGCTGCAACAGTGGCAAGTTGCAGTTCACCGGTTGGTCCTCAATGGGCAGAGAATTTGCAAAACAGCATCGACCATCGACTCGAGAATGTGAAGGGTATGGAAGGGCATGGTGGCGTAACTTCCATACTCAAAGCGGAATTTGATTGAATTATACATATCCCGCACAAACCCCTCGAAAGGTTTTTTCTACACTACTTGGAGAATGGATGGAACTGATACGGCACCAACTAATAGATGGCGTTTTGGTTTTGGGCCCTTTTTAATACAGGGACCAACAAATTAGTGCATGGCACTGGAGGGCTGCAAATGAGGTGTGTGAGCCAGTTATTCTGCCTCGTTTTAGGACAAATTCAAAAACGCAACGCGCTATCTACTAAGCCTGCAAGTCCTCTGTTTTTCTCCCTGTCCCTTGCTTGGTCTTCTGCACTCTGTATATATATATATATATTTACACTTACTTACACTAAATTCAAACCAGATGGCGCAGCAAAACCTCAAAAAATGTGGAGCGATAGGTTGCGTCAACCCTTCCCATAACCAAAATTGGGATTGAGCACTTTATTAAACAAAGACATAGATGAGCCATCTATTATGTGGAAATTGGTTGTTTTTTTTGCTATTTTCCTAGAAACGGTGCCATTTACTAGCGTGAGGACACAATATGGAACAAAGAGAAGGGAGAGATACAGAGAAAGGGGGAGGGAAGCAACCAACAAAAAAAAGGAGAGAAAGGGAACTGCCAGTAGCAATCAAAAGAAAAAGAACAAAGAGAGAAGAGAAAGAGACAGAAGAGGGAAGAGAGAAGAGGGGAGAGAATCAAGAAGGAAGAGAAAAAAGAGAAGGGAAAAGGAGAGAAGGGGAGGAAAAGAACAAGGCATGGGCAGAAAAGGAAGGGCTTCTGGAAAGCAGTGCAGGGAGAAAAGAGAGGAGACTGAGAGGGGACAAGGCGGAACTGCCACTCTGTGCACAATAGGTTGCACAAAATAGAAGCCAGAGGCGGGATTGGGCAGGACTGACAGGTGCAGAGTAGATGGTGCAGCCTGTTCATCAGCCAGAGCAGGGAAAAGAGAAAGATTGAGAAAGGGAGAAAAGAGAGGAATCAAAATGGAAATCAGAGGTGGGGGGAGGGAAAGAAGGAGAGAGAAAAGGCGAGAGGGGATTGGGCAGGACTGACAGCTGCACAATAGATGGCGCAGCACGCTGATCAGCCAGGGCATGGGCAGCAGAAAAGGAAGGACTTCTGGAAGGAAAGAACATGTAGTCCTCTTCTTGAGCAAGGACGAGAAAAGGGAGGTCAGAGGTGGGGGAAGGGAAAGGAGGAGAGGGGAGTGCAGGTATACGTAAGAAAGCGACAGGGGATTGGGCAGGACTGACAGGTGCAGAGTAGATTGCGCAGCCTGCTGCATGGGCAGCAGAAAAGGAAGGCTCGTGGAAGGAAAGAACAGGAGGGAAAGGAGGAGAAGGGAGAGCAGGTATAGGGAAAAGGCGAGAGGGGATTGGGGAGGACCGACAGCTGCACAGTAGATGGCGCAGCCTGCTGATCAGCCAGGGCATGGGCAGCAGAAAAGTGGAAGGAAAGAATATGTAGTCCTTTTCTGGAGCAGGGAAGGGAAACAGGGGAAGGAATGGAGGATGGGGGAGAGCAGGTATACGGAAAGCTACGAACGGAGCAAGGACGCTACGTTCGGCGCTCCTGGCATCGCTACTAGGAGCAAGGACGCTACGGTCGGGGCTCCTGGCCTCGCTACGAACAGAGCGATCGGAAGCTACGTTCGGGGCTCCTGGCATCGCTACTGGGAGCAAGGACGCTACGTTCGGGACTCCTGGCATCGCTACTAGTTGGGCAGGACTGATGCACAGTAGATGGCGCAGCCAGCCAGGGCATGGGCAGCAGAAAAGGAAAGACTTGTGGAAGGAAAGAGCATGTAATCCTTTCTTGAGCAGCAGGGAAGGGAGAAAGGGAGGTCAGAGGTGGGCTAGGGAAAGGAGGAGAGGGAAAAGGCGAGAGGGGATAGGGCAGGACTGACAGCTGCACAGGGCGCAGCCTGCTGATCAGCCATGGCATGGGCAGCAGAAAAGGAAGGACTTGTGGAAGGAAAGAACACGCAGTCCTTTTCTTGAGCAGGGAGAAAGGGAGGTCAGAAGGTAGAAAGGGAGCCATTGCGCATATATCAAAAAGTTACGAGTCTAGGCCTGCGCCATCTACCAAGCAATTATAGTACTACAGTATTTGTTTGTATGAGCTTAATTCAAGGTTATAAACAGCTCACCACTGTCGTGTAGCTCGGCCAAAACATCCGTCAATCTTCGGTATACATGTATATGTTAATATATGTTTCACATGCACCTTTGTCTGTGAGCAGCTCAGCGAGGAGCGAGAAGCAAAAAAATACATCTGCAGTATATGCGAGAATAAGAAGCAGAAACAAAACATATGTCAGAAGGAAATGAACGTCTTCATGTGTGCTAACAAAACGCGTGCCATCTATTAATCCGAGGGTGATTTCCTGAATTTGACCCCCTCCGGGCCAAGGAAAAAAACACCAAAAAAAGGTCCTTCGTCAAAGTACATGGCTCAAGTGGGCCCAAAACGTCATGAATTCAACGCCATGCACTCTCAACGTAGAGTAATTCTTTTTGACTCGTTGGCTTCAAAGCCTCTCCTGGCAATCCAAGAGCCACACACCGCAGCTCCGAGTCCGTGCCTGCTGCTCGAGATCTCGACCAGACATCCTTGGTTGGTAAATGTCGGGGGGGAGCACTATCCCGCTGCTTTGATCGTGACTAGCTCGCAGCATGTCTGCGCGTGTGTGAACTTGCAAGGTGCTGGTCGGCGCTAAAGTGTGTGTTTGCTGAGCAGGGTTCTGAACCTGGGCCTGAGTAATTCATTGCTCAAGCTGGTGGATTCTGCGCAAGTGGAAGCTGTGTGTGGCGGCCAAGCCATGTTGTTCATGTCTGTTCCCCCTTGTAGTGCACGATTGGGCTCTCGTTGAACACTGGCTGCCTGTGTTGCAGTGAAGTGTTACTGCAGCAATATAGTAGCTTAAAGAGCCAGTGCACTCAGTTCCATCCACAGAGTTCAGGGGCGCGGCCAGTGAGTGTGCGCGGCCAACAGCCACAGAGCCCCCCAAAAAAACAAGAGGAGGACAAGGCCTGGACACAAAGCCGGGCCACAGAGTTGAGGGGCGCGACCAAAAGAAAAACAAGGCCTAAACACAGAGCCCATCCACAGGTCGCGGCGAAGAGGAGGACAAGAGGAGGAGGAGGGCTGGACACAGACCTGGGCCACAGGGGCGCGGCCAAGAGGAGGACAAGAGGAGGACCGCGGCCAAGAGGAGGACAAAAAGAGGACAAGGCCTGGACATAGAGCCCAGCTCCAGAGTTCAGGGCCGTGGCCAAGAGGAGGACAAGAGGAGGAGGAGGAGGAGGAGGGCTGGACACAGAGCTGGGCCACAAAAGCCACTTGCAGAGCCCAGCCACAGAGTTCAGGGTGGCCAAGAGGAGGGCAATAGGAGGACCAGGCCTCGACACAGAGCCCAGCCACAGAGTTCAGGGCCGTGGCCAAGAGAAGGAGAAGAGGAGGACAAGGCCTGGACACAGAGCCGGGCCACAGCCCAGAGTTCAGATTCACGAGGAGAACAAGAGACAGAGCCCAGCCACAGAGCACAAGAGGAGGACAAGGCCCGGTTCAGGCGTGCGGCCAAGACGAGGACATGGACACAGAGCCCAGCCACAGAGTTCAGGGGCGCAGCCAGTGAGTGTGGCCAGCTCTTTTTTTCTATGATAGAACCCCAACAGTAAACTGCCTGGGGAAAAAGAAAACTCAAGTCAGCGGATTCCTGGTGGTGTGGTGTGCGATGCCCTGCAGCAAAGGTCAATTCAAACAGCTTGTCGAATCTAGCTGCCTTGTTCCTGTCCGGTAGAAAGTAATTCCCTTTCTCAGGATGAACAAGCGTGGTGCGCACTGGAACATGTTCTACTCATACCAAAGGCCCCAAGAGTCCCTGAATTGAGAAAGAACACAATACGATTAAGAAACAAATGCACAATCTCCATGCATATAGGCTTGTCAGGAATCGGTCAATATGTGTCATTGGAGTTGAATCTGCGAAACCCTTTATCACATAGGGTTTGCGGACCCGGCTTTACTTGCAAGATTGCCAGGAAATGAAAAGTAACCAAAACATGACATGGGAGTTATGATGATGTTTGTGCACCCCAGCCTGCCCAAGCTCTACACAACTATAAGTAAAAATGGTAGCATATGGTAGGAATCGTAATCGTGATCGTAATAGTAATAGTAATAATTATGATTATATAATACCGACCAATTAAAGCTCAATGTGCCTCCAGGTGTCTCTTCAGACAAGTACTCTGTGACATCAATGACATGGACCTGACAGCCCCACAAACATCATATGGGGTCAATCCTGGTGTCATGGAAACAGCTGCACCTTAACTTGATCTTGGCCAACGGAAATGGCCATGTTTCCGGGCCAGGCGGGATGCTCAATGCAAACAGTAAACTCCTCCCGCAGGTCCTCGCAAAATCAAAAAAAAACTCACAAACAACATGTCTGCTATAGTTTCAGCGCGAAAAGCATCACTTACAAATAGAGCACTGGTTGGTTGACTGGCCTTTCGTCGTCCTTTGCATGTCTCAGAGATCTCCTGAATGTCACTTGGTTTCATTACAAACCTGTGCTCTGCGAACCATGCAATGCGTTGATTCTGATGCAAATTTGCAACTGCTGGTGCCAAGTCTTGAAGATTCTCCTTGAAGGGGTTGACTGGGATCGAGCTAATGGCGGAATGATCCTCCCAGTCTGAGTAGTTCAAGGATCTCTTGATTGAATATAGGACTGACCTCGTGCATGAGGACTAGAAACATGAGTAAGATTTGCAGATATCGACTTGTAACGCTGTGTCTGAATGCAACCTCAGCGGCTCGTCAGTATCACGAGCCTTCATGTTGAGCACCTCCTCATACATTCCAGTCGGTGCCGTGGAAGCTTCAGCCCAAGATCTCAATCCGATGACATGGAGATCGTCAAGATCTGGCAGCTCTCGCTGTGGATTCCACGGCACATGTATCATAGGAAACTTGCCATTAATCGGCCGGAAGAGCAAACTCTTGGTACTGCGAACGATCCGTGATCGTGCACAGACCACCCTTGTTTGGCGCGGGCTGAACTGCTCTTTGGAAAGCACAACATGGCCAAAGAGTGTTGTGACTTGAGCAGTTGCTGCTTCCCACGGTCTGTTCATATCCTGACCAAGGTCCGAAAAGGTGTACTTTGGGCCACGAAAACGTCAAAAAAGCGGTCCGGTTTGAGGTTCGGCGGAGTCAGTGTTCCGAAGCACAGTGTCCTGGTTCTGCTGACGTCTCTTCGGCGGATCTTCAGTTGCCACTCTGGCAGCCAAGATCCTCACCCAGCAGCGATCGTGATCCCAGGCACGCTTCCGGTTCATGGACCCGATGATGTGCACTCGGCAACCGAGCATTTTCGTTGGACCTGCAGGGGACCCCAATCGACTTTGTTTCTCTTTGTTGCGCTCATACAAAGTCCAATTTATGTTCTAAGGTTTCACGGCTCATCATGATGTTGGTGTACCAGACCCACCAGACCTTGGTCAATGACGATCTGCGCCTTCGATCTTCGCCCTTTGAAATCTGAGCCGGACAGAACGCGGAAGGTTCCCGCTACCAAACGGCCCTTCAGATCACTGACACTCTGAATGTCAGACTGCTTCTTCCTTAGAAGTTGTCGATTTCATCCGTTTGGTTAAGAGCGCGCGCGCCTTGAGATGGGGTCAGTAGTCACCCCTGCTACCACTGGGGTTGCCTCAAACAATTTGATGCCTAGGGCCTATTGCCAGAGTAGCAAGACACTTGTAATTATATAATCTCTCCAGCGCTAATGGTGAGCGAAGAACTGCACATCTCCCTCTCTCTTCTCTTCTCCTGTGTCCTTGGGGAGTTATTCAATGAGGCCCCCAGGCCCCAGGCCATACAAAATATGTTTGAGCTGAGACAAGTTGAAAACCTACTGAGGCTCTTCAAGGCTCATTTCAGCTTCCACTTCTTGAAGCCTGGCATATTCTGACGTGACTGCAGCTTCGTCAGCTTCGTCTGCGTCGATGTCTGCATAGTCACTCTCCGCATCGCTTCGAAAGGAATCCTCTTCGTCACTCCCGTCGATAAAGGTTGTCTCGTTTAGAGGACGAGGAGCTGGAGATGCCTGAGACGCCTCTGATTCTGCACTTTCCACACTAGAAGCTGGTGCTTGCGTTGGGAAGCTGTCCCTGGCCTCCAACATTGAAAGCAAAGCAGGAAAGATTACTGACTCCTGTCGCTTGAGAGTCTCGACAATCGCCCTGCCTCAAGCACGTTCTCAGTCTTCGGCCCCTCAAGCACGTTCTCCGCAGCACTTTTGGTCTCATAGAAGGGATGTGTCGGAGGAGCTTTCACTGTGAACATCTCTTCGACCTTCTTCGTAGGCTTTGATTCTTCCTCTCTTTCGTTGCCGTCCGACTGCAACTCCTGCAACCGGCCGTGTTGCTCAACAGTGGTAATGATGTTCAGCAATGTCCAATTCTGTGGATATCAATTCCGGTGCTCCAAAACAAAGTGGTTTCTTTTTTGGTGGTTCTACCCAGTCACAAATAGTATGCGTCCTCCACCTGGCCTATGACAGAAAAGGTGTTTATAGGTTCCGCACATTCTGGAAGGGGACATCCAAAATTATACGGAAGACAAAGGAGAAAGAACACCCTGTCATGAACCACAGAGGGCCATGGAATGACAGAAGATCTGGACACAAATAGTCGCCAAACATAGCACATCCTCCAGTCTTGTTGCCGTCTTCAGCCCTCCATCTTCAAGATCTGGCCAATTCTGCGTTGATAGTTAGTTTGCCACATCCATCAGTGTGATGAAACTCTTGTTACAGTAGAATGGTCAGCAAGCGAATCATACAAAAATTCGACCTCATGTTTCATGACTCCATGCAACATCAACCATGCAAGGGCTTCATGATGATTTGTAGAGCAATCAGTCTTCGGCAGGTCCAAAGCACAAAGAACTACTACCACTGAAGTTTTTGGGTGCCTTAGACAATAGGGGTTGGTCTGCCATGATGATGGTTAGCCGGTCCTTTCTGATCCTGTTCTTGAACTCTGTCAAACCGACCTTTCTACCCTTAGTCAAAAGCCATCACAGCCTGGACCTGCAATAGGGGTCATCGGGGCACACTCCTGCAGAAAATGAATGACATTGAGGCAAGAAAGCAATGATTGGTGTGGTTTCTTGCTTTCCTCAAGGGCCTTCAAGCTTGACAATACAAGACAAACCGCTTGTGTGTGTACGTGCTCAGCTGGATGATCCAGCAGCTTCAAAGCATGATACTTAGATAGGTGTCCTGGAGCTTCACCTTGACCCCTTTCTTTGCCTTCGCTCCCCTCTTTTTCTTTTTCGTAGTTGTTAAAGCTGCCTCAACGCCTGCCTCGCATCTAGCATTTCACAGCACGCATAACTCACAAAGCTCCAGCTTCAGTGGAATAGTCTGGTCCCACTAACAGCTATACATATATATATATATACTGTATACAGTATACCGGTCTGACGCTAATGGAGAAAGTTCACATATATAGTCGGATCCATAGACTGAGATCCAAAACCTGTCATATCCATCCACCTGCTGCTCACTTCCACGAAACGCACTTCGGGATCGGTTAAAAGGCATGACCACACCAGGAACATCATCCTGGTCCCTGTATTGACCCTTCAAGTCCAAGCTGCACTAACCACCGTGCACTGACCATCGTCAGGTCTCTTCTCCTAGCGCTCTGCAAGAGTCTTCGCCAAAGGAATCTTGAGGTGTGAGATACATACTTATTCCACTTGATTAACCAAAATGAAACCAATAGATTCAATAACTTGGCGAGGAGTTGTGCTACTCAAAAGACATGATTGTTTCGAGCGCTTGGATTCAGATTGTCTGCTCCTCCATGTTGGTGACAGGGACAGTCTCCAAAGTGTGGCTAGCTTGGCTAGGTTCGATCAGGCCTGGCACTTCATGACACATGCACAAGTGGGCAGAGAAGAACCCCAAATGTCACCACTACACTCTTGTTCTATGCAACAGTACTACCGCATACGATTCTTGGAGATTGTTGATGGAAGGAAGAGACGCTTGCTCTCTTGAGTGGACTGTTCAAGCCCGGATGCCAAAGGTTGACCATTGTTACTTGCCCAGGGGTCTAGTTACTGGTCTTGCAGCTTACGCCCGCCTGGCGGCATTCTGTGACAGGTCAAAGCCTTTGGTGGCTGCAAACAGCACTCGCACTGTTACAAAGAAAAAACCAACCGAAAACCACAACACGCCGACCCCCAATCACCTTACAAAAGCACTCCAAGAAAATATTGGCAGTGCCCAGCTACGGAAGAGTCAATGTCTGCTTGCGGCAAAGAGGTGTCCTGCCGAGTAGGGCCGCCAGACGACTCAAACCACTCTCCAAACATCTTGTTGCACTTCCTCTGGCAAGCGGCCTTCCTATTTTAATACCCTCAAGATGTTATGACATCAAAAGGCCTCCTCCGTTCAGGGTCTTCCGGTTTCCCTTCCAAAAAGAACTCCACTGCAAAATGCAATTTAGTTCAGTATTTGAAATACCGCGTTCGCATAAAAAACAAAGTCATGGTTCGACGTGTCAACAAGCAAAAGCTGGCCAAAAAACAAAACACAACAAACACTTTGGTGTGAGAGCTCGGTAGGACATCTTGTTGCAGCATCATTCCGTCTAAGCAGCGTGTTCAAAGCATTTTTGGTATGAGAATGTATATAATGAGTTTTGGGTTGTTTCGCGTTCTTTTGCTTGTCACTGGTGAAACTCTCAATACGGGTGGCTTTCTCTGAAAAACTCTCTGAGCTGCGACATGACTCTCTGAGCTCATGTTGGCAATTCAAATGGGAACTTCCTCGCAAAAGACCTGTATGCTACACTGCGGGTTACATTTGGCACAATTTGCCTCGAACTCTTTAGATCTATCGTAGTCTCACCTGTATACACAACCCTTTTCTGACCTGTCTTTACTTCTTATCTTGCCCGTTTAAGGGATATTTATCATGATGGAATCAGTTGCTCGAGTTGCAGTGCCGGGAGCTGCTTGCTATGTGTGCAAGACCAGTGCCTTGATGAACCAATCTGCCATGTCGTTTTTGTTGAAATGAGCCTCAAAGAATGCAGCAGGTACTCACACCTACTTCAACCGTTCTTACTATATCTATAATATATATATATACACACACACATGTAATTATTTTCATGCACAGTAGCTCAATGAAATCTCCAAATCGGTGAGCACAAGAACTGTCCTGGATTAAACCATCTAAGCAGCGCGTGTCACGAGATGGACAACACCTATTCATAGTCTCTCAAGCAGCTCAACTTCACCCCTCAGTCTCTGGCTTTCGTGAGATGGCTCTCTGAATGGCTAGGACTGGGACTTTGCCCCTTTTTGCTGTCCTGGGCATCACTGTGATCACCGCATCCAGTCTCATCGAAGAAAATAAATCAATGGCCCCCATCATGTGCATGCTACCTTCCTAATGGGACGTGGGCGTATTGCAGAGCAAATGAACGATCTGCTTTCAAGACAAATTTCTGGCGTTCTCTGCTCTACACTGGTTCACCACACGTGGCTACATTACCCTGATGAAGTCGGCCTGCCCCATACGGGCAACATTAATTATCGCATGTTCGTTTGATGAAGGATTTCTGCTCCATGAAGGTCCAGAGTTGATCTTAACAAATTCGGGCAACACTTTGGCTTCCACCTGCTCGCATCACTGCACGTGACAATCCTAATGGCACACAAAATCCATCGCACGAACGATCGGCAAAGGCTAACGCGTTACGACTCTACTGTCAGCATTTGACCTGCAAATGGCATATAGGTGGTCGCCTTTCGAGTGTCCAAAACCAAGAACTAAACTAGAAGGGCGCGCCAAATGAAGAGCGCACGAGGTGAAACATTGAGTTCTTCATTGCTTTGCAATTTCATCAGGCTGGACAAAGATGTTTCTCGAAAGTGCTGCTGAGCTTCTTCAATAGATGGCCCTACGCAAACACTGACCTTCGCTGGCGAGCTTGCCACTTGGTCAATTGTGGCCCGTCCTACAGGCCTTGGCTCTCCAAACAGGGCACATGGCGAGAAGCACGAAAAAAGATTGGAAGTCACAACCACACCTCGTCAAGATGCAGCCGGGATGCAGCCCGTGGCATTGTTCACAGTTTGCAATGGCAGCATCGATGATCTCTTCTTGGTCCTTTCATGTCACCGCCAGGTGTACTACATCACTACATCACCTTAAATGAATTATTCTGAATGTATGTCTTCTGGTGCTTTGAAAAATCTGGGTTGGAGATTTAGCTGGAGACCAATCCACCACGTTGCGGGAAGTTGCTGGGTAATTTGTTGCACAAGGTCATTTATCATCATTTACAGTAACATCCACGATTACGATCTTGATCTTCTCCGCATCCCACTTTTTCTCCCTTCTCCACTTTTGCTAACGCAAGTGCAACTCCAGATAGCTGATGATTCGATGCTGGCCTGGGGCATGTTCTCGGTCTCCATCCTCGCATCTTTGGTCTCGTAGCTGAGCGGGCATGTGGGAGGAGCTTTTGCTTTGGTGACCTTTTCGCTCTTCTTGGGCTTTGCTGCTTCCTCTCGGGGCCAACTAGTGCTCCTTTCCGACCCCTGCAAAAGGTGCTGCCCAGATCAGGGCCAGGATTATTAATTGAGGTGATCGCGTTTGCACAACACTTGGCAGTTCCATCCCAAATGTTGACTCTGTGAGAGGCTGTAGTCATCCTCTTTGCAGGCAGCAACGCCAAAAACTTTGCTTATCAATTCTGGCGCTTTTGGGACTCACTGACATACACACACTCTACATTTGCACATCCTCCAGTCTTGATGGCATCTTTGCAGCACCATCTTCAAGGTCTGGCAAATTGCGTGGTGACTCATGTCTAGCAACGTCTGTCAGTGGCAAAACACAAATTTCAGAAGGATGGTTAGCATTCGTCTGCAGCTGATGCTCAACGGCAAGAGTCACCCATTTGAATGGTTCCCTTCAGCTGGCCCAACACGCTCATTTGAGCTTCCTAAACACACTAGCCAATGTGAGGCCGGTCTGCCTTGACTACGGCTAGCCACTCCCAAAACCTCTTCTCACAGCCTGGACCTTGAATACTGGTCATTGGGACACACCACTCCTGCAGCAAACAAATGACAGCAAGCCAAGCTTTTTGTGGCTTTGATGTACAAAGCCTTATATAACAGATTGAGTTGCTCTTGAGGAAAGACACTCACATCCTTGCGTGCATTGGGTCCAATACCAAGTCTACAAGAATGTAAATCTGCTAAGACCCTCTTGCTTCTATTTTCCAAAGATCAAAGAGAGCATGAAGGTTAAATCATTTGTATCTTGGCAAAGTGCCGTAGCAAAAACTTCCAATAAATTCAACAATACTGGATGCGAGAACAAGAGAACTTGGAGATGAGATGAGATATCCGATCAATCGCTTTTATCATATCACACAAGGTAAAAGCTATCCGAGAGCAAAATGAGTCGTTGTGCAGTCCTGTGCTCTGCGAAAAAGTGGCCTCAAAGGTCACTGATGCGCAAGCTGGACCTGCTAGAAACTACTTCAGCTTAACCAGGTGTTTGCTTGCAAATAATTTTGGTCTAGACAACCCAACATCATCATCAGCTCCCTGTTACACCTTCGGCCTTGAATGGTCTTTCTTCGAAACTAGGGACTCTCAGCACACTGCTCACCCAAATGCCAGGCTTCCTCGAGTTCTCCATGAGGCTTGATGCCAATACCTTACGCAACAGCCTGCTCACTGTATCTACTGGTCTCACTGCGTTCCCTATAGCACAACTGACACAACCTGCCTGGCTCATCAGGCTTTTACCACTTTGCCAAGATTCCAAAGCTCAATTCTTTGGTAGTGGTCCTTGCACCCTTGTAGTGTTGACCTCAAAAGCTCAACACTCAACACCTCAAGTACATGTCAGCTAAAACCCACTAGCTATGCTTGCATCAAGCTACGCTTGTCCTTGTTCTCCTTGTGCCAAATTTGGCAAGGCACCTGGCATGTTGAAGCCAAAAACCACGCATCCTACATGTTTTGAGATCAAATGCAAAGCAACTCAATCCTGCAAGCTTCTAAATAGTACAGAATCAAAGGAACACCCTCATGAAACCCTTCGTTGTAACAGTGACAATGACTGACTGAGTGCTTGACAAATGTCTATACAGAGAGAGAGAGAGAGAGTCAGAGGGAGGTAGGGAGAGAGAGAGAGAGAGAGATCTTTGTGTGTGTGAAGTCTATGCGTCGGAACCAACAGCTGAGCCCAGACACATCGCCCAAATCCACACTCTACTCCAGTCCATCATGCTCAAGACCAGAAGAGAAGGATCTTCGGACCCATTCCATCACCTTTTTCAAAAAGGATGTAAGGCTCCATCTATGGCAAAGAATGGCTACGTACTTTGAACTCGATGTCCAGGGATCATGTTTAAGGGCCATGAGGGTGGATGGAACATGCCGCTGAGACCTTCACGACTTCATGCGCGCTCAGAGCTTGGAATATCTTGAAGGCTGCCAGCCGACGGTTGCCCAGGGAGAAAAAGGAGTCGCCTGAAGGGCAAAGCAAAGGACAATACTGGAGAAGTCGCCAAAGTCCACTAAAGTCACTAAAGGGGATTGATTACCCTCAAGCACACTCACTTTTGACGAATCATGAACTCTCATTCTGTCCGGCATAAAATGCTGGGTGCTTGCAGTCAAGGGCACCATCCCAAATAACATCGAGCGGAGGTACGTCGGATGGAAGAAGTCGACCGCAAAAGAGGTCGTGCGCCTCAGTTTGTTGGATACTGTGAGAAGCGATTACAAAAAAGGCTATCTTGAATGTCAGACAAGACCTCAAGCAAAAGGCAGCAGAATTACTTTACCTGATCACACGGCCCACATCTGAGCCATTCACAAGGCTGTAAACCGAAGTATCTCCTGCTCTGCCACTCCCAAAAAACCATCTTGCTGTTGATTCCATCATGAGTCCACCTTCATAGAGATGCCACAAAAACAACGCGCATGAGTTTGCATTGTCTGAAATAATGATGGAGCTATGCTCTCAGAAAGCAGCCGACAAACCGACAACTTGCAAAAAGGAATTTGAAGAACGAAAGCAAGCTCTTCGATGGGAAAATCAAAAGCCTTGCGACTGGTCACTCAGCACCTCAACACCCAAACGGGCAACTCTGCAAGCACTGGTCTTTCTTGGGACGGCCGAAGTTTCCCCAGCTCAGAACCGCCAGGCCTCTAGTGAGGAGACATCAGAATCTTCCGTGTTGTGTGTCCGCAGAAGCATGCGATAGGCGGGTGTTGGTGCCCTGCTATCGAACATGTTGGGCCCAAAATTACCACCAAGATCTTTGGACTGGCGAAAGGCCGTCTACTCTTCTGCTCTCATGAAGAGGGCTTGTTTGGAGGGACAAGAACAAACAAACATGCTGCAATGCTGCAACTTGGGCAACAACTCAAATCAGTTCAATGGACCAGTATTTTGCTACATTTTGGTCAGCGCTCATCGAAATGTTACTTTGCTGTGATGATAGGCCGCCCAAAGTCCAAGGCCCAAGGCACAAAAACTTCTGGAGTTCACGCTCCAACTCAAATGGAAGAAAGCCGCGGTGTTTGCTGGCAAGGCCTGGCAGACCTGAAAGGGTGTGAGAAAACGAACTACGAACAACAAAGAATTGGGTCACGTCACCCATCGAGGACATACTCTGTTCAAAAGAACACAGGCACCAAAAACAATAGAAACAGTAATTAATAATCACATTCCAGCCAGTTTGGTCATCCTCATCCCCACTCAATTCTGCATGAACCTACCCTCAAGACTACCGTCAATTCAATGGCAAGAACACTGTCTTGGATTGACGACAAGCTCAGGCACTCTCGTCAGCATCACGATGCCACGCCATGGAACCCTCAAATGATGTGTCCCATGCGATTCGTGGATCGAATGGCTGCGGTATGCGGTTCAAGCAGACTTTGATGACTGCAAGACTTTAGAGTGACATCTCCACAGAGTGACCTTGTGACCCTAGTAGCTCCTGGCACTACTACTAGTAGCAAGAAGCTACTAGGGTGGAGGCCATCGCTATTAGGTTGGAGGCCATTACTACTAGTAACAAGAAGCTACTAGTAGCTCCTGGCATCGCCACAGAGTGACCTTGTGACCTTTTCTTTTTCTGCATGTCTACCGTCATGCATGCAGACCTTTCTGTTCACCGACAAGAGCAAGAGCTTTGTAGCGCCCAAAATGCCGATGATGCTCAAGAGAAAGCGCCAGGGAGGAGTCAATGCAGCAGTGTACAGAGAATTAAGTATATCGCTATTACGTTGGAGGCCATCGCTTCCAGGTTGGAGGCCATCGCTACTGGTGGGAGGCCATTGCTGTTCAATGCAACAGTGTACAGGCTTCTTCTGCAGGAGGCCGCGAAGCAGAGTCTGCTCCAGTCTGCAAAAAGCAGAAGGACTATTGTGCGAACCAAATGCAGGCGCAGGGTGTTGCCGGGAAAGTGCAACAACATAGATCAACTACATGCATTATACATTGCTGATGCAATGTAAAATAAACACAAACTACACACGCAGAAGGCACAACACCTGGACCTCCACACCAAAACAAAAGCTGCTCATCAATCTCGAGCAGCATGTTAAGCAGCCCTGAGTGAGGCCTGCACGGTTGCCGCAATCCGTGCACAAGGAGGCTCATGACGTTCCACCAATGCCCAAGTGCACAAGATGGCAGCAACCGCGCCTCTTCCGAAGAACCTGTAGCAGCATGTCACCAGCCCGTGAGTATGGCCTGCACGGTTGCCGCAATCTGAGCACAAAAAGGCTCATGGCTTTCTGCAAATGCCCAAGTGCACAAGATGGCAGACCTGGAGCAGCATGTCACCAGCCCGTGAGCACGGCCTGCACGGTTGCCGCAATCTGTGCACAAAAAGCCTTATGGCTCTTTGCAAATGCCCAAGTGCACAAGATGGCAGCAACCGCGCCTCTTCTGAAGAACCTGGAGCAGCATGTGACCAGCCCGTGAGTACCGCCTGCACGGTTGCCGCTGTGCACAAAATGACACAAAAAGGCTCATGGCTCTTTGCAATTGCGCAAGTGCAGAAGATGGCAGCAACCGCGCCTCTTCTGACAAACCTGGAGCAGAATGTCACCAGCCCCCCTGAGTACGGCCTGCACGGTTGCCGCAATCCGTGCACAAGGAGGCTCATGGCTTTCTGTAAATGCCCAAATGCACAAGATGGCAGC